ATGAAGAAATTAATCATTAAACCTGTAATAATACAATAAACTACACCGCTACTATACTTTTTCACTGAAGATGGCGTAATGCCGAAACGCGTTTGAATAACAAACAAAAAACCCGCGAGTGAAGACAGACCCAGTAAGTGCCCGTGTGCCAGTTCAACATGAGTTCGCCAATTCGCAGACCAAACCCCATCATCCAAAGTAGTAATTATAGTAATTGTCTTGTTTTATTTTTACTATTCTGAATTTCTTGAATCGTTATTAATGATAAAGACAACTTGGCCATCATTGTCATGTTGAATCATCCAGTCCTAAATTTCTGCACCGTATATGTAGTAATTATTTATAATGAACACAGCCAAGCTAATGAAAATTTGAGATGTTATATAATACATAACTAAAACGTTTCATTAATATATATGACCACGCAGTAATTTTAGTGAAATCTTTGTTATACCTACATTTTCTCTTTAATACTCATAAAACCTGAATCCTGTTTTTATAGTTATTATTACTTTATTGTTAACTTTTTACTTATAATTACAGCAATTGTTTTTATGAACGGTAAATGTTTTGAATTTATTATAAATAAACAAGGAGATGTATCGAATCGTTGGACTATTAAGCTGAGAATCTCCATCTGCTCATGAGTTGTTGAGGAAGAAAATCCCCCAGACTTTAAAATATTACCAAAAGTAACGTAATTTGAATTATTGTTAGTATTTAATGAAGTTTATTTAATTGTTGAATAATACATGTTTTGAATCATAAATTGCTTTGAAAATAACGACACGCGTCTGACCAAAAAAAAAAAAATAAATAAATTTATCAATATATATTCAAAAAATTGTTTGGTAATATTGATAATTATGCAAATCCGCCGTGGCATAAAAATAAAGGAAGGTACTTAGTTTCTGAGATGTTTATATAGAATTCGTGCAGAGAATTTCTTTAATCTGTCGTGATGGCAGTTTCTAAGATCGCTGTTTTAAATTAAGTTACAACCGAGCCACATTACCCGCCGGAGCGATGGTAATAAGTAAGAAAAAAATTTCCAACTTGGCCCGATGATGAATGGATGCGATATGAAAGGAATAATGGACGATAGCATGGATCTCCTGGGAGGAAAACAGCTGACATTCGTAAGATAACATTCTATCATGCAATGGGTTTTTCAAACTCGTACTCGAAGATCACACTTTATCCAACATCTAAGCGAGTTCGAACTATTCAACGGTTTTAACGGTCGATTTTACATGTATTCACAGATTGTGCAATTTTCAGCCACTTTTTTCACAACTTTTAGCTTTTTATTTCAATGAGATTGATTTTTCAACAAGCACACTTCATGGCGTTGGTTAAAATGGACATCATTGACATCAAAAGAAATAAAGTTATGACCGAGTACGCTTTAGATAGGAAATAGTTAATGTTTTAGCAGTTCTAATGATCAATTTATTCTGATGCTAAATGTTGACGGGTATTTTACTTTTATTAACAGATACTGCAATTTTGTAACACTTTCGAAATTAAACCAAATTTCAGAAGTTCTGTTTAGCCGGTAGTCTGCAGAACGTTTAAAGCAAAGCTCAACCTTCACTTAATTCCGTATTTATATCATTCGATTTTACATTTTAATGACCTTCGGTATTAGACGAACAGCCTTATTTACGTTGTTTTCCTTTCGTATTTGTAAAGCAAGTTTCCTGATTTCAATTTCGAAATTTTTCTTACGTTCGCATATACTGCAACTGTCAACAACCCGTTTTTTAAATACTTTTCAGTATATTCGTTCAATGATGCTTACTTCGTTAAATATTTCATTAATTTTTTTAATATGTATCTCATGTATGAATACCACCTAGACATTTTGTTTGCCGAACGTTCAAATCTTAGATGACAGAGAGTTTGTTTCAGCAATTCCATAAACCTGATAATATTCGCAGATTATACAATTTTCATCAACCAGTTTTTGTAATAACTTTAAATAGTTTCTGTTCTGCGAGATTTTCTTCACAAAACATTTTTATGATGGGCACTCTCAACACGACACACAAGAATGACACAATTACGCAGAGAACAAACACTTTGAGCCCTGAAGATGATCTCAATAAAGATCGAACGTTGGCACGATAAAGAAAATGTTTTTCTAAAACCTACGTTACACCTGACCGCATCTCACGGCTCTGGCTCATATTGTAGGAATGTGTGTTGTTATTTGACTGTGGTTTAATGTGAGTTCATAAATTTTTCTTCCTACACCATTTGACCTGAACGAATGACACATTCGATGTAGAACAGTTTGTTTAATCAGTTCTAAGCGAACAGTAGCACTAAGCTAAAGTTTCCTGAAAATTTGACTTCTCTTCGCAGATTGTGCAATTTTCATCAACCTGCTTTTGTTCCACGAGATTTTCTTCACAATACACTTCATAATTGGGATGAAAGTTATATATAATGGCTTATATGTTAGATTTCAAGAATTTGACTTGGTGGGTTTGAAAGGAGTTTATAAATTTTTCCTCGTGCATGATTTGACCTGAACGATGTACGCATTCGATGTTGAACAGTTTGTTTTAAAAGTTCTGAACAATAATCCATGACCTGGATAACTTTTTAAGCGTATGTGTAAATTTTACTTAAATTGGTATTAGTCCAATTGGATTTTACCGGTTTAAATGACCCTCTATGTAGATACATAAACTACTTTTATGTCGGAATTTGGTAGATACTTGTAAAGCTAGTTAACTTATTGCAACTCGGCATTGTCTCAGTCGAAAGGGCTTTAATTTGCTTAAAATAATTTTTTCAGTTTGTATTTTATTTACGATTCCGGCAAAGGATGCCGGATAGCGGACCTCAGGTATAGTCGAGGGGAGGGCGTTATTCATTGTATTGGGTACAACAGATGTTACAGACCCCTCTGTTATACCTGAGCTAACTAGATCTCAAGGGCAATCCCCTAAGAATTTCATCTCCGCGGACCAACTTCATTATGGGCGAAATATTTGAAAACTGTTGGAAAAAGGGGCAAAGGGACGCCCGAATGTAAAATGCAAGGATTTCTTGCGTCGTGTAATTTTGAGAATTGTGAGAACGAAAACGACCACGCTACAGATTAAGATAAAAATGGTTCGATTTTTTAATAAAAGACTTTTTTTGTGTCTATGTACAATATGAGGAATTTGAACGACATTTTGTTACGAATAAAAGATGGTGCCCAAACTCATAGGATTTTGATATAATTTTTCTTTTTTACAACGAATCGTGTTTATAAAGTAAACGAATGTTTAGACACAATGTGCACCCTTTCCTACTCATAGGAAAATTCTTCATCCGGTTCTGTTTGAAGTTCTGCATTTCTGATCTTTTGTTCTCTCTCTTCTCAAATATGAACGAATTATTCGAACAATTTACATTCGCTTTACATAGAGTTAAACGTGACCATATCCCATACATGTCATCAACCCTAATATATATATCACAAAGCGCTCTGGAGTAATTGATTATCTTATTATACCAATTCGGTCGTTAGCCAGATTGACGTCATTCGGTATTATTTTCGAGAAGGGTGGTGGGTGTCGTAACTCAAACGTCTTCGCTTCCCCCTTTTTCCAGTGATTCAAATTGTTTTTTTACTTATAGGGAAATTAGGGGGTGAAATATAACTTATTTCCTGCAGGAACAACCGCTCAGACGATCCCGAAGGACGTGAAACGTCCCCCATGGCTGGGGGAATAGCGACACAACACATGGCAACCAGTGGGACACAGATTTTGAGGATATTTGTGCAATTATAATTGAAAGTCGATAAAATAATATTCCGGTTTTCTTTGATGAAAGAAATAAGAATTAATTTTAACCGAAAAAAATTGTTGGCTTTTCACATAAAAAATTACGCTGTAAAGACATATTTATACTTGATTCATATTTTTGTGAAGTAATTAATAAATTATATTTTTCTATATAAGAAAATGATACTTTCACAATATATTTGTACTTGATTTTAAACTTTTTTGAATTAATAAATAATTTTCCCTTCCCTTATAAGAAAATAATACTTTTATAACAAATTTACACTTGCTTGCCTGCTAATATCTACATTATAAGAAAACGAACTTTCAAGATATTTATGCTTGATTTTAAAATTTCTTTAAGTAATAAATGACATCCTTTCTCCTCCCCTTTTTCATTTCTTCCTTATAATAAAATAAAATATAAGTATGTATTATTACTTACATTATTATTTTATGTATGTATTATTACTTACGGGGACTTTATTTCTTCATAGTAATGAGCAAATTCTTCCTTCTCTTATGAAGAAAATTATATACTGTTAAGACATAAATTTTAAAATTCTTCTCTAAAGAAGAGCTTAGAAAATAGTGACATACCATTGAACTGAACAGTGCGTACCTTTATCTACTAACCAATGAAGATATTAAAGATTTAAAACAAATCTAGGACTTATTATATATTTAATATAGGTAGTGAAATGTGATGTATGTACATTGATAATCAGGCTTCATTACAGAATTGCTTTTAATCTATTCCCATAATATAAGAAAATTCTACTTAAAAAACATTATATTTTATTTTCAAAATTATTTGAATTAATAAATAATTTCTCTCTTCTCTTATAAGAAAATAATACTTTTAACACATATTTATATTTGATTTTTAAACATTAATAAATATCCCTTTCATCATAAAATATATTTATGTTTGATTTTAAAAATTAAAAAGTAATAAATGTATTATTCTTTCTCTTGTAATAAAATTATACTATATATTTATATTTTTGTTATTTTAAAAATTTGTTATATTAATGTACAAATTCATATTCCCCTTCTAGGCAAATTGTTCGGTCAAGACATACTTATGGTAAATTCTTGAGGGTTTTTTTTTTTTTTTTTGTATATTTAATCAATAATCAAGACTTGGGACTAATTAAAAATATGTATTGTCTTTGTTCTCATCATATGGTTTTTTTTTATTTTTAGTATGGTTCAGATGAATTTGGTGGACAGGATTCACCAGGGCGCTATACATCACCTTTAACACCCAAAAGTTCCTTATCAGCTGCATACCCTCAGGAAGCACCTTACTACTTAGGTGAGTAACCTAAATTATTTTAAAATGTGTGAATTATTTTCATCAATTACACAAACACAAAAATTTAACAAAGTCTGTCATTTTGAGAGGACTGAGAATATTTACATATTTTCTTAAAACATTCATTTTATTTATTGTATGAATATATAATACAAATTCATCACACAAGAAATAGATTTTTTTTTAGTTTTTTCCCCTTCCCTCCTGTCACTTGGTTATATCTATGTATTATGTTAACTCCTTATTCATACTCTTTTATGAATTATTTTTACTGTTGTCCATTGATTAAGCATACATCTTGAAATTAAATCAGTCTTTGAATGACCAAACAAAAATTAGACTGTCATAAAAGTACTTTTGATTATGTATTAAATTAATATGATTAAATTTAGAAAATGGTGGAACCAATGGAGCTGATGGGGGATGGGCTTCAACAGTCGGCCCTTACTATAGTGCAACAAACGTTACGGCTCCTTACACAACATCATCAACTATCCATCATGACTCAATGGTATGTTTAAATTTTTGTTGGTGATTGTGTTTTTTTATAATAGCATTCCTTCATAGGGCTATGGTGGGAGGAATGTTTCACCGGGGAGAGAACCCTTGCCACCGATGTCATCCTTACGGACGCCACACTCACCTGGGGGGACAACAGCGCCAATCTATTTATCACCCGCCACGCCTCAGCCTCCTGGGTCACACCCAGGGGATACTCTTGTTGGCAAAGCACTTGCTTCTGTAAGTGTATAAATAAATAATTTATTATTGTTTGTTGTTGTGCCTTTGCTTCCCTGTATAAATTACACCTAAGTTAAATTTTAAATAATACTTTTTATGCATCATTTAGGTGCATTAGGCTTAAACAGTTTTATTTGATAAGATTTCATGCAGACAGAAGCCATTTTGTTTTTGTATTAAACTTATTTTAGCATTCAACATAGGCTATTTTTTAATGAAAAATAAAACAATTTTTCCCATAATTCATTTTTATAGATGGAGGAAGTCAAATTTACACATAAATTATTGTTTAAACTACCGTAATAATACCTTTCTACTAATTGGGAAAACTTAAATTAATAATAGGATGGCAGTTGACACTTAAGGACCTGTTTTGGTCAAAGTGTGTGTCCAAGTCAGTAATTAGGGTTGATATCTTCCTCTTCAACTATTACAAATTAAACTTGCCCCATCTCCCCACTCATTCTTAGACAAGCAGGACAAAGCTCATTCCTGCTCCATTCATCTTCCAATTTAGTCCTATGATGGAGCAAAAGGCCTTTTTCAGTTGGGTCTGTAATACATGTGAAAATTAATATTTTCCAAAAGTACTCACAACAAGTTTGACCTATAGATATACCCGACGGAAGCGAGTGCTAGCAGTTATTCAAGTAACCCTTCCACGCCTGTTAGCTCGCCCCCGCCTCTGCAAGCGGTAGGAAACAGTGGCCAATCGGGGCCTACTACTGGTGCGGGTTGGCAATCACCACAATTTTCAGGAGGCCCACAACACGAAAGATCATCCGCCCCACCTGGAATGCATATGGTATGTTTGTTTTTTTAAATACCAACTTTAAAAAAAATAATGTTCTGCAAAGCAAGTTAAAAAAAAAGACAAGGTTTCTAGCCATTACTATGAGGTAAGAGTATCAATGTTTAAATTTACTCTTATTTAATTATTTTTGTTTACATTTACAAAGCATGTATTGCAATTTTTTTTTTTTTTAGCTTATTAATTGCATTGTTAATCTCAAGCCATGCTTTGAACAGTTTATTTTCTTTTTGTTACATTTTTCTTTTTGCTGAGTTTTTTCTGGTATTATTTGATGTGTGTTGTATTTTATCGGTTTGGTCAGAATGCTCCACCAGAACAACAGAGATTAGATGATGCGATTGGTTTTCTAAGGGACCACACAGAGGTAATTTTAAAATAGTCTTTTATTATTATTTTTTATTTATTTATTTAATTAATTAATTTTTTTTGGGGGGAGGGGTTAAATTTGTAAACCCTTTCTTCTTGTATACATATTGTAAGATTTTATAAGAAAAAGGATTATTACTGCTAATACTAATTATTAATTTAATAAAGCAGTTGAATTAGTTGAAAAATAACATGTGGATTTGTTGCTTACTTAACATACACAACAGGCACACATGCTTCAGAAACTGTCTGATTGGTATGTGGATAAATGAAATGCTTGAAAGCCTGAAATTTGAGGTGTTTCCTTTTTTATTTATTTATTTACTGGGGCTTCCGACATCTAGGTCATTTCAGCCCCAAACTAAGTCAATATTCTATTTACACTTTCAAACACTACATTCATACAAATAAATACATTCAAACAGTACACTCATTCCGTTTGGTCAGTGGAATACTTGATATTCCTCCACCGACCTATACTCAAACTAATCTAGATTGAGGTTGATGGAGTACTTTTATAGATATTCCGCCATCGACCCCTAACTCACACTCATATGCTCTCAACATTCGAGGGGCGATGATGGTGTTATATTTCACCCTCACCCCTCGCCATTCACGCTAATAAATACATGCACTCAGACAAAACATAGACACACAACACATAAGACATACTATATACAATAAAAAAAAAAAAAACCCAATTTCCCCTAAAAAGCGGAACAGGGGACCCTGAAACTCGCTGCAGTGCTCAAGAACCTTTCTTAAGTCCGGCGGCATGCTACACGCTCTCTGTATGGCGCAAAGGCATGACACGCTTCTATTATGTGGGACACATCGAGCAACCTTTCTCTGCATAAGGGGCACCTGCGCAGGCTTGGTGTTTCCTATTATCCACAGTTCTGGTTATCTACAGTGATGCCTTGTATTGTTAAAATTTGCATAAGTTCTATAAGTTGAACTTCTCACTGGTTTTCTTTGTCAAAACACTTCCGAGAGACAAAACCAGCAAGAATGGGCAGATCAGGATAATCAGATATGATCAAACTACAGATTTTCTTTTGGAGATTTTATTAAAATAAATTGGAGACTAGATCGGTATGTTTTTTAGAACCCAACAACTTTTTTTTACCAAATATATTTCAAGACTAACCTCGCCCTCTTCTCAGTTACTTTCCTGAATGTCTGACAAAAAAACACAAAAATTCCTAAAATTTGAGATTGCTTGTCCTAAAATCCAGCCATCTACGCCAACTGGTCAAATTCTAAATAGATACAATATTTAATTGCAAATCATTGTTTTTATTTTATTTATTAAATTAAAATTTTTAATTATTAAAATATTAAAGACTTAAATAGGTACCAATCTTTTTTAAAATAAACTGTTACAAAATATTAATGACTGATGACCACTGTTTTAACCAATGCATTAACTCACCTGAGGAAAGATTAAAATAAATCCGAAAAGTTGTGGATTGAAAGAAAAACTGGTTGTTGTTTTTTTGAGATGACCTATTATTCTACCTTCGAGAAGGAAAAATCATAAATTTTATTTATTGTTTAATAATTTTGTTTGAGGAGAAATTCAGAAGGCATTTTCTCTCTATTATAAAACTTAACATTCCTAATTTTGCATTAATTTTATTTCGATATCATTTCATTTGAATACAATTTATTGAATTTATACAATTTATAAAATTTGTTTTGTTATTTTTTAATTGAATTTTTTTAATTTTAATTTTAATTACCGCGGTAGCCGAGTGGTTAGCATGAGAGACTCTCACGCCGCGGTCGTGGGTTCGATTCCCACCGTCGCCTCTGGCCCTTTTTTCCCGATAACCCCCAATTTGAACACACAAGAATTCGTACTATGGCTAATATGCAAGATCATAAGACCAATAAAAAAAAAATATATATAAAAAAAATAGTTTTTTTAAGTACAAAAAAGTTCAATTTGGGCCTTCCTCCTCTTTGATTTGTTTCATGTTCTTTATATTGTCTTTTTCAGGTAAACCTTTTCACCACAGTGGAATCACTTGGGAACCAGGTAATTAAGCTACTACAAATCAGGTTTTAGGATTAGCATAAAATAATGTAAAAATAATAAATAATCAGATTTCAAACATCTTGATTTTTATTTACTGATTTATTTATTTTATTATGGTTAATTGGTTGGTTGTCAATAGTAACAATATATTCATTTCTTAGGGAACAAGAATGGAAGAAAGGCTAGATGATGCCATAAATGTACTTAGGAATCATGCAGAAAGTCAACAACTCATTGGTGCACATTGCCCACCTGGTCTTTATCACAATTCTTTGGATCTTCATGTATGTATTAACATAATTGATATGTATATAAAATATAATAATAATAATAAATTAATCATGTTTTTGTCTAAAGGCAAACCCACATGGAGTTTATTCCGGCATCCCTCCGGGGGAAATTGACCCAGCTGCTGCCATAAAACTCGAAAGGCTCAATTCAGCAAGTATGTATCTGATTGAAGCACTGTTTTCTCTTTTTATATGTTTATTTATACATAATTTCTTGCTTTTATACAGAAGAAGTTTTAATGTCGAAATTTTGTGAAAAAAGAAAAGAAACAGCAGACTGTGATTCCAAACCTAGCAGCTCGGATATTTTAGTCAGTTCTCCTGGGAGTGGAGGGGGCGGTTTACCCTCCAAAGGAGTCAAAAGAGTCAGGAGGTAGTGAGTATCTTTTACCTTGAATTCTTCTTGTGTAACAAAACAAAAAAAAATACAATAAAAAAATTACACTTGAAGTCGTATCCATGCACATGTTTTTAATATGCAATTTGTATTAATAATACCTTGTTTTATTCAGTTTATTTCACTAGTTCGTTAATTGGTTTATAATTGTTGTTTTCTTTCTGTAATCAAAGTGATTTTAGTTGTTCCAGTGTTGAAGATGATGAAGAAGATGCAAGTGTGAAAGCACACAGAGAGAAAGAAAGGCGACAGGCCAATAACATTAGGGAAAGGTATCATTCGCACAGATAACTAGCCTTTTTAAAACAGTATTTACCATTTATTTATCTGCGTGTGCATTATTTTTCAGAATAAGAATTAGAGATATAAACGAGGCATTAAAAGAACTAGGACGAATGTGTATGTCCCACCTGAAAACAGATAAACCACAAACCAAATTAGGCATATTGAATATGGCTGTGGAGGTCATTATGTCTCTAGAACAACAAGTTAGAGGTGATGGTCGATTCACCCTTTACAAAAATTGCCTCTCAACTTGTATTGATAATTTGTTTATTTTAGAGAGAAACCTGAATCCAAAAGCGGCTTGCCTGAAAAGAAGAGAAGAAGAAAAGTCTGAGGAAGGCCCCAAACTTGGTGGGGGTCATTTGGTCGGGAGTGGAGGTGCACCAGGTGCCACCATGGCCCATCTAGGAACCACCGCATTTGTTCCTCAACCACCGCCGCATCAGTAGCACTGACTAAAAACACAATGTAACTAAACAATTTCATATTTTATAAACAAATAGATGCAGTAACAGCTATGGTTAATTAATGCATAAATTGTACAGCTTGGCATAAACAACTTTTAACTCAAGTACATAAACGGAATTATAAAAATTACGAAAAGATCATTGGTAGAAACGATGAATGATGGAGTGAGTGCGGTGTTCAATCCTTTTTTAAAAAAGGATTAAAAGATCATTGGTCAATAAATTTAATCACAGTAATGAAATATTTTCTAAGTTTGTTAAAAAGTTCCAAAAATATTTAATTATAATATAATATATATTTTAAAAATCATATTTTCTCAGAGTGCCACTACTATAAAGCAAAAGCAGGGTTTCCACTGTGCAAGAAAAACACTCGTGCAACTAAACATGAGAATTACTTGTGAATCACCATCTCAGGTTAACCATTTCCTTGAGGCGAAACAAAGTGAGCCACATCGGTTGTGTGAGACAAGCATGCTATTTATAACTACACAAACTGTTGCATCAGCTTTTGCTATCATGGCGATACTTTAGGGGGGGGGGAACCAAATTGAGTTTTATTATTTTTTATTATTAGCATCCCACAAAAATTGATAGCTGTGATACATTTGGATAAGTCAAATGCACTCCCCCTGGTTCATTTTCCTTCTCAAGACATGTGCTTTTACACACAGCGAAACAAATAACCTGAAACACTTTAATGCACACTAAAAAACCTACAGCAATTCGGCTCACCCTAAAACATTCTCATGCCAAGTTTTGCGGTCCCAACTAGGTCTCCACAAGACAAGACAAGTTTTGCGAAACAGTTGCGTGCAAGTTTTGCTCAGTGGAACCCAGCTTTAGGTTTGTTACATCACGCTATAGTTCAAGTGGTTAGAACAATGGCGGATGAGTCAAAGGTCGTGGGTTCGAATCCCGCTCGTGACGCTAATTTTTCATCTCATCAAAAACCTTAGATGAAAAAAGTAATTAATTAGAATAATTAATATGGTCAATTATGGCCACTAAACAAATATGGATTAATTAAATAATTATAATATTTATAATTATAATTGATAATAAACTATAACAAGTGTTTTACAGAAATAAAAATGATTAAAATGGCACAAGTTGCCGAAACGTGGAAAAACTAATTTTCACTTAAAAAAACCAACAAGGCCTAAATGACAAAAGAAAATTTTCCATATGGAAATTAATACACGCTTCAAATATGCAGAATAAAATTTGAACCATTGTACCACAGAGGTATGATTCGAATAAATATCTTGTTAGTGATCACCATGGTCATAAGTGTTAACAAAAAGAATATGTAAAAAATTAACTTTGCTATTTCGAAATAGCTAGCTTATTCTGTTAACAATTTGAAATATTTCTATGTTTACTGCCTTACAAACCATATGGAAGATGTCATTTGACTATAGGAGTCCAAAGTTTAACAAAAAAACGTTCCAACAGTTTTAAAAGAACTGAGCTCAGATCGATGTTCGGGCATGCGCAGTCAATACAACTCAGATTAGTTGGCAACTAGTTTGTAGTTGTGTGTTGGCACAAACTTGTAATTAAATACTATGTGTATTCTCTAAGTAAGAAAAATCTGATGTACTTAGGTGCAGTATTGGACTGTGAGAGAAAAAAAAATTAATAGATATTTAGAAAAGTTGAAATTTGTCATTTTTCCTCGTCCTCCTTATCACAGTCAATTCAGAAGGTATAGCTTTTTTATTTGGTGTGACATTTCAGCTATAATTGTGCCATATTCAAGCAATTTTTTTCTTTCATTTTTAACAGTATTTTATGGTAAAAAAGAAGCACATGAAAATGAAGAACATATCTACAAGACTTCAAGATTATATTCTATTGCAAGACTGGGTTTTAATGATTCTATAGCAAATTATCTATTAATTTTTAATTAATTGGAAAACTATTTTTGAATTTTTATCTATGCTATTGTTTTCTTTTTAGATGAGAGCCGAGAGTCCAGTCGGATTGCCTAAATGACTTCCAAACTTCGGTTTTCTGCTTCCTGTATATATTGTCCCTACTTATTTGTTTAGTTTTTTGTTTTTTTAAATTTTCTTTTAATCCCAAAATCCCAATGAGAGACTATAAATAATATATATATATATATAAATATATAAATAAATTATATATATGACATGGTTAGGTGCTTTGTTGCAGTATACTTTTTGTATAAAAATTAAAAAAAATAAAAAATAAAAACATACATATGCATACATATATATTATATATTTGCACATATATATTATATGTGTATTTGTATAATTTAAAATTAACAAAATTTTGAAAATAAAACGAAACTACTTTTGAAGGCAATTGTTATGAAGGAGAGCTCTATCCTCCTATACAAGATACAGAAATCAGAGCCCAAGTTTAAATAAAGGTGGGTGCCTTAATATTTATAAAGTTGTAAAAAAAAAAATGTATATAGTCGAAGAGCTCTCACAGTTCCATGGAAAATTGGCTTAATTTATTTCCCCACTCTCCCTAGAGTTATTTTGGTATTGGTCTTAAGGGGACTGTTTGTGAAAACTTAGAACTTTTTGACTGAAGGCAGTCTTATCAACTCCTGGGTTTTGTTGAGTTAATTCATCAATTATATTATGAAATTGAATTATCAGTTAACAATTTATACCAAAAATAAAAATTAATAGTGGCAAGGGTTGTATTTCTGAGCATGAAATTCTTCACAAACATTTTATGATATATTTACTTGTTCATTTGTTTTCACAGTATGTCTGCGATACTATGAAATATTTAATTTTAAACTCACCCAGTGATATATCATACTACTTCCAAAACGGTTTATAATCTTTGACTATGATATTACATTGCATTTCTTAGCATAGTTTTCTGTCAAAAATGTTTTTCCATGTACTGAAATTGAAACAGATTCGTACCATTATCTTCAAGTTATCATTGCAAACATTTAAATATATATAATAGATGAGTACTGTTGTGATAAAATATCAGGTACAAATACAGCAGGTACAAATTAAATATCAAAGGGGATGCAATAGAATTGCATGCTTTGGACATCACTTCATTTATTTATTTATTTATTTTATTATCATTAATTTTTATTGCAACTCTATTTAACCTTATACTTTAAATTGCATATCACTACAGTTTTATTTGATATGATGTTAAAAAAATTATAACAAGTTTTTTCTTAAGTAATAGCAGGTCCCCTTAATAACAGACATAATGAACTAGGTTTATTACAATTAAGAGAAAGAAAATGGGCTTCCAAATAACCTGATGATCAAGAGATAATTCTTTTGACAAACTTTCCTAATTTTATAACAATTTTTATACTTGTAAATAGTTTTCCACAAAGTTTATATTCTTCTAGTTGCAAAAGAGTTATATCACCTTTACCAACATAACTCTACCCAGACAGTTTTACTCATTAATATATTGTGCCATTTTATTGTATTTATTTGAAACTAAAGTGTAAGCCAAACAAGCAACAACAAAACAAAAAAAAACGCTTAAGCTGAAAGTATTTTCTATTGACTTGTGTTTTTATTATTTTTTGCCCCAAGACATTAGACATTCCTTGAAAGGCATAACACATGTTCTCTATTAATTTTTATAATTTTCACCCCATATATAATATTTTACATAATGTATTATACCTCTGTGATATATAATTTTGTTTAAAAAAAAAATTCCTCGGCAGATTGCTGTCCAAATTAAAATCTTTTTAAGCTTTTAACTATTTGCTAAAGTGCCATCAAGGATGGGAGTAATTGTAGCATCTACTGCCCCAAGTGACTGCCTGAATACAATATTTGACAAAATTACTGGCTTAACAATTTTCTTGTTTAATCTCATTTTCCTGATATATTTTGTATATAAATAGTTATGTAAGTCTCATTTTTTATTATTATTTCCTAGCAATATTTTAGTAGTTGCATTTTGTTTAAATTTATAATTACTTTTTTTTGTAGTTCAGTCGACTTATGAAGTTTTTAAGTTCATGAATGTACAATATTTGTTTAAATTCTGCCAAGGATGATTGATTTCTGGAGGGTTTGCTGTAACGCCATTAGTTTCAGTAACTTAATTGACTAAACCTGTAGCTTTTTTTAATTAAAAATTGTACAATGGAACCAAGTATTTATAGTCAAGATAATTTGACATCGAAGGCTTTATTTTTCTAGCGGCTATTGTCTTAATTTATATTAAAAAAAAAAAAAAAAAAAAAAACCACTGTTACTTGATAAATGAAATTTTAGCTTGGTAGAATCCATGTTTTTTTCTTTTTTTTAAATCATTCACCATAACAACTGAAATAAAATAAAAAAATATGAGTTGCCAAAATATTTCTCAGTATTATTAGTTAAACAAAAATGTTGTATATTATTTTTTTAATTTAATTTTTTTTTTTACTATTTCTTTGTCGAAAGTTTTCAAAAATAGTAAACTTTATTTGGAACAATCATAATTATGATTGCCCTATTGTTCTAAGTATTTGCTATTAAAAAAAAAAAAAAAAAAACTTTGAAGAATATATTCTAACTAAAGTTTGCTACATTTTTAAAGTTGAAAAAATCTGTTTAATGATAAGTGAAGATATACCAAGGCACTTCATACATTTTTATTTCATTTCAAGAAGAAATTAGTATTGACATAAAAACTAATAATTAGTTAACCTATTATTTTAGGTTTGCAAGCCATGTTTGATCTTATAAAATTTGTGTAAATAAAAAAATGTATTATTTATTTATAATTTATATTTCTAATTTGATCTATTATAATCCAAATGAATTCTGTTTATATTCAATTAAATTTTGTTTTACATTTTTTTCTATGTGTCATTAAACATTGTTTATTTTTGTCTGAAATGTGTCAATTGAATATCATGTGGGGAGCTATAATTCTTATGTGGCGTGCCAGAAGTGTGCATGTCTTTTCTTTTAAAAACCACCAAAAAAAAGCCATAATAGATAATTAAAGTTAATTGATTGAAAAAAATCTATATTTACAACTTTAATTCTCTAGATTTGTATAAATTTCAGTTAATTTTTTGTTAAGTTAGTATTAAAATTTCATGAGAAAATGTCAGTTTGATAATTTACTATTCACCATCTAATTATAAATTTTTCCTAATGAATTTGTGAAATCCGAGTGAATTTGTTTATTTAACAAGGAAACGTTTATGATTTGCATGGCCTCGTAATATATTTTTTAAATTTTGTATCCTCTTTTTATTTATGTTCGTTTTTTATTATTAGAATAAGAATCAAAAATATTTATATTTATGATTTTCAAGAAAAACAATAATTTTATTAATTATGAAAATTATAATAGAAATATTATTTGAGTTGTACTTAGGACAAGTTGTTACAACATTGTTATTATCAGAGGCCAGAAAATGAGTATAAACATACCATATGTGATGCTATGTAAATATAAGTTATAAATAAATTTTAAGAAATTCAAAGATAGAGTGTAAGATAGGGATTTTGTGTAAATAAAGATGAAAAGAAAATGAAAATCCCAATTGTTTTCGGTTTAATTTTTAATGAAGGCGATTGAATTTGTAACAGACAATTTTAATTAGGTGAAAAAGTACTAAAACAAGATGAGGCTGTCGCCTTTTCAACAAACAAATAAAAAATGTAAATAGTTACTTCTAAATACAAATCATTATTGTATTTTTCATTATGTAATGTATTAAGAATCGTGTGTTGGTTAAAAAAATATAAAAACAAAAAAAATAATAATAAAAAAATTTAGATATTAAAACCTCAGAAAATATACAATGCTAGTTTTAATAGTTGAATCCATATATTCCCTGTGTATGACAAAGCTATTGCTAAAAGGTTTTCTGTTAAAAATATATTTTTCAGTCAGACCTGAATTATATTGTGAAAAATGCACATAGAACACAATACGCTTGGCCACTGGCCCCAATTAATTATAAGATATAGTTTGTGTTAAGAACACAAGTAGTTATATGTGATTAAAAGAGATAACATTCACTACAAAACCGTACCTTTCTTATGTTAAAAGAAATATTAAGACCACGAATAGGACATTGCTGACTGACACATAGACAAGTGAAACCTGTGAGGTACAGTTAACAGTGAAATATACTCTGTGATCACTATGATGCTCTTAAGAATACAATGCTCTGTTACCTATATATTGAGGTATATATTGCTAATCCTGTAGATGTAGATGTAATTTTTTCAGGGTATGGTATACTGCGCACTTTAAGAGCTATTGTATCATCCCCCGTTATCTGCCTAAAGCACATCGTTGAGTCCTATTTCACCAAGAAATTTGATTAATAGGCCCGGTTTCAGTTGTTGAAACTTTTCTATGGTCACATACATCCCAAAACATTTCCTCCTGTGGGCTAATGTAGCTCCGCAGTTTGTTAGTAAATGTGTTGGTGTTTCTTCTGCCTCCTTGTAGAATCTGCATGTGCCATCTTGGATTGTTCCATTTTTCTTTAAGTGTACTTTTAAGAATCCTGTTAGGACACATTCCACCGTTCAGGGTTTCGAGCAGTCCATCAACTGTTAGGCATCATAGAAGAGGTGATAATATCCCTCCTTGAGGACATACTTTTGTTGTGCTAACTTCTATAGTGTCTGTTCCTATATTTGTTTCAGCTATTCTAGTTCTTAGCAGTTCTCCGATCCATCTAGATGTGGTTTGGTCTACATGTTTTTCCCCAGGGAGGCTTTCATTGATACATGAGATGCATGGTCGAAAGCTCCCTCAATATCGAGGAAAGTGCAGACTGCTATTTCCTTTGTTCCCAGCCTTTCCTTTAGGTCACTGGTAAGCTGGTTCAGTGCAGGAAATGCATGCGGACAGTAATGGAGAGGCTTGTTTACCAGTGCTGTCGTTCTTATATAGCTGTCTAACAGCTTTTCAAGGATCTTTAATAGAAAGGATGTTAAGCTGATTGGTCTGTAGGATTTAGGTGATGTAGGGTCTCTTTTCCCCACTTTTGGTATAAAAATCACCTTTCACGCAATTGAAAGATGTATCCAATTCAATTTAAATAGAGGATACAAAAACAAGAATATAGCTATCATGTCAGATAGCCAAGCAGCCATCAAAGCACTAAGCTCAAATACCATTAGTTCAAGGATGGTGCTGAACTGCAAAACCAAACTAAACATATTAGGTACGCAGAATAAAGTCAGCCTCTGCTGGGTCCCAGGACACATGGGAGTAGAAGGCAACAAGAAAGCGGACACCCTTGCAAGGAAAGGGGCTGCCACACCGCTGATAGGACCTGAACCCTTCTGTGGCATAGGAATCCACACTATTAACGAATATCTCAGACAGAAGGACAAAAAGAAAATGAGCGAACTTTGGAATTCACTTATTGGACATAGACAATCCAAGAATCTTCTAACCAATTTTGGCAAGAAAGAAATCACAGAATGTGTCAAAGGAAGCAGGAATAGACTGCGAATCCTAACAGGATTCCTGACAGGACACTGTAGATTAAACGGACATCTAAAGAAAATTGGAATAATCCAAGATGGCACATGTAGATTCTGCAAGGAAGCAGAAGAGACACCAACACACTTATTAACAAACTGGGGAGCTACATTAGCCCGCAGGAGGAAGTGTTTTGGGATGTACAATGTGACCATAGAAGAACTACAACTGAAACCGGGCTTATTAATCAAGTTTCTTGATTAAATAGGACTCACTGATGTGCTTTAGGAAGAGCACAGGGGATACAATAGCTCTTAAAGGGCGCAGTATACCATACCCTGAAACATTATCTCTATCTATCTGCCCTACGCCATGTCTGTGGTATGTAACCTAGTGCTAAACTACTTCTATATAATCGCAGCAATGCTGGAGTAATTACATCCATTCCTTTTTGTAGCAGGATGGGAAAGATCCCATCCGTTCCTGGTGCTTTGTACGGGCTAAAAGTGTTAATCGCCCAGAGGATTTTCTTCTCTGTGATTATTTCAGCTGCTTTCTTTCAATTTTCTTTCTTGGGATTATCTGCTCTCACATTTTCTGGCGAGATGTCATAGATACTATCTGGAAAATGTGTACTTAGAAGGAGCATTGCGTTTTGTTTCGTGTCTTCTGTGTACTTGCCTTCTGCATTTCTTAAGGCAGTGTTTATGTCTGATCTTTCCTTTGCTAGTGCCTTGGGCAATCTAGCTGCTGAGGATACTGTGGAGATTTCTCCGCAGAATTTGCGAAAGTTCTCTCTTTTCGCCCTGCGGATGGCATGGTTATATGAAGTAAGTAACCTTTTGTATTCTGCTAGTTCTGTAATATTTATTACTGATATACTGAGAGTAAGGCAGAGACTATTATGGAAATTTTTGATTTTTTACAATCAATGTATTTATTAAATAAGATATGAATAGTTGAAATAAAAATTTTAAAAAATCACAAGAATTAGGAGGTTGTGAGCGTGGTGTGGGGGTCTGGACCTACCCTGGTGGAGACTACGTTAAAGGGTAGAAAAACTCAACAGGCATAGAAACAACAAATCACGTCATTAGTTTTTTTTTTTTTTTTTATATAACTTTCCTTTAAGGAAAGCTAACTTATGGCCTTACGTTAATCATATTAGCCAACGTCATTAGTTAAGTTAACAATAAATTAAGGTTTTTAGTTGAGATATTGATAATTGTTCAAGCAGATCACGAAATTAGTGAATTTAATGAAGTTAACAATAAAGTTGAAAGCTTCATGCGTGAATGACCGAAGGGGGTGGACCAACCTAATATGCCACAGAAGGGAATTCCACAGACGCACCCCAGCAATGAAATGGGAGTTAACCTTAAATTAATCATTCATAGATTTGGACCTATGATTCAAGCTTTTTATACTGTTTAAACTAGGGAAGAATTAAAATTAAATATAATGAATAAGTATGAAGGGCAGAGTTATTTTTTATTTTAAATAAGTAAATAAGAGATCGGATTTAAGGTAATCAAATAAATTAATACTCAGAATGATTTTGTCATGTATTGAGATGTGCTCTCTTCTAAGCTTAATACAAACCTTGTGAAATTAATAAAAAGTATTCTTTTTTTTTTTTAAATAGAAGTGTGATTAAGAGAAAAAGAGTAGAAAGTACTGCAATAAGTAAACTAGTATAAGGGTTTAGTTTCAGGGAGATAAATTAAAATTAAATTTTAATAATTTTAAATATTTCTGAAGTGAATTTAAAGTCCCATTCATCCTTCTAGCAAGCCAAAATAAATATTAATATTAATGAAAAGGCAAGTACATAAACAATTTCAAAGTGTATCACTTTTTTTTTGTGCGGCAGTGCATATTAATAAATACATTTTATTAGGTTATAAATTCTTTTCAATTAATTAAGGTTTTGTTTGAGATAAAAAAGTCAGTGTCAGAAGCGGGATTTGAACCCACGACCTTTCGCTAAATACGCCAATGCTCTACCACTTGAGCTATTGAGACTTTAATCCACTCGGACACTAACTTTCCAAATCAACCCCACCTTTTGAATTTTCCCTCCTTTTTGCCATTGTTCAAATGTCGTGAAATCTATTTGATTCTCGGCGATAAATGAAAAAAAAATTTTTTTTTGAAAAATAATTTTATTATGACACTAACCAATCCTTTAATAAATAAACAAATGAAATAAAAATTATTGGTGTTAATATTACTGAAAAGGCAAGTACATTAAAAATGTGAAGTAAAAAAAGTGAAACACTTTTTTTTTTATACAAACTTTACAATAAGAAAATATGTATTACAAAACAAGAAAGACGTTCTTCATGGTTTAAAACCTTGAGGGTGTAGCAGTGTATATTAACGAATACCTTGAAAAAGGAATGGGCCGAGAAACGACCCTTGAGATACACCAAACAAAACTGCTATTTTTTTAGAAGTTAGTGGATCAAGTTCAATTTGTTGGGTATTAAGTGTCAATGTTTGTGTAATAAAAGTTTAACTTTTGAATGTAATAAATTGGTGGACATCTAATCGTAATAAAATAGTAATTATTTTCACCGGAGAGTTTGAAAGTTTTGACTTAATTATAATAATTTTCAGTGACCTTTTTAGACGTCATGTATTTTTGCCAACTGCGTCAAAGGAGATCCATCTCGTAGAGCTCGCCTTGGTGGCGTCCTTAAGATTGGCGATTTAAGTTTGTGTTATCATTTATCCGGCCGTCTCCCTCTATTTGAATCTTTCTCAAGATCAAAAAAGAAAAACAAAAGAAAGAAAAAACCTCGACCGGTACGGCAATTCAGTCTCGTCCTTGCCCTTGTCAACAGTGTTTTTATCATATCAGCCCAAGGATGTGTTTTTTCCTTGTAACAGCGATAAACGGGGCTTTTTATTTTATTATGTCCTAAATCGAAAGTGTTCCTCACCCTGGGAACATGGTTTATCACAAGCCGAGATCCGTTTTGAAAGTTTCCTCAGAGGGTGGTTCAAATTAATCTTTTCAGGATATGATTTCAAGTGAGTGTGCTTTCTTTATAACATGTTATTCCATATTGACAACAAATGTCATAGATATCTCAAAGAGATGCTGTTCTCACACTGCCGTAAGTACGATAAAGAGAGTCCTAGTCGTAAAGAAAAGGTCCAGATATTCCCTGGAGAAGGGCCAATACCCTGGCATAACGGATGCACAGTTGGATAAGATCCTGAAGAAGCGAGGATCCGATGTCGAGATGCTGCTTTTAACACATAAAACGCACACTTGCAACACTCAGGATCTATTGAATTCGTTTATTTCCGCTGGATTCCATGTGGACGTTGTTGACAGGTGTGTTGTAACTATATATCGAGTTATCTAAAGTGATTTAAAAATGTTGTATAAAGGACGAAGCTGGAGGAAGATGCAATCGAATGGGCGGATTTGGTAGTGGCTGCTGGTGGTGACGGCACTTTTCTGATGAGCTCGAGTAAAATCAAGACGAGGGACAAGTCGATCGTCGGTTTCAACACAGACCCCTGCAGATCGACTGGCTACCTCTGTGTGAATGGAAGAAAGGGTTTAAATTGTTCAGCAATTATTTCACGAATTAAAAAAGTAAGGTGAATAATAATTCAAGCTATTGGATTTAACTGAATTGTTTTATTTTTGCTTTAAAAAGAAATTATTTTTTTTACCAAGACTGCAGTGTTTAAATGCAAAATCAGTCCGTGTTCAAGGTTTATTTGTGATTCTATTTTTTATTATACACATAAAAGTGAATTAATTGGTATTTATTTTTCTGTGAGCCTATCACTTCTCACAGTTCACCAGCAATATCAGCTTTGTGATTTACAATAAATAACCGACAGATCTTGAGAATTACCCATCCCTGGTGTTGGCAGTGTGGGGTCAGACCTTGGTAGGTCCACCAGGGGTTGGTAGGGTCACCAGGGGCTAGGTCATTTCAGCCCTTAATGCAATCAGTTCCCAAATTCAAATCCAGTACAATATTTTTGAGGTTTCTTGTACTTTTTTGGTGGAACTCCATCATCAAAGGTTGAATACCAATGAAGACTTTAGTTTAAGGTATAAACAGTTGGAACTAAAGACTGATATGAATGAACATGATCACCTTTGATTATGGAGTACTTGATTTTCCTCCATCACGTTTTACACTTATTATATGACTGACGTAATTGAGAGACAATGGGGTACTCCATATTCCGCCATTGGTCCTCCCACACTAAACATTCTCTCTCAACACACACTAGAGACACAAAACTATCAGTACTATGTACAAACAACCCTGTTTCTTCAAGAATTCTAACAGGGAACCCAGGTACTCGTTGAAGTGCTCAAGCACAATTCTCATATCGGGTGTCATTCCTACATGCTTTCGACTGGCACCCTTTAATTATGTGTGATACAATTAACAATCTCACAAGGGCTAACCATAATTAGGTGAAGATGATCCTTATACGAATCACAAATCAGGTCCTCTGATCACATATTGAAGGTGTTTTTGATATGCGAGTTTCTCAGTCGATCCGACCCACTGACGCTGCTATTTTCTTTTAATCATATTTTTTATTGTATTTTTAGTGTCAGGTGGCCAGATCGTGGTGAAGTCCAGAGGTTGGAACACCCTGGCCTTAACCCTCTCGTTCTTTGTTACCCTCCATACGTATGAATTTAGGGTTGCAGATTACAACTTCGTTTTGCCAGTTGTGTTATTTCTTCAACTATAGCACCATAAGAGGGTCAATTGAGGACTTGACTATTTTACTGTGAGGTATTTCGTTGAGGTCTGCAAGTTTATGAAATTTTGTCATCTCTGATCATCCTGGTCTGCTTGTTGAATCTTGTAATGTATTATAGAGCTGTTAACATGGGGCCAAAACAACTGACAATATTATTAATGGTAATAGAACATATAAAGACAAATGATTATAGAAACAAAAATTTCTTTTTTTCCTTTTTTTCCTTGTACTAGTGTACAATCCAGCCATCTAAATTACTTGGTGCTAATGGCACCACCCTCCAGCCCAGCCCCCAGTTAAAACTGGGTCAACATCTAGCCATGTAAATTACTTGGTGCTAATGGCCCCACTGAGCCAGCACAGCCCCCAGTTAAAACTGGGTTAAACTACATAAATTAATAAAAATGGGTTAAAAATCATATATGGTACTGCGTCCAAAGTCCACCACCACCAGTCGAGGGTCTAACACACCCAAGGAGCATAAATAAATCCCCCACCAGTCTCCCAGCCAAACCGTTTCCACAGGGCCCCACACCCACGCTTATTTAACTTTAAATACTGTAATTACAACTGATTGAAACTTAGCTTTAAACAATTATTTTGAGTGGATCAAATGATGATTCATATGTATAATAGACTAGACTAGAATATTCTATGGTTATTTTTTACAATTATTTATTTTAATGGCAGTTTAATGCAATAAAGGTCATATAAACTCCTGGGGTTCCAGGTCTTTACTTTATTTAGTGGAGAGAAACTTCAAAATAAAATGGGGGAGGTCACACAGGGATTCATTTCCTGGTGGTATAATTAATAACTCAAAGCCCTTTGGGCTTATGATGGTTAATTATTGACTCGTAAAGGCGATTTTATGTTAGTGGCAAAGGTAATATCATTCTGCCTTTGGTTGCCTGAAGGTGTACTAAATGGTGAACTGTGCATATGATCAGCATGTATGGACATGCTTCACTCATGTTCTGGCACAGATAAAGCAGTCTACATTAAAGTGTGAAATTTATTTTTAAAAATTGTGGGATGATGAACCTGTGGCATAGTCATCATTTTGATCTCTGTATCATGTTTTAGTCTGTCAGACGTATTATGCCTTTCTTAGATTTTTCAGTGTGTTGTGTGATTTCTACTTAGTCGAGAATCTTTCATATTTAACAGGCCCAGCACTGAAGTTGGTGGCAAGCTGAAATACACCTGGTAGACTAAACTTATCAGAAATGACAAAATCACTTGTGTACAAAGTTTTTTTTAAAGTAAATTATTTATTGCATACATTCAGCTTTGTCTTACTTCAAAATTTCTACATCTGAATTGTAAAATGTTAATATTGATTTTGCTACATTAACATTAACTGATCATTAGCCTTAGGTAGCTTCATATACAGTTCTGCAGTTTCTTCTAACCATTGGGATAATCTAAATACTCAGTTAACTTTGAGTTATCAGAAAATGCAAAAAAATCTCTGCATAAAATCAAACAGAATCAAAATTGATGTCAGTTAAGTCTCTTAAACTCTTGATTTTGGCCATCGCAGTTCTTTTTTCATATTATTACATTTTTATGTCCCAGTTAAGAAATATAATCAAACCCTTAAACTAGTATTAATTATATCTGTTGAGAGTCTACTTTGTAAAATATTTCAAACAAGAAATCTCCATTTTTGTAAACATAATTCAATGTTTTTGCAGGAGGACTACAATTATTTGTTTAGGACGAGAATACAGGTAAAACTGACTGGCCTCAGGGCTAATGAAGATGCAGTGGAGTTGGACCAATGCCCACAACCAATGTAAGAGTAATAATAATGTATATAATTTTTAAAATAGACAATGTAAGTTTTTACAGAAGTCCAGGAAGTCGGGAATGGAAGGCTAATGAAAATTCCAAGGTGGAGACTCGAGTCCTCCCTTTTCTGGCTTTAAATGAGGTCTGCTCTTAGAAACTGTTTTTTTTTTAAATAATTATACTACTAATGCTGAACTTTAGGTTTTCATCGGTGAAAGCCTTTCGTCTCAGGTATCACACCTTGTGCTGGATGTCCCTGGAGTCGAGAGGACAAAGGTCAAGTGTTCTGGGCTATGTGTCTCAACAGGCACCGGCTCCACGAGTTGGCATATGTCTATAAATAGGTTTTTAAATGTTTTCAAGTATAACTGTTACTCTCCAAATGACTTCTTTTTTTCTTTTTTTTTACAGACTCACCAAGGCAAAAGTGCACAAACTTTTAGAAATAGCTGGGATTGATAAGACACCACAGGAGATTGAGAAAATATCTAATGACTTTAATGCATCCCTTAGGTTTTCACCCGGTATGTTTTTTAATCTGAAATTTCCTTTTTAACCAAGATACAAGAAACAATCATTGACAAATTGAGGAAAAAATTGCAATTTTATTATCAATTTGACTTACAGATAAGATAGAAGATTAAAAAACTCATGTTCTGCACAATTTATTACTTTAAAAACAGATATAAATTCAATTACAAATTTTGCTAATAGAAAAAGTAGATATGTTGAAGTACAATTTAAATAAAGTAAGTATTTTTAACTTTTTTTTTTTAAAGATGATCCTCGCTTGTTTTACACTCTTCGAGATCTCATTCGTGCTGGCGTTTGGCCTGATCCTCCTGGGCTTCCATCAGGCGCATTTACACCATCGCTTGTTGTGACGTCAAAGTGCTTTTCTGCCAACCTCGTTCTTGATGGCTCCAAAGCGTATGCATTTAACGATGGCACAGTCGCTGAAATGGAAAGCCGGCCGGAAAACATGCTGAGGACCCTTTTTTTCCCTTGAGCAAAACTGTTTCAAGCATCTTCACTAACATTGTTGAGACTGATTTTTATTTCTTTTATCGATGAATAGCAAATGCATAACACTGCACTGATGTAATGATGCTATTGCATATACAAGCATTGTAAATATAAAAAAAACTTTTTCGTATAAATTTTATTGTAGAGATGTATATTTTGAAGGAAAGTGAAATAAAGAAAGAACTGTTTTAAATTACATTGTTGTCTACCTACAAAAGCCCACAATCTGAAAGCAATCATTACAATTTGTCCTTAAAAAATAATAACAAAAAATGACCACATATCGTGCAATATATTTTATTACTGTAAAAATTAGATTGCCTACAAAACCTAGTTTCTTCAAACAATTTTTTTTTTCATTTATTGGTGCAACTTCTAGTCATACAGATTGCGTCTTACAAAAATTTGTGCAGGTTCTTTTTCTCATTTTTTTTTTTTTTTTTCTTCTCTGCAAGTGTGATTTTCAAATTGATGTTACATCCAAGACCCGGAGTCTTCCTTGTGCCTGCAGACAAAATTCGACAGAATGCTATTGAAAAGAATTTAAACAAAAAGGCTATTTGCAATTTACAAAACTATTTACTTTGTTAAATAAGTTTTGACGTGGGGGAATCTTGGAGAACGGTACCAGTCTTTCCCCTCCAAAAATGGATCTCCAATCCATGATCCATAAGTTTGATTTGTAGTGCGAATCCTTTTTAAACCTGGAATAAATTCAAGATAGAAATTTATAGTAAAATGTGGTGGGGTCTACGACATGAATCTGTAACATCAAGATCTGCTGTTCTTACTGGTTTTGTCAGTCAGATGCCGTATTACAATGAAAATAGGCTGCCTAGGATGAACAGTAATGATTAAAATACAATTAAATATGTTAATATATGACCTTTGAAGTGATCCAAGAATAAACTGTACTTGGGACGTGTGAACAAAATTATGAAGTTTATTTAGAAATCGTGAGATGCGGTCTGGTAGGTTTCAGAAAAACATTTTCTTTATCGTGCCAACATTTCGATCTTTATTGAGATCACCACACAAAATTATGAAGGATATCTGCTAGCATGATCATCCCCGATCATGATTTTTATTAAATTGTCGCCTAGTTTGTCATACAAGCTTCGAACTTTGCTATTTTTAGTGTTGATTTGTTTTATTTTGTAAACTTTTACAAATCCGTTAAATGTAACTAAAAGAACATCTATCACACTTTCACATTAAAAACACACAATTTACCAAATACAGATTAATTACTGAAGGTAGCAAATGTGTGAGAATAGGCAGATCACGATGATATTTACTAATTCTTTACTTTAAAAAAAAAAGTTGGTCAGAAATATGTCTAAGTACAACTTCCCAAATGAAAAAGGAAATGAAAGATACAATTTATGTAGATACCTTTAAGTGCAACTGATTCAAAAGTAGGTTCTGCTTTATGCAGTTCTGACAGATTGATTTGTGGTGCGGTCCCAGATTGAGGCCTTGGAGCAGTTTGCATGTTTTCAGTTTGTTCAGGTTGCTTTTGCTGAGATGTGTACTCATTCGGTCGTTCCATCATTTTATAATTCTGAGTAGGAGGTAAATTTTGAGGAATCCCTTCAGGGTATTTTTCCTCCGGTTTATATTCCTGAAGCGGCATCCCACAAGGAGCTTCTTGAGTCATCATTCCTGGATGCATGTACTTATCTTGAGGAGGCATACTAGGGGTGTCTGCCTTATACGGATAGTCTTGAGGTCTCATCTCAGACATCGGAAGACCTTGAGGGCTGAGGGCTGGACCGATCCCGGCAGCAGGCAATTCTGGTCTTATAGGTGTTTCTTGGTACTGTCTTGGATCCCAGCTCCGTCCGGTCATGCCGTGTAAAGACTTGTTCATACTATGTTCAACACCAATACGTCCCTCCTGTGAGAGTCTTGGATTGGCATAATCAGCTTTGTAAAGTCTTTGGTTTTGTGCTAACCCTCCAGGTGTTTGAAAATCCTTAGCTCGAGGGATCTGCATATGATAATTAGTAGGTTCTTTAATATCGAGCTTTGGAATAGCATAATTTTCTCTCGTTATTCCTGGAGTCTGCTCGAGGAAATTGTACTGTTTTGGCGTGCCTTCTGCACAAGGAATGGACTTATTACCATGTGGAGGGATTTCTTCATACCCAGGCCTGACATAGGTTGGGACTGATTCTCTGTTTAGATATTCTGAAACGGCTTGTTCACTCGGAGGATGAACAGGAGGGTATCCGACCGGTGGGATTTTGCTCGGATCCTGGATCCCAGGCCCACTGTCGATGTATGGATTCCCCGTTGTGTTCGAAACCCTCGTGTAATCCCCTTTCAAAGCACAATAATCACTCGGCAAATTACCAAGCTCCGCGGCAGCCCTTAACGTAGATTTTTGTTGAAGTGCAGCTCTCTCTTTTGCCATATCCCAGGGTGACCCCATCCCGGTAGAAAACTTTGGGTTCAGTATAGCAGAATTTCTACCTGAATCCATAACAAATAATTTGATGTCACTTTTAAAAAGTCTGGCAAAGGCCTTTCTGTTGATTTCACAAAAACTGCCAAAGCACTAAATTTTTTTTCCTTTTCAAAACAAAAAAAAAACTTTTAAAGAATTTCTTAAAACCTACACAAGTAAATACTTTTAAGCTGTTAAAAATTAACAAACGATTGTCTTTTTTTTAAATTAATTTAAAAACAATGCAGTTCTCACAAACATCAGATCACTTGGTTTATATTTTATTGATCAAACAGTCAAGCGGCTCCAAACAACTACCTATTACCAAAGAGGGAAACTTTTTTAAACGGATTTTGAACTGTTAAAATAAAAAGAAAGGGAACATTTTTTATAAATACTATTTTTTAATAGTATAATCAGCCAAATTTCTTATTTGAAAATTTAAATTCTTCAACAAGCGGGAAACATCAACCTTAATGCCTTCCTGTAATTGCACGTTTTATAGTAAAGTTAAAACATAAGTGTAGTAACATAACAATAAGTGTAGTAATATAAATTTTAAATTTATAAATTCTGTTTATTTTATTTTTAACTTATAAAATTAGAAATTTCGTTTATTTGTATTGATATTAATGTGTTGTAGATTGCGTATAATTTATTACTAACAATTAGATCATAAATTTAAGTTGATTTTAATAAAGGTCTGATATTTTATAATAAATTGTTTATTGATGCATGTAAGTATTATGTAAGTCTAAGTATGTAAGTATAAGTCAAGTAGGTAACCAGTGATTTTGTTCATGATCAAAGACCAGTCCTGAGCGGTCAGCTGTTCGGCCGTTGGTGCCTGTGATAATGCTTTGAATTTTGACGACGATGCATTCATCGGAATTTAATGACTTTTTTTTAATATAATATAAAATAAATCCGACAGATGTATCAAGGCGTACAATTATTGAGGACTCGTCCGAAGCCTGCCAATTTAGGCGAATTGTCACAATCTTCCGAGTCGGAAGATCCCGATACTCACGTCTCATTGCATGCCCTAACAAACAGAAAGAAGTAAGAAACAGTCGTTTTTTTTTTTTTTTTTTTTTTTTTTTTCCAGGAAACAATATTTTTTCTCTGCCTTTTAAAAGTATATTTGATTTAAAAACGATATGCTTCAATCAGCTAATTTTGAAGAAGTTCTGAGCAAAATCGAGGGTTTTAATGTTCACAAGTGCAACAGGTTAATGTGTTGATTTTTTTTACCCTCGTCAAAAAGCGCTCAGCTGTTGAATGCTTTGCTTAAGTCAAAAGTGAATTCACACTTACACACGTGAAAGGGGCTTGGTAACGCCAGTTGGTTCTTAAAAACTCAACCATTGAACATTAACAGTACATCAAAAGGACTGTCATCTGACCGTGAATTTACTGTCAGCTTGTGTTTTTTATTTTTTTGCTTTTTTATTTATACAGGCTCAACTCTGCCCATATATTCACATGTCTGTGTAAAAACTAGCCCATGGATGTCTATAAATGCCTATTTGCTTAAGTCCACTGCTATTACTAATTAATTATTTGGAGATCGTGAAATGCAGTCTGGTTTAGAGTTTAGAACAACATTTTCTTTATCGTGCCAACGTTTCGATCTTTATTGAGTTCATCTTCATGGCCTGAGATTTACAAACATTGTGTAAATTATTCAAATACATGTAAGATGTGAAAAAAATGAATTTATACAATGATAGAAATTTTAGATTCAATCATAGTATTTGTTGATTATTCAGAAATCATGAGATGCGGTCTGGTACGATTTCTGCTCAATCGCACAATTTCTGAATAATCATCGACTAATGGCCACTAATCACCACACCTAGTATTTGTACTCACTCAAAGTGTTTGTTTTCTGTGTAGATGTGGCATTACTGTGTGTCATGATGAGAATGCCAGAGATATTAATTTTTTTTTATATGTTGGATTTTGAAGGAGTGGGGAAGGAAGTAGGAATAGAAATCCATTTTTCTATGAGGTGAAAGGAGCCGATAATAGGAAAAAATGGGTAATGGTTCGGCCTGATTATCCTTTCAGGATTATATAGGCTATTACTATCTTTAAGGATGTTGATATCTTTTTAGATGTTAATGTTTTATTGCTGGCCGAAGATATAAAAATCTGTAAATTGATACTATGTATGATGTGATGGCACTCCAAGAAAATTTACAAAACCTTCATTCATGGTGTTGCAACAATTTGTCGAATGTGAACATTGATAAGTGTTAGATAATTCATTCACTAGGTCCTCAAAAAAGGTATCAAGCCAAAATTCTTTAGAAAGTGCACATTTATCAATTAGGGACTTGGGAGTTATATTCAACTCAATATTTTTATATTCAAATTATATTCAGCAAAATCTTATAAATTATTGGGCTTAGTCAGAAAACCCAAAAATTTGCCAACACACTTTTTTTTTCTTGAGGGTATTTCAACTGCGAGATTATATGAACCCTCAGGGTGCCGGTGTTTTTGAAAAACAAGCCTGTTTGTAAGTATGTCGGGTTCGCACCTAGGACCATTATCTTACAGTGATTAGTGCCGTGTCAATGCCTGAACTGTTGCAACCACTGACTCCCACACATACAATTTTTAAAACAATTATATGTCTCTCTAGTAAGGCCTCATTTGCCCTCCCATTCGGTACCCTCATTATTCCACGCATATTGATGCAATTGAAAAAATACAGTGTAAATTGTTGCTACATTGCATTTTTCTTCCTTAGATTATGATCAATTAATAAAAGTTCATTCAACTAAACATGATTAGTTGTTCTTATAAGAAAAAATTATTAAAAAATAACTTTGATACTCTTGATTTATGATATTGTAACTGGAATAATAAATGGTTCTGATCCTCTCTCTGGTATATCTTTCCATCTTCCCAGTGTCAATACTAGGAACAATTATCTACTTAATGTTCAATTTTATAAAAGAATCAATTTATAGTACTGACCTTGCCCCTTCACGGCTATATCTCTTCTTATCAAAAGTCTAGTTTCTTGAGGGAAAAAATTTCATACATTGCCAAACAGAAAAACTTGGGTAGAATTTTATAAATTAAATTCCAAAGAATGGTCAAACTGGTGGTTGAATTGTTCAAAGAAACAATAATTTGTTGTTATTATAAAAAATATATAATTTTAATTCGAGAAACTACTTTAAACAGTATATATAATGTATGTATTGATTTTAAATTTGGATTTTGAAACTAAATAGTTTTTAAAATATCTCTACACAGATTATGTTAAATTAAAAAATATAAATAAATAAAATAAAAATAATAATACAAACATACATTATTACACAATGTACAACTGATATATCTCAATTAATTTCGCAGTTACACAATTTATTACAAAAATTACCAGCAGCTCTTAAACCCATGAATTGTTTAAATAATCATTAATTTTTTTCACTGTAATGTGCATTAAGAAAATTGTATTCTCGATGAAACTTTAATTATGTTTGAAATCTAGATGGAGTTCTTTGGTTCAAACTCTGTGCTTGTCGTTGTACTAGAGTTATTTTCGTATTGAAATTTTGTTCATTAAATGGGTTATAATACTAAACATTGTATCAATTATTAAATTTTAAACAGTTTCAAAATGTTAAGTTTGTCTTTAATTTTATAAAAAAAAAATTTGTATGTTGACAGGCGGGAGAAGACATCCTCAGGGAAGGTCTATAGTTCAATAAAGTTCCCAGTACCTGTCTGCCCTGGTAACGGTTCAAATCTTACTAACCTTCATGTAAATATATATATATTTTTTTTTTTTTTTTTTTTTTTAGACAGCATTTATATTTTTTTCTTTTCTCCATTGTATTAATTTCTGCCCTTTTAAGTCCAGCTCACTATGTCTCGTTACAAGGCAAGCCAGCGGACTCCTACACAAGCGGCATTCTAATAACTTCACGGACTGGATATTGAAAAGACAGGTTTATATTTATTTATATTTCTTTCTTCACATTTCTCTAAGGAATTGCTTTGACAGCTTGTGATAATTTTTCTCATAACAAACAGCCATTTATGCTTTTAAAAAAGTTTGACATCTAATGGAACAGTTTAGCTTTGACTTTAAATCTAGGCTGTTTCACAAGTCAAATTTTTACAGTCGGGACTTCTGAAAGGAGGTGCAGGCTTTTCAAACACAGACAAATGCATTCTTGTAAATGCCAAGCTACCGCGTAAAGCAAATCTTCTCGATACATATGAGAGTAAAGCATTTTCTGGAATTTTTTCACATGATGGCAACCTTCTTCTTACAGCTTCACAGTGTAAGAAATTTAAGTCAAATTCTTGAAGTGTGTCGTGATAAAGTTTTAACTGTTTCAGATCGCTTCTTGAGGCTCTATGACTCTTCAAATGGTAAAATGTATAAGCTGATAAAAACGATAGAAGGTCGAGATGTGAGATGGAGTGTCCTTGGAACTGCCTTTGCTCTAAATTCTAGCCATTTTGCTTACTCAAGCTGGTCCCCATGTGGTAAGTATAATTGATCAAGTTTAAAAGTCTTTGAAAATAATGTTGGAATGTGTATTAATTTTTTAGTGGCACTTGTCAATATTGAAAATGATACCTATTCTGAGGTATCTCTTGATTTATGCCCAGTGGAACAACGTATCGCTGTATTCTCTCTTCAGTTTGGAAACAGTGGCAACATGATTCTCTGCGGAGCCAATGACGGCTTTATCTATTTGTACAATTTAGGAAGCAACGAGAGGCTTTTAAGGGTGCTTTTATTTATTAATTAAATTCATTAATTACTCATTCTGGCAAGGCTTTTGTTTAAAACTTCATTTAACAATTTTGGATTTTTAATGAACCAATGATAAAAACCTGCAAATGGTGCAAGGTTTAGAGCAATTGTGGATGGCGGGTTTCTGCAAGTAGCTACTGTGACCAATAATACAAATATCACTATTCAATTGTGGAACAAATCCAGTGTAGATGTAGAAGTAGTATTTGGGCTGTGTAGTATACTGTGTCCTTTGTGAACTATTTTATCCCCCATTATTTGTAACACATCAGTGAATCCTAATTCATCAAAGAATTTGATTAGTAAGCCTAGCTTTAAAGGTTGAATTTCTTCTACAGTTAAGTTGTATATTCCAAAGCACTACCTCATGCGAGCAAGTGAAGCACTACAGTTTATTAGTACGTTCACTGGTGTCTCATCTGCTTCCTTTCAGAACCAATTTTCTTCAAATGCCCATTCAGTCCATAGTGTCCTGTTTAAAACCCTATTAGGATTCAAACATTTTTCCTGCTTTAATGCATTCTTGTGGTTTCTTTCCTTCGAAACTCCACAGATTCCTCTACTCCTACAGCTCCTGGGACCCAGGGAGAGTAACGTTATTTTGCAAACCTAAATTATTTAATTTAGTTTTGCAATTCAGCACCACCTTTGACCTTAACGCTGTGATAGCTGCCTGGCCATCTGACATGATGTTTTTATTTTTGTACCCTTTTCAAGTTTAACTAAGTACATCTCTGAATTGTGTGTACTGGTACCAATCTTGGAAGATATTGGTGTATTTTCCCACAGGGTCTGAATATTTGGTTCCAGGGCTGAAACTCCTGCCCTCATACCTTTTTCCATTCTTGGTACATCAGTGTACCAGCAGATGGACCATTCTCAACAGAGGGGTCTTCCTTTTTTCATTTTTTTTTGTACCTAGGTCTGTCCAGAAATTTCATTTGAATCCAAATATCCTATTTATGTTATCCCTGGAATTTTTATTCCAGTAATAAATGAGTACAAACCAAGTGTAACTGCTAATTGAGTTTGAGAAAGTTAAAATGGCACGTAAATAAGGCAAAACATCATCAGTAAATACAATTATTGTTCCTTTTACACATGAAAGTTAGTAGTGTGTACTGAATACGAAGAAAGTTTTGTTTTAATACCTCCCAGATACATCCCAACAAAAACAAACTTTTCAAAATGGAAGGAATTGAGCTTTTAAAGCTTCCATGCTAGTCCTGACCTCCTCTCAATCAATGAGTAGTTTTTTTACATTAAAATTCCATGAGGTGGTACCATTAAGAAATTAGACAGCTTGGCCTTTAGACAACAGTTTACCGAGTAAGATTTTTATGATATAATCCAATTTGGTATGGATATAAAATCAATTTAATTTTAATACTCAATAATAAGCTTTTTGAATGATCTTTGTAGAAAGTTTATCTTATTAAGCAAAGGACTTATATTTTTTAGTAAATTTTTTACACTGATCAAGAGATTTTTGTTTTTATAATTTTTTTCCTTTTCTTTCCATTCTTCACTAAAGGTCCATGGTCATGACGATGATTTAAATGCAGTTGCATTTGCCGATAACTCATCCCAAATATTTTACACGGGTGGAGATGATGGGATGTGCAAGGTAATGTTCTATCATTTTCATGAATTACTTGTTAATTACACTTTTTGATTTTTAACAGGTGTGGGATATTCGAACACTCACAGAAAGCTCACCAAAGCCGGTTGGGATCTTAGCTGGTCACATGGGTGGTATCGTTCATATTGATTCTAAGGGCGATGCCAGGCATCTAATATCAAATTCAAAAGACCAAACAATTAAGCTATGGGACATAAGAGTTTTATCAAATCAAAAAGTCCTGGTAATTGTTTTATGATTTTATTGGAAGATTATTTTTATTATATAGTAAGTTTTGTTTTAGGATCATGCAAAACACATTCTAAGTTTATATGCATGGGATTACAGGTGGCAAAAAGCACCAAAGGCATGTTAGTTGGTTAACGCATTTTAAAGCCAAAATTTGTCTGCTTCAAAATGAAAATTTTTGTTACAGTTAATAATGAGAAAAATATGGTAAAAGGTGATACTTCTCTTGCAACATACCGTAGCCATGTAGTGCAGCAGACTCACATCAGATGTCATTTTTCACCTGCTTTCACAACTGGCCAACGCTTTATTTATACTGGCTGTGCATATGGGAAGGTTGTCAGTAAGTGGTGTAAATATTTCTTTAAATTTCATCCCAGTTTATATTAAGCTCGCTTTCTTTTCCAGTATATGATTTATTGACGGGAAGGGACATACTTCACCTTACGGGTCACAAGTCGTGTGTACGTGATGTTTCATGGCATCCGTACAGAACTGAAATAATAAGCAGCTCGGTAAGAAACGACCACAACCTGTTAAAAACAATAAACGATCAATTTTTATTGTTTCAGTGGGACCACAGTGTATTCAGCTATAGCAATTTGAGGTTTAAGTGTAAATTAGTGGAAGGTACCAGCGATGTACGTCGCCACATCCTATCAAGCAGATGTTAGGAGAACAATACTTTTATAAATTTTTATAATAAACGTAACAATATTTTAAATATTACTGTTAATACCCCCTTTTGTACTACAATGAAATACACTGATGGACAAAATAAACTCACCACCCTTAAACAATTTAAGTTTGTTCATATTTTGCTATATGGTATTCTGGCATAAAGTAAAGCCTGTATAGTACAATATGCAAATAACAGCCCAAATTTGTTCATACATGCGAGTGAAAAGTGTCAAATTCTCAGTTATTTGTTATACTTCAATCATTAGTGATATAAAATATGTATGTTTTTTATGTGAATTGTGGTAAAATGCACAGCTTACTGAATCCAATTTATTGAGAAACGAGATCAGTTTAAATTTGTTTATACCGATAAGCATAAAAGGCTCAGTTTTCCTGTTATTTTATTATTATTATTTTTACTTCAATTATAATTTATTAGTTTATAATTTTTATGTAAATTGTGGTATAATTGTGCAGTTTGGTGAATGCAATTTGTGGACAGACAAGAGTACAGACAGAACAGTTCAAATTTGTCCATACTAATAAGTGAAAAGTAACCATTTCCCTGTTAAATGGTTTACTTTAATTATTATGGATACAGTTCATAATTTTTAGGTAATTGTGGTAAAATGGCATAGTTTGCAGAATGCAATTTGATGATAAACATTTTTTTTTTTTTGAGGTAGTTTAGAAAAACACCGTTTTCATTTTTAGGCCGACATTTCGGGTCATCTTCAGAGCCATTAAAAAACATACGTTGATTGGAAAAAATACAATTTAAGATGTAAATATAAATTTTGAACCAACTTTTTCACACAAACATAAAGTGTGGTGCTTAAACTGCTTGCTTAATTCTTGTGGTGTATAGGTTTTGTGTGAAAGTGTTGTGAAACGTGAATTTGTGTTCTGCTGTTTCTATATGATCGCGACTGGGTGGGGAATGTGGTAAATCTGGGAAATTTTCTTTGATATAATTTTTATGTAAATTATGGTATAATTGCACAATTTACTGAATGTAATTGGTGGACAAATAATAGAACAGTCTGACTACTCCTTAAATTTGCCCATACTAATAAGTAAAAATAAACAATTTTCCTGTTATATGTTTTACTTCAATTATTAACAATATAATTTATAATTGTCATATTTATGTCAACCCTGGCAAAAATAGTTTGTACAATTTCTTGTGTAATAAGAAAACAGTGGGGGTGTCGGTGGGCGCAACGGTTTAGGCGTTGACATGGTGCTCATCACTGTAAGGTAAAGGTCCCAAGTTCGAATCCAGTGGCCTTGCTTTCGAACCTGATATACTTACAAATGGGCATCAGTACCCGTATATGACCTCTGCTGTTGCGAACCCTCATAAAAAAAAAGTTCAAATTTTTCCGTACTAACAAGAGTAAAGTGTCAATTTCCAGTTATTTGTTTTACTTCAATTATTATTGACAAAATTGACCATTTTTATGTAAATTGTAGCATTGTGGCAAAATAAACAGCTTCAGTTCAAGTTTTTATATGCTAACAGAAGTTCTGCCTACAGAAAATTTCCAACTTATTTAATTTTTATCGAGAAATAAATTCTTGAAAGCTTGATGAAGAAATCTTTTCTTCTCTTTCAAATTGACCTTATAGTTGATTTTTAATATAAAATGTAATTTAAAAGTATATATTTTATTTATTGAATTTTTTGCTGTACAATATAGTAACAGTGGTCCTTCCTGGTGGTGTATACATTAAACTTATAGAGTAAAAGATTACTTGGGCAATTATAAATTAATTACGGTAATGTAAAATAACGAATCTTCTAATTTGTATTTTTAGTATTTATAGTAATAAAGGTTATTAGTAGATAGTAAGTTAGCATTGTTAAAATGTATTCTTGAGGGAAATGGAGAAATTTTGTGAGAAGGAGAAAACCCCTTCGTGGTTGGCAATAGTCGCAGTTTGAGTTTCTGGGTCGCGCAACTCGAGACCCGAGGGACTATTCACTTCCAGACTTCCAGTCGGAGTGTATTCTACCTGGCTCGTCGAATTTCGTCGTTTCTTCCGTCGAATTTTAATTTTCTCACTCTTTTATTTTGATTTTTGCTCGTGCTGACCTACGCGGGAGGGCGGCTGGCGTAAAGAGGAGATGCGTTCCCCAGACGGGCCGACACCTCTCAATTCCTCTCATCGAACTCTACCCAGAGACCGTTGATCCCACACTCGAGCCCTCGACGGGAAATGAAAATTCGAGATGATGATGGGTGACCAGTTTCGCAAAGTGGAGCAGTACTCGCCCAAGTCGTCTCCCAGGGGTGCGAGGTCCCCTGTCGTCTCCAGGCAGGACTCGACCGGGACACTGAAAACGACCATCTCACTCGGCAAACACCCTTCCATCGTACACAGCGGTCCTTTCTATTTGATGAAAGAGCCACCCGGTAAGTCGATTTCCGGATTTTCCACTTTTCAACTTTCCCCCCGGAGTCTCACGAGCCCTCGGCGATTGTGCAACTGCCAAGACCGTCGCGGGTCGCAATCCATGATTGGCCTTCAAACGGTTATTAAAATTCCATCCAAAATAAATAAAACAAACGCCCAATAGAAACTCTTTCAAATGTAAACAATTCCCATTGTTGAATTAATATTATTTCTTGAACGGATGAGCCTTTCTGATCATCTAGGTCCGTCTATCCTCGCTGTGTTGGTAACAGAACCGTTTGGTCAATTTGTCATCTTCGAATGGTGTTATTTTGTCAACATATCTTAAACAAGGAAAGCTTATTTGTAACAGCGAGGATAGGCATATTTTTGCTATCTTCATTTGTGATTTTGTGTTGATGCTTCACTCTTGGCCCATCACTGAAACAGGAGTGGCTGATCAAACAAGGATAATCGGAAATGACAGCACTACGCTTATGCTGTTAAAGCTTAATCCTCTTGCTAGTATTATTCTCACAGTTTCAATACCTCAAGGGATAGGTCATGAAAATGAGAGGAAATGACCAACTTACATTTACTTTCTTATGCTACATTCATATAATAGTTTTATTATTTAATACATTGTGAAGATGCTGAATCACATCTGACAGACGAAAATAACAAGGATAGTGGGCTTGGATGATCATGTTTTGACATTTTTTTATTTTCAGTTGTGGGTTTGTGCCAGTGCATCACCCTGCTTATATCCCTGGCCAGTCACTAAAACAGGAGTGGCTGATCAAAACAGCAAGATCAGGCTAACCAGGATAATCAGAAATGACACAACTACATGTCCATTATTAAAGCTTAATCCTCCCAGTCTTATTATTCTCTCAGTTTCAAGACAGATATTGAGAACAACACACACCCTCCTCCTCCGATGGTGAAATGTGCAAGGATAGGCTGATGAAAATGAGTGGAAATGACCAACTTATATTACTTTATTATGTTACATTCATATGACAGATAGTTTTAATATTTAATGCATTGTGAAGATGCTGAATTGCATCTGACAGGCAAAAATAGCAAGGATGATGGTCTTGGATGATAGTGTTTTGGCATTTTCCTATTTTCAGTTGTTCACAGACAATTTTTACTGGGAACTGCATTTATCCACTTTTTGTAAAATCATTCTTACTATGAGCGGATACAAAGTAAAAATAAGAAAATACAGAGTCAATCATAAGAAATTATGTGGTGTTTAATGACCGTTAATTAATGATTATTTGGAGATCGTGAGACGTTTTGATCTTTATTGGGCACTCTCAACACAACACACAAGAATGACACATCTACACAGAAAACAAACACTTTGAGTGAGTAGAAATACTTTGATTGAATATAAAAAATATATTTTTTGCATTGTTAAATTCACTTTTTTTCCAATTTGTTAAATTTAAACAATGTTTGTAAATCCCAGGCCCTGAAGATGATCTCAATAAAGATCGAAACGTTGGTTCGATAAAGAAAAATGTTTCTATAAAATCTACGTCATACCAGACTGCATATCACGATGTACACATAATCTTAAGAAATTATTTTGAAATTACCAAGACATTTCTCATTTATCTAATTTATCTTTAAAATTGGTGAAGTTCAATTTCTTATCCTTTATTTTTATAATTTCCTAATATCAACTATTATTTTGTTTTTACTACAAATTGTTTATATTGGCTGTTGAATTGACTCTGATGATTATGTTTAAATTTCAGCTGAAAGTGACTTGACAGGAGCTGTGAATTTGATGGCCGCCTATGGCCTTGAGCACACTTATAGTAAATTCAGTGGTAAAAAAGTTAAAGAGCAGTTGTCATCTTTTTTACCCAACCTCCCTGGAATTATCGACACTCCGGGTCATCAGGATAACAGGTAAATTTTAACTTTTTAAAGTATGTTTTCATATCTCCCATTAATGCTTTATTGTTTAAGCAGCTCGTTACGATCTGTAATAGAGAAACCACCGATCATAGGGAAAGAACTTCGACCTCTCACATCCGTGCAGCTTGCTGGATTTAGATTACACCCCGGGCCTGTAAGTTTCCTTCATTTAACCACTAGGATAATTATAACCTTAACAATAATAATTTATGTTTTACAGCTTCCTGAGCAGTACCGCTATGTAAACCAAGCCCCGACTAAAAAGCACAAGAGCAAACATAAAAAGCATAAACACAAAGCAGACGGTGCCGGCGGAGGCGGAGAACTGAGTGCTAGTGAAGGCGGTGTGGACACACATGAGAAAAAACACAAGAAACAGAAGAGGCATGATGAAGAGAAGGAGAGGAAAAAACGGAAAAAAGAGAAGAAAAGAAAGAAACAGAAACACAGTCCTGAACAAACCAGCGGTGGCCTAACCCCTAATCAACATTCAATTGGTTGATTAAGTTATATAATTAAATTTTACTTGTAAATAGCTTATTTAATTTAGAAAACATTCATTGTATGTTTCCATAAAAACAATTTGGGGTTATATATGAGTATCTTGATTTCTTTTTCTTTTATTTTTTTCCTTTGATGAGTTTTTAAAACATATATTCTAAACTAATGTGGCTTTTGTGGGACCATTGTAGACTCTTGTTATTTTTATTTTGCACTCGTCCAAAAATTGTACATTCTGGTTGTGCAGGAGCATCTCCAAAAGCCAAACAGTATTCAAACCCATTTTCTTTATTTCAAGTCACATTTTTTTTTTTTTTTAAAGGCACAATCTTATAAATTAGTTAGGAAATTCCAATTAAGATATTAAGGAAAGGCAATGAAGATAAGGACGGATATAATCTATACATTAACCCTATTTATTTTTGTACCAAACATATGTAAATTTTATTAGTACAAATTTGGTGGCCCACCTTGTAAAATTGAAAAAATCATTTAAGTGCAATTTAAAAAACAAATTTTGTTCCTGTTTTGACTTTGTATTTTGATTTTTTTCCCCTTGGATTATTAACTGGCAAAATTAAATTGTGATTTTAACAGGGAATATATAATCTTAAACAGTCTTTTTTGCTGTTTTATGAATTATAGGAAGGTAAATTGTGCCTTTGGCTCTTTATTGTAACAATCGGTTTCAGTTAAATTTGTAAATTCAAGGTGGTGACAATGCTTTTTTTAAGCGAAGCACCTAATTTGTTTTCCATTGTAAATAAAAATAGACTATTATTAAATAAATTAAGTCAACTTGTGATTTCTTTATTTATTATATTGAATATAAGTTCTCTGACATTTTAAAAGGCTGCAATCTGCCATCAGAGAAAATATGTTTGATCATAGTACAAATGTTATATTATTATTATTGAAAATTCTGTTATACAAACAACCTCTTTTGTGAATGAAAATACAAAGTTGTATATAAAACCAACTCGACGATATTGTTAATAACCTCATTCCATACTTTCAACTCTGGGGGCTGATTTTTGAAGCATAACAATTTATTAAAAACTGTGTTAACTAACAAACAATTATCATTTTGTGTCATCTTTAAAATAAGCCAGCCCCTTTCAGAAGTGCAGAAAGAATCCTTAAAAAAATTGGGGAGAAGCGCTGGCATTCCCTTACTTGTAGCTGCCACTCAACGGTCACATGTTTATTTTTTTATGCACATTTTAAGCTCGTGCTCTGAAATTGTATCAGTATGACAAGGTATGTAGAAATAGCACCCATGACCTAAAAAAAAAAAAAAAAAAAAAAAAATAGTCATGCCAGAAATTAACTTTACTGTTTTTTTCAAACACATTTGTTAAAACTGGCCAATTTATTTGAATTATCCCATATGCGAGAAAGTTGGTTTTATGATGTTGTAATCGGAGAAGAAACTCTTCACTCTGAAATAGAATTTAAGTCAAATTTTAAATAAGTGATAAATAATAAATGACATCCGACACCTGCTTTTTTAAATTGTCAGGCAAGTCCTTAGACAAATATTTGCAGATGATCCCTGAAGTATTAGTGCCCTGAATGAGGAAAATGATTTAGTTTATTTATTTAGCTTTTATTTAAAAAAAAAATCAAAAGATGGCTTTTGTACTTGGTCTGTGGCCGTGGCACAGGGCCAGATGATTAAGCTGAACAAGGTGATGTCTATAATCAACCACATCACACTGAGCATCACTTTCTTAACCAATCGGGCTATGCTGTAATCCTGGGATAGTATTACAATTATAAAAAAAGGCGCTGATAAGATGCGTAGGAATATCATAAAGAGTATCACCAAAAGCTGAACCCCGTACGAAAAATTGAACAGATATATTACTCTACAAAGAGTCCAGTGGATTTCGCAATAATTGATAAAGTTTGTACTCCTATCTGGGGAGGAAAAATTATAGTACACAGATTTAATTTAAGCTTTGAAAATAAAAACTAGAAAATTACCTACATCTTACTATGAAAAAAAAGTCATTGACTACCTTGGTTAAATGGTTTTTATTTAATATGTTAAAAACTGTTTATGAAATTACCATTTACCATTTCAATTGGTGAATTATTTGATAAACATAAGAATTAATTAAAATTAATAAAATATTTATGAAAAGCCCTTACCTTCTAGAACATTAATTCTTGGTAGTATCGTTGGAAACAAGCTTTCATTCGAGAGGATTCTTGATATTCTTTCATTGAGAGTTTTAAAAAGCAAACCTATCTTAACAGATAGTGCAAGAACTTGAATTTCCACACTAAATACTATTATAGACAAGACAATTGTAGGACAATCATAATTAGCCGTGTCCCTGTTGAAAATAAAGTCCATCAAGAACAAAATTATATAAAATGCTTGTAGGAACAATCCGTTATTGTCGACTTTCTCCCAGTGTTTCATGTTGCCCAATTGTTTTTTGACTTGATGTACCATCAAACTGATCTCCGATAGATTCCGTGCCTGGATCGAGGCGAAGACAATGCTCACCATTGACGCTACGAACAAGCTTAATAGATTGCAGCATGACACAACAGTCATTATCTTGTTCACTGCCTTAATCGAGTTCTTGCAGTTGTCTTTTATGTCCTCGTAGAATGCCCATGAACACAGTGGAACAGACCAGACCAAGTAGGAGAGGCCAAGGATCAGCCCTGCCCATGAAAATCTGTAGTTGTCTTTTTCATCGTGATAAAAAGGAAGCAACCCCTGTAGCTTCCATATTTTATGTAAAATTTGTTTATTATTGCTGTTGCTAAAAAACATTTTTAAACAATGTATACAATTGCTTATAGTTACACCAGTACTGAGTTTAACATGGTAGATTCAATTCCATTGCATAATTACGTTATAAATGTATCTTTTTTTTTTCTTTTTTGTCACATTCAATAATGTACTCCATTAGAGAACATCAAGCTGCAAAATCAAAAAACAATTTGTCTCAATTGTGAAAGTTGCACGGCACTCAGGAAAATTGATCATATTGCATATTTCTCATTATATGTCAAAAAGCATCTGCTTTTAACAATAATAATGAACTCACACAATATATTAGTATTAATACTGATTATTGATTTATATAAACTCAATTCAATACTAGTAAATTATTGGTAGACCTCGAGAATCACCCACCACAAGTTTAGCAGTCCAGAATCAGTCTGATCAGACCGCCACCGAGGTTGGGCTCCAATGGCTATCAACAGCTAGCTAGGTCATTTCAGCCCCAATGCAATCATTTCCTAAATCCAAACCCATTCACATTCACTCTTAAATTCATTCTTTCATTTTTACATACCTTGATGTTCCTCCATGTCTCCATATTCTCCACATAACTCAATATTCTACCATCGGCCCTCTCACACTGCACACTCATGGTAATAAATACATTGAGACTCAATGTACACAAAGAAACATGAGATATCTATAATGTACTATGTGCTGTAAAACTAAAAAACCAGAACATGTGACCCAGTTACTCACTGCTGTGCTCAAGCAAAATTCTCATATTGGGATTCTTACATGCTCTCTATATGGAGCCAAGGAATGGCACTCTTTGATTAAGTGGGAAACATCGAGAAACCTTTTTCTACATGCCGGACACATATGTGGCTTTGGCCCAAAATTAAATGTCTGTGTGTTTGAGGAAGATCCCGATCCTATGAGTCAGGTCTTCCGAAGGCCACTTATCAACACTTCTGATATGTAAGAGCTTCTCAGCCAATGAGGTCCACATTAGTACTAATAAAGGTACTTTATAATCTATTATTAAAGAGCTTTTAATTTAGAACTTAGTATAAGAAACAATGACACCAGGTGACTAATCAGCAAATAATTTGTAATTTGATCCTTCCCGATGATCTTGGTCTGCCTATTCTTGCTGTGTTGGTCTGTCAGATGTGTTTTCTGTACACACTTTGAAGAAGGCGAAATTTCAAAATGTATCAGACAGACCAACTCAGTCAGGATAGGAGACCTAAGATGCTTAGTAAGGATCTAATTATAGATTCATCATTCCAAAGACCACAAAATGGAATATTAAAATTTTTTAAAATAAGTAATTCATTTCTATGTTCATACAAAAATACTTATTACAAATATTTACACACAACATAGAAATAACCGTTTTAAATATAAGATATATTGACCCACTGTATGTCCAAAGTGGTCACAGTAGTATAGAATTGTTTTTGATAAATTTCAGACCTAAAAGATCAGTACTTCGAGCTTTTAGCTCATCATCAGGTTGAAGGAGTTTCTATTGTTGAATGATGTCAGTTGAACTCTTTCAACCTGATGATGAGCTAAAAGCTTGAAGTCCGGATCATTAGAAAACAACTTACTGTGAATAGGGACTATCTTTAAAAAAAAACATTGAACACCGCACTCACTCCATCATTCATCATTTATGTAAATATACATGTACATTTTTCCTCATTTATTCTTCTCCTCTGCTTTTTGCGCCAGTCTTTGATAAACTTGTGCTCTTGGATGGTGGAAGATGCTCAGGTAAGATTCAGGTTAGAAAACATAATTGCACCATCATCTTCATAGGTGGTAATGATGTATGTACAAAAGTTAACTGTATAAATGGTTTACAGAATGGGACCAAGAATGCTCCATTGTGAGACGCTGGCTCGTATTGGTGTGATATATTAGTCGTGGCCACACCACCACAAAATAATTGTAATAACTACAATATTCCAGTTTCATAATTTTCAAATACTTCTGTCACTTGTATAATTTTTATTTTTAGTACGACTGAATCATCTATGCTGAACCATTTACATGAGATATAATTACAAAGTTATTTTTAGAAAAGTATGATGATATTTTCAAAAATTAAATATCCAATTCAATTATTATTTGTTATATATGATTCGTTTGTTATATTTTCTTGTAGGGTATACGAGATAGAATAAACAAAAATTAAAAATAAATACTTTCGCCTTTATTTGCTTTAATGTACAAATTATTAGCTTCTCCTTATTCTACATTATTTTGTTATTATTATTTTTTAATCCGTTAAATAACGTGTCAATCAGCTTAACTTCAACCATAATTAACTGCTTTAGCGCTTCATTTGGACAAATTTAGTGTTTAGTATTTGATAAAGATAAAACAGTCTTTGATGCAAACTCAATAGGTGCTGAAAAATCCAGCTAGCGGTTTAGAATAGTTTGTACTCTTTAATCTAAACTTACATACTAGGTTTAGAACTTTTTAAAACAATAAGGGCAAACAAGAAAACTCCGTAACACATTTTACAAATTTCAAAATTGAGTGATAAATATAATTTTGAGCACTGTTATGAAACTAAAATGTAAATTAAGTTACAAAAAATACCATTTTTATACATATTCATAATACTTAGGGAAACGTGAATTAATCTTTAATTTAAAAAAAATATATATATAATTTCATAATAGTGGGAAAAGAATAATTACCATATAATTGACCTAAGCATTCACAAGTGATCGAGTGCATGGTAACTTATCTAATTTGTAATTTAATAATAAATTTATGTACAATGGAAGCATTGATTATATACAATTTTGAATAATGCGTTGACAGGACATCCGACGCCTTTCAGTTTTATCACTTGTCGATCAAGCTGAGCTTGATCGCCTCTTCGAACATTTCCTGCTCCCTCTTTCTTTGGCTTTCCTCCTCTTCGCGCTGCTTTTCGGAGAGCTCGATGGCCTTGAGCAGATCGATGTCAACGATTGGCTCCTCCTCGCTTGCATCGTCCTCTGGCGACAGATCGTCTGTAAGGCTTGCTTGGATTGCTCTGCGCAAAAACAAAACTACTCTAATATCTACTCTACTCAAAGACCGATACATGTATTAAAAAAAATTCCAAAAGTTACAGGGAATGAAAGAAATTGTAAACCGATAATTAAAGGGATAAGACTAACAAAACACATTTTTTCTAACTTTATAAATCTTATTAAATTAAATCTAATCTGAATAACTTAAAAGCTTCAATTTAAAGCATAAACGGAATTTCAAATAAGAAACGCAGTTAAGAGAGGAAAATAAGGCATAATAAATAAAGGGTCTATTTTAAGGATTTGAATGGTAAGTTCCTTTTCCTGAAGGAGAAGAATAATTTTGTTCAAAAAAGACTAAAATTAAAAATTGTAGTGGTGTAGAAAAAATTAATCACCTTTGCAATTGCTTTTCTTCATCATCAAAACAATTTGGAGTGTTTGGCCTTTGAACCTGCAGAGCTTCCCATATATCAACCTAAAATGTAATATATANTATTTATAATAATTATTAGAGGAAAACAAATTTCTATAAGGTATAGGTTTATTTTTTAAAGAGGGTATTTCAACTACTATATTATATGAACCCACGGGGAAAAAAACACCAGTACAGTAAAATCTCCACTATCTGGGGTTCGATTATATGGTCCCCGGGTCTCTGTATATGTGTATTTATTTTGTGTAGCAACAGATAACTTCTGATTTGAAGAACACCGTCTTTTGCCTGGTTCCTCCCCACCAGTTAGTATCACAACTTCGAACTCACAAGCTCATCACTCATTCAGATTAGTACCCCAGCACTTTACCACTTGAGCTATCGTGACTTTGGTCCCTGAGACACCAACTCACAACCTCAACCTGCAACCTTTTAAATTTCCTTTTTTTTCAACTAATATTCAATTATCATGTAATCATAGTATATATACAAATTAGCCATGGGAACTGTTAGTGAAGTATGGGTCCTACAGTAACATATTTATATATGTTTTTGTCGGTCTTTTTAATCAAAGTAATTTTTTAAGCAAATGATTAATAATTTTTATGAAAAGTGTGGTTGAGAAACCTTAGTGTCACGAACAGGACTTGAACTCATGACATATGGAAATACCCTGGCGCTCTACCACTTGAGCTGTGACTGACAGACAACGCACAGACCAAGCCGCTGGATCTAAAGGGCTGAAATTTCAACAGTGCATTCCTATACATTTTATGAAATTCCATCCTCAAGAGGGTGATATGGACAATTTTTTACCATGGATGGACCGAAGTGAACGGAAGGAGAGAAGAATTTGAGAAACGAGACATTATATTAGAAAGCCATACTAGCACTCTGCATCGCATTAGAAAGTACATTCCCGCAAAGTCATGGGTAAAAACTAGTACTTAATAATCCCAAAAAAGCAAATATGGACAAATTGAAGTAAATAAATCTTAAGAAAAACTGATTTTTATAATTACTTTTAAAGATAATGTAAGAAGAAAAGGTTTTACTCACTTGATCTTCATCATGGCCAGATTGAAGCAGGCTTTGTTGAATGGCGTATTGAAGCATGTCATCCTCCTCTTCCAAGTTGACATGTCTTCTTGATTCTGGCCCTGAATAATTAATTATACATATAAATTTCCACTTGGATATTATTTTTTTTATTGTATATTTTTTAAAGGTCGAAGGCCTGATACATTAGTCTATTTAATAAGGGATTAATGATCATCCTTACCGCATACATAAACACATTTCGACCGAAGATTAAGGTATGTTTAAACAAACTTGGTTTTGGAAAAAAGCTCTATATAAAAGGTACATATGTGATTGACTGTTTTCTAAGGGCTCTTGCCACCCTTCTCATTTCATTGAGTTTACAACGTCTTGCTCTAAGGTCAAAAAGAGCTATAAACAAAATTGGGCTTAGTCTTCGGTTGATGTCAATAACTAGGAGTCATGAAACAAATAAATGGGGCATACCAAGCCTGGTATAATGTTGCGGGGCTTCAAAACAAGAGTCCTCCACTAGGCATAACGTCCGACAGCCTTCTTGGGTTGTTCCGACACCACTCACGGGATTCTCCAAAGCGAATATGTTACCAAATGTGATTCTGGCATTTAGGACATGGAACAACGGTATTTCTAAAAATAAAGTACATTAACTATGGTATCATTTTATCCATTTAAGAAATCACTTTTACCTATCTTAACTGGAAAACCGGAAGGCAGTTGCATTTGTATGAAGTTTTTCAGCTTGGCAAAGTGAGAACTTGATATTGCCATCAAGTCAACTATGGGCATTATTTGCTCTGGCAAACTCAAAGGGTAATCTTCACTTAACCAGAGGGTCGCCTAAAATTTCAGTTGAAATAGTTAAACACTGCAATTTTTTAACATAAAAAATTAGTTTGCTGTCCGAATGCAGTACCTTGAATTTTTGTATTTTTGTGCATATGTCCTTTGGCCTTCCTATATCCCGGTTGCCAAGTTCCACTGAGCCATCAAAATACTCTTCTAGTGTTATTTGACAAGGATTCCCAAACTGAGTGTATTCTTCCTGTTGGGGAAGAAAAAAAAAAAAAGAAGAAAAAAAAACTATATTGTAAAATGCAAAAATTGAAGTGAATAATGTAACATTGTGATACATATTGATCAGTCCTAATCATCCTGACCTCATATCATGGCTAATATTGGGAGTGTTTTTCAAAGTTCCACTTTTACCCTTGTCGTACCTTTATTACCTGCTAGCTCTCTCCTCTTTCAACATTACTATAATTCAAGAGAGTTTTAGAAAAAAACTTACAAGTTGAGTTGGTGATCTTTCCTCCGTTTCTGCAATTCCGAGGAAAGATTGTAATGGTGTTTTGCTGCTCCTGAACCTCAATTTTTCTTCTTCTGATAAATGCTCAGTACGCGTTTTAGTGACTAGTTGGACGTTGTTGGCTCCAAACACTTTACAAGGGTGGCCATTGATCATTTCAGTTTTGTCTTGCCTCCATCCCCAGATACCACTCCGGTTACTAATAAAAGACAGGTTGTACCGACAGTTTATTTGTGTTTGAAATCTAAACTTACCGTTCGAAGCTTATCTTGTCAGTGTCGAGGTAAGTCGTGGTGATCGGGGTGGTCAGTCGGGCGCTTACTGACTGATGGCTAGGCTGGAGGATCTGCAGGTCGCTTGTGCTTATCATTTTCATCTGCTCAAAGAACACTTGCTCATTTTCATGATCCACTTCCATTATAGTGGCTTGATTATCTGAAGGAAAAAAATCAGTCAAGAATTATAAATATAATAGCTGAAATAAAAAATATATTTTCTATACAACTGTACATTTCTTTACTTTATACTTTAAAAACTATAATTCACTACTCTATACCATTTTTTTGTTCTGCTTTAATTAATAAAGCATTTAATACTTGTGAATTTTACATTAGCCTACTACTTGTGCATTTGATTCATTTTTTTATATCGGCAATCACCTGCTTTGTTGATTAAAGAGAAAATATAGCTGCGGTTACAACGCAAAGGAGTCGGCACTTTATCAGCTAGCAATAAATAATATTATTAGAATTTATGTCATAATAATTTATATTTAGCCCAAAGTAACAACTGATTATTCCACCAGTATGGACAATTTTAAATTAAGAAAAATTGTAATTAAATTTAGAAACACTAACATTTGTAACATGGTTATTTTTTAAAAACAAATGCTAAATATTTTTTTTAAATTTTATTATTTATTCCATTCCATAGATGGAGACAACCAAAATACAACTTTATAAAAATATTCTTTTATTTATAATTGTGCCATCTTCAGTTACTAGTTACATGAGTGAAGATGGACCCAATAAGTGACCCAATGCCGGTTCAGCGTGAATTGTTAACATGTTAATTTTTAATATTTAATGGTTTTAGTTTAATGTGGGTGTAGACAGTACCCCAAAATCTATATATATATATNTTTTAGTTGCTTCCCTCTATGGTATACCATTAGATAAAAAATAAATTATAAAACAACCTATTGAACATGAAGTAACAATATTATAAATTTATAATAATTAATTATTAACTAAAATTCTAACTTAAAGTAGCTTTAATTTAATGTTGACTTGCATTTAAGCATTTGTTTATGATAATGATTACAATCTTTGTTTTATCCAATGAGGTTTTTCATGTTTAAATCTATAATTTTTATTCAATTATATCTTAGTATTTTATGGTATTCCAATTAATTATTCTTTTTATCGAAGATTATTTGGACTACACATTTTTATCTTAGATTTTTGACTAAGATGAAAATGCTTAGATAAAAATAATTATTGGAATAATTAATATGGTCAATTATGACCATTAAGCAAATATTGATTAATTTGATAGTATATTGAACTTTTCAAGATTCACAAAAATAAGCGATAATAGCAGGTACATATGACGTGATAATGTTACAAGTGATACATCGATTTTCTGCTGCCTAGCTAAAACAAAATTTGCATTTACCTTTAAAAAAAAAGTTTCAAAATGTATAGCAATTTACCTTGTCCATGAAATATGAAACTGGTGTTGCCACGGTGCCATTTGTTCTGGTCAAAACCGAGTAGAGTTGTGTCTATCCTGACCTTTGAGCCCTGTTTGTACACTTTATACGTATCGCTTGGGCACATCCGAGAGACAAGCGGGACTGAAATACCATATTGCAATTAAAAAACAAAATCCAAAGAAAAAATCTAAACTATTTCAGGCACTGTGAAGGGTTTTAGATTTGAAATCATTTCCTTTCTTGTGCTCTTTTTTCCCCAACAAAATTATGTTAATTTAAATAAAACAATTTTTTTATTACTAACCCCAACTGGTAAACTCCCATTTCATCTCTACATAAAAATCTGGTGCCTGGAATTAAATAATCATGATAAAGAATATTCAATAATGTTAATCATTAATTTGAGAAATTACTTCTTTGAGTTTAAGCAACAGTTCTGGCACTCCACCAACTCTTGACGAATATCTTTGGTAGTCTCGCCATTCCAGTACAGAGTAGACCAATTCAGGATCCCCTGTTGCTACCGCTTCTTGAACAACTAGAAATAATTATAAATTAATAAAAAGATGATTATTGGTAAATCTTATGTAGAACAATGTTGTACCTGTCCATCCATCTTTATTTTCGGTGTTAACATTGGCCCCAAATTCCATGAGCAATTTAGAGACCTCCAAGTGCCCAAGAGTGACGGCAAGCATAAGCGGGGATCTTCCTCTGACATCTTTTTTCTCCAAATCTTCCTACCAAAACACAAATAGGCATTAAATAAGAAAATGAGGAATTATTTTTCTTAATTAATGAGCAATCCAAAAACATAAATGAACAACTGAACCCGAAGTTAGATAATTGTTATTTTTAATTGAAAATGACTATGAAATGTACATTATTTTAAAAATAATATGTAAATTGGTAAATAAGATATGATTGCTTACACAAAACCTCTCAAATAGAACAGGAAACAAAGTGAACAATAACATTGAAAGTTAACTTTTTAATAGTTAAGTCCAAACTTATCTAGATAACATAATTCCCTTCTTGGTCAGTCATTATAATACCATCTTATCTATTGTCTAAATATCATTTGCAGATTGAATTTCACCTCACTGACATGTTTTTTCTATGCTGTACATATATTTGAACAGGGATATTTTAAGAACTTGAAGAATGGATGGACCTCTGCGAAGGTCATAGTATTTTAAAATGTCGAAAGATCTTCAGCAACTTTTTTAACAAGGTCACTTCAACTGCCATTGATTTTAGAAGTCCCTCAAAAGTGGATGAGTTATTCTTATTAAGTTAGAATACCAAGACCTGCACAATGGAAATCTAATTAGTTCCTCTAAGGAATTTAATTTATTTGAAAATCTAAAGAAAAACGCTTTAATTTAGAGTTGGATTATTAAATATTCACAGATGAATTTTACCTTTAAAATTAAATACAACAGCAAGCTAAATTTATTCAATTTTACAAATTTATGTTATGTAAAGATGTAAATGACAAAATAATAGACTATACTAGCACATTAATGTTCAATTTTGTTAGAAAGGTTAGTAGGTTGTTGAACAATAGAGTGAAGCATGGAATTTTCTTTAATGAAAAATAATGGAATGTGTTCGACATCATGACATGAGTACTCTTTAGTGTTAATATCCCACACATGTCATGATGTCGAAATCATTCTGTTAATAAAGAAAATTCCATGCTGCACGATATTGATCAACAACCTACAGTACAATTAATAAAGTTATAAAATAAACAGCAAAGGAACTTCTATTTTACATTCAATTCTAATCTCGGTCTTGAATTAGTAACAACAGTTTGTTTTATGTTAATTTTTGTTTTTTTACCTTAATTCGATCAATGTTTTTTAACTAAGACCGCCGTTTAAAAACCAAGGTTATACTCTATTTAAGTAATTGGCTACCTATCTAATGGGTGACATGGTGAGGTCACTTCCCAAATTTAATAGTGATCAATCCTGATTAATAAAAATAGTTTAAATAATTAAAAAAAACTAAAAATATAGATGTAAGAAATGTAATTTAACCTTGATACAATAAAATGTGGGAGATAGTTGAAAGATGTTCAACAGACTTCTAAAGAATTACTTATGGAACATGGTCAATGCTCGCTAGAGGGAGTCATACAAATGGTGATGGGAAGAAGGTTCAACTGAAGTTATAGTTTGTTTAAACTGTAACATTCTGGAATTTTTTAAAAGTTGTTTATGGTATTCAAAAATGGACATGATGCCTGTCAAGACAAATCAGACTATTGTGGAAAAGACAATTTATTTCCTCTCAAAATCTGAACATACATTATTTTCACTCACTTTCTGGATTGTATTCTGCCCCCACACATCAATGGCCGGGCCTACCAAAATGTGGCCTGAGGACCCCTTGGGTCCACTGCGAACTTCGAGAAAAAGTAATAATTACAAAAATAAATGTTGAAAAAAATAAATTAAAAAACTAATAAAGAGTAATGAAAACGAAAATTTTTATTTTGCAGCAGCAATCATTGTGTTCTCCACAGACATGCTTTAGTTATGAAACAAATGCCAGCATCTCTTAAGGAAGTTTTGGATGAGTCTGTTCAAATTATTAATTATTTCAAGTCACGGCCATTGAAGCTAAAACTTTTTCATAATACTTGGTGTCGATATGGTAAGCCTTCATCATTCCCTGCTTCAATGTACAGAAATTAGTAGGCTGTCTCTAGTAAGCACTTTCACGAGTACAGGAATTACGTTTTGAAGTCTTATTTCTGTTGATGGACCACAATTTCAAATTGGCCATGTGTCAAAAGTGTTTGGTTTGAAGCATGCAACTGAGAAATTTTATTTTGATGGTTGGTAGAGAAAAAAAAATCCTGTGCAAAGTAAGAATGGAAGGCATAAATATTTTTTTATTCTGTATATTTCAGGCTCCTTGGACCATCTTCAGCAGCCTGCTCTTACAATGGACAATTTGATGTAAACCATTGAGTTGTTTCACATGAAATTTCCATTTTCAAGGTAAAGGTTTTTTTTAGTAAAATTACTATATGAAAACAACATCATTTTATTCTAAGTATTTACTAATTATTTGGAGATCGTGAGATGTGGTCTGGTGTGACGTAGATTTTAGAAAAACATTTTCTTTATCGTGCCATCGTTTCGATCTTTTTGAGATCATCTTCAGGGCTCAAAGTGTTTGTTTTCCAAGTAGATGTGTCATTCTTGTGAGTCATGTTGAGAGTGGCACACCAGACCGCATCTCATGATCTCCGAATAATCATTGATTAAAGGTCACTACACACCACACAATTATTGACCTTCATTTTCTACACATTTTTCGCAATGCATGATCAACTTTTTTATAATGGAACTGAAGAAGTCTGAGCTTTGAAATAAAACAAAATTTGAAAACGTTTTTTGTACTTGAACATAATTTTCAATTTTTTTTCCTTTGACGAAGTTGTCTAAATACCTAAACAGGTGAAAATCTGTTGGAGAAAAGTCTAGAGAATAAGGTGGATGCTGAAGAACTTCATAGCCAAGCTCTTTCAATTTGTTTACATCATGTTTTGAAACATGAGGCCTGGTGTTGTCATGGAGAAGTGTAGGACCTTTCCAATTTACCTAGTAGAGTAATTTTTTATGCATTTCGTCAATTTCCTTACAGTAGAGGTAATGGTCTCACCTCTAGGTAAAAAGGAGTAGTGAATAATTCCAGCCATCAACCACCATACTGTCACCATCAATTTTTTTGGGTTTTGTGTGTAAATTTGGTTCTGGCATGTGTCCTGGTCTTTCATCGATGTTCAACCACTGCCCTGACCAAAGTTGATTGTCACATGCAATCCATTTTTCTTTCGGTGATTATTCTTTCAAGAAAAGGCTCGGTTTTTGGCCTGGTGAGCAATGAAAACAAGGCTCAAGGCGCTTCAACTGCTGTCACTCAGTGAGCTCATGAGGGACCCATAGATCAAGCTTTTTAATTTTTTCTGTTCCTTAATTCTCATGGCAAGTAGCTGCACTTGCATTTAGTTGATCTACGAGTCCTCTGACTGTCTAATAGTGTTTTTTTCCCACCTGAAGCTTAAGGACATTGTTGTCAATTAAAATTGGAGGTCTTTCGCGGGGCTCGTTTTCCAATTCGGTATTCCCTTTCGAAAACTTAGCAAGCCAACGGCGAATGGTTTGTTCATTTACACTCCCTTCCCCAAACATCCTACTGATGTTTCTTGCAACCTCAGCTGCCCAATGACCGAGTTTAAACTCATAAAGGAATCGCGGTGTTTCCATGTTCATATTTGGAGATATACTAAAAAGTCTATAATGGATTGGGGAGCTCATCATTATAAACAAAAGTAGAAGATTAATAACTGCTTAATTATAATATGTAAACAATTGGAAGTAAACAACAGAAAACTGTTATATCCTCTCTGAATTTCTGGAACTGTAAAATCGTTGTATCGTTAAATACAACCCAATATGATTACGGAGATGACTGGATAGAAGTGACGGCAGTCCATTTAAGCATAGGTGGTGCATTGTTTTTTCTTATTGTGTGACAAAAAAAATGAACCACCCTGTATACAAATTAAGTTCTGAACTGTAAATTTTAATAAAAAAATGATTTTTTTAATATCAAGAACGAAATAAAGAAGCGTTTTTTTTTTTTTTTTTTTTTTTTAGAAAAGGTAAATCTTTTCTCCCTTTAAAAAATTATGTAAGGATAACGAGGCATTTATGGTTGAAAATTTGTGGACGAGATTTTCTTTACAAGTATGTGGGCTGGATCAAATCGAAAGAATTGGTTCAAGAACACCCGAGAGATAAATACGAACGAGTGAAAGGGACGGGACCATTTTTTCTTTTCCCTTTCGTCAATATTTCTAAGCTTAATTATTTTATTGTTATTTTAACCAAAGGCGGTAATAAAATTTAAAAAACAACGAATAGAACGGAGATTTGTACGGTGTGTTTAGTAAATAGCTGCAATACAATCGACCCTGTGGAAAGGGAATTTATTTTAGGAAATAAAGTTCAACTCACGACGGGCACTCCGGCGATCAGCTTCTGCTTGAGGGTGTCATAGTCGTTCCTCCAGACGAGGACGTGGACGGGGAACTGCCTCTCGACGTCCATCGGTTTCATATGACGGCAATTGGCCATTTGACGATGGGCGAAGTCGTCCTGGGGGAGATCACTCCCGGCTGGCGGGGCCGGGCATCCCCGGGGGGATCTTTCGGCGATAAGGGCGGCGAACGGAGCGAGAACGGCCTCGCGACGGATGATCCAGAAGGGGAGTCGCGAGGGCGAGTGTAACCAGGGCGAAGGGCTCGGGGATCGGTGGTGCCACCGGTGGAGATTCAACGAGCCTCTCCCTCCAGGCGGTGTCTCAAGCCACTCCTACTTATTCTTAAATTATCGGTCCGCCCCGTTTCTCTTCGCTCGGTGCTTGGCACTCGAAATGATCTGAGTTCCTCACACAACCCTCTTTCTCCTTGTGAGAAAAAGCATGGCACTTTCTTCTCTGATGGCTTTTTTTCGCTTCGTCCCTCAACTGGCCGGCGAGTCTCGGTCTACCTCCTTTCATCAACACATGTTGAACTTTGAATTTTTTTTTTAAACAAACATTAAAATGAAACTCACTCCTGTTTTTGTTTTTTGTTTTATTTTTTAAATAGGAGATTTGGCCAAACCGAAAGGAGTTGGATAGATTTAAAATATTACCACCTGTTCCAGACTAGAAAAACGGCACAATTAAATTGCCATGTTTTTCTTTCTTCAGAAAAAATGCTCTGTGCTTTGTTTCGTTTTACTCTCGCCACTGATACATTTTCTCCATCAGACAACTAAAATTTTAATTTTTAGGAATTAAGTAAAACTTTTTACATGAACTGATCACAAAATCAGGAAGCAAGGAAACCACCATTTCATTTTATTTAATTATAGTGCAATAAATACTGCTCAAAAGAAATGTACGTAGCATCAAGGTCATAGGGCATCAGACAGGTGCCAACAAACCCAGTACTGAAGATTGGAAAAGCTGAACACACCGGATACAGAACAGAATACAGCGAGGATAGATAGACCAAAATGATTAAAAATAACAAGAGCATAGTATCATCACCCTGCAGACCCCATGAAGGGATTTCATTATTTAGAATCCATTATAGAAATGCTAGGGAAATATAAAACAGACAGTATTGCCAAGATTTTGAAAGCTATTAAACAATCCTAAGGGAAAGAAATATTGATATCAACAAGATCAGCATTAAAAGCATAATACTTGATGCTTGATCATGGTCAAGGATAATCTAAAGAAAATAAATTAAATAAATAGAAATGTATTACAGAAAAGAAATACCCGGGCTCAAAGATTAGATAAGCTCTGAAAATAAGCCAATAATAAATTATATGAAAGAGAAAATTGGTGACAGGTTTGAACAGTGGATCTTGGGACATGACCACTTCAAAAGGATATCTAATCATATTTGTGTAAAAAGGAAATGGTGGAATAGGTCTTACTAGTGAGAAGAAAATAAAAATGATACTAGGAAACTTGTAAATGTTTGAATGGTGGTGACAGGGGAGACAGAAATTTCTGTCTAGATGATTCTATAAAATATATAATATTGATTTTAGACTTATCATGGTCACTACTCAAGTGTTTTTGACAATCCAGGACAGTCTTGTCCCTCCTGTCTACGAAGCCTCCAAGGCTATAAACCCTTAATAATAATAATAATCAAAACATAAAAATCTAAATATACATTCAAACTCTCATTTATTCTTAAATACATTTTTTCCTAAACCATGTAGTCAAATAGGGCAGGTACTCGATATTACTATATTACTACTACTTACTATTACTACTAAAAACTATCATTTTACGTAAATTTTTATTGTAGTAATATATGTTTGAGACACTTTAATTGGTTTTATTAAGAGATACTTATACAAAATTTCCTCTTTTTTCCTTTTAAAATGGTAGAACATTTGTTAATAAGGCTCTTTTTCTTTCATTTTATTACTTTTTATTGATGAATTTTCCAATCACAAAACACCAAATATTTTACTCATTATTGTATCACTGAGCATTATTTTGTTAAGGATATGAATGGATTGATTCATGCCTCCCTGGAAAATAAATAGATATAAATGAACAATTATATAGGAGAAAGTTATGGTCATATTTCTCATCAGAAGGCTACTTCTGCACTTTAGGGGAAAACTGTAATTTTGGCCAAATTTGATAAATGAATATTGCCACCACTCAGACTGTCTAACTGATTGAGTCAAAATTCATGTTAAATGCAACGTGCCTTTTTAGATGCTTCCAAACATTTATTAATTCTAATTGTACCAAAGGTCTAAACTTTAAAATCACAAACTTGAAAAAGTTATGTATTTTGTACTTATTCAGTTTTGCCCTGAGGGTGTGGATATAAAGTCACATTTAATTTAATGGTATTTTACACTTACAATCGTATGAGCCAACAGTATCAAAATCTCTTTTATAAATATCTCCACACATCAGGAAAATGGTGTTTGCAACGAAAATGGCTCCTCCTGTACCGTATGAATAGTAATCCCATACTTCCTTTATTATCTGGAAAACACTCATTATATATCTAAGCATGCTCACTTTTGAACTGGTTTCTTAGTTACTGCTCTCCGTAAAATATCTCTCTCAATGTTGTTCACCATAGGGAAAAGGAGGGTGGATATAGTCCTTGATATTCCAATTATAAATCCTCCATAATTTTGTGATATATCGAATGGCACTGTGATGGGTCCTACAATGGCCAAAGACCTCAAGTAAAAGGAAACATTGAAAGCTACACGGATATTAACATGATTGGTACAATAGCCTAGGAATGCCATAGCAATCCCTGAACCCCACAGAGCTACAATAGAACAAATATTTATTTTTGCATTTAAATAACTCAATAAATTTATTATTTTCTCATTTTTATAAATACTTTGAAAAATAAAATGAACACTGACCAATTGAGCTGACTGATTTTCTTGTGTTGTTTAAGTTTACACCCTTTTCAATTAGTCTATCGGTAATTACTCCTGCTATAATTATGAAGAAGCAATCGCCAATCAACATTGAAGCTATTGATTGAGGGCCCTAAAACGACTATTTTAGTCGCAAGGTTTTTACAACTATTAATAGTTACATATTTTTTACAATTATTTCCTACAAATTAATGAATATTTATAAAAAATTCGATCTTCTGGTCAAAATCTTGAATAGACATTTAGGCACATATATACTACAAATTTTAATTATTAATAGTTATATATATATAGTCTCTAATAATTTAGACTAAATTGATGGGGGGGGGGTCGGTTAAGGCATTGACCCAGCACTCATCATTGTAAAGGTAAAGGTCCCGGGTTTGAATCCTTGAATCCAGCGGTCATCAATTTGGACCCAACATACTTACTGATGGGTCAAAAACAGTGACACTCTGAAGGATAAAAAAAAATTGATTTGAATGTCTGGTTTTTGGTCAGGGTATGAAGAAACCAGATCTTCCTGTTGATAATGAATGTTAATACAAAAAATATCCACAAATATACAAATATATTAAATTCACTAGTTTCATGGTCCACTTGACCAATTAATATCTTACAATTAATTAAGGTTTTTAGTTGAGATAAAAAAGTCAATGGAACAAGCGGGATTCGAACACACGATCTTTGGCTTGATATGCCGCTGCTCTACCACTTGAGCTATCGTGACCTCGATCCACTCGGACTTAACTTCCCATCTCAACCACACTTTTTTTTTTAATATCCCTCCTTTTACAATTTCCCTTTATACAAATATATTTTATTTAATTGTAATTTACCTCTGCATTTTGAAAATGTAGTATATTCATAAAAAAAGAATTTGTTAATTTATAATATCTTCCTGAGATTTTATAAATCTCTACAGAAAGATCAACCAGCAGGAAGCCATAGAGTGGAAGGCAAGATAGCATCTTTTTCAAAGGCACTGGAACATTCTGCGATAATGATTAGCTTAAGATATATTGGCTACTATTGACATTGTCCTTACAATAGCCACTTTTCTAATATGTGGTATGTTGTGGAATAAGTAGCGCTGTTCTTCCTTGGATATGTAAAAGCACTTGTGTGGATCTGGAGCGCTAAAAACAAGCCACAGAAAACACCATACCAAAGTGAGGCTACCCCCAAGAAAGTATGTGACTCTATAATTCATGCGGAAGAAACTGTCGATCTGGACATATGTGAAGAAAGCAAAGTATGTTCCTAAAAGCATTGTCAAAATTGAACTATGTTATACTTTTTATAGATATATCATTAATAATTCCCAGTATGGAAAGGAAGAAAATTTAAATCTTAAACCTGTTGACAATACTGTCATGTGTTTCCCAAGTTCATGATGTGGAGTCCATCTTGACATAAATGTATAGGCAGCTGGAATTTGGAAAATCTAGATGTGAGAAATTCAGATTCATGTACAAGATGCTGACAGTTCTTCAGTCATAATATTACTAATCGATGCTCTAATGAAATGAGACGTACGGTCACGATTTCAATGACCAAAAGTGTGGCTTTGAAAAGATCCTCTTGTGATGTCATCAACAAGGGTATAGCTATAAGAGCGACAGATTGTACAAGACTTGTCACAAGAATAATATACTTTGAGCAGAAAAAAAGTGGAGCAATAGCGCCAAGCAACCTCCCAGTAAATAATATCGGGCACATAAGCCAATCGAGATTTTGCTCACTGTAGCTGGAAAATTTTTCATGCTGAAAATAAAAACAAGCTGAATTACAAAATAAAATACTTTGTATTCATACTGTACAACTTTAAATTTAGCCTTGAAAGTTTTTGACAAGTATGGTGAAACATAATATTTAAACACTGAAATTGTAGTTTTGTCATTTCTGATCATTTTGGCATACCTATCCATGCTATTTTGCTCTGTAGACATGTTTTGGCTTCTTACCCTCTCCAACTCAGAACTAATGAAAGTACAGGTTCATCAATTTGAAAATAAAATTTTTGTGGATATTTTCAGGTATTGGCTGAAATATCTCTATAATTAAAAGAACAGTGGCATTGTTAACCAATTTGCTCATTCCAAGAAAAATGATACATAAAATTGCTAACAGTAAAAACATTTGTGCATGTGCGCATATTGATATGCGTATGCCTTTTATTTTAGATAAGGTGGATGTTTATAATTTTTGTATCATTGACTAGCTATTTAATCAAGTATTGAGTAGTATCTATTGACAAGCTGGGTTTTGAATTTTCATTCTTACCTTTCTGTTTGACGGTTTTTAGGGTTCGCAACAGCAGAGGTCATATAAACCCTCAGGGTGCCGGTGTTTTTGAAAAAAAAGCCCATTTGTAAGTATGTCGAGTTCGAATGCAGGGCCGCTGGATTCGAACCCGGGACCTTCACCTTACAGTGATGAGCGCCGTGTCAACGCCTAAACCGTTGCGGCCACCGATGCTCCCCTGTCTTGATGGTTTACAATGTTAAGTAAAACCACATAGTTTGTAGTAATCCAATAATTTTAAATTAATATTTATCTTAATTAAAATAACACTAAATCAGTCAATAAATTATATTTTTCTTACATTAATGCAAGTAATAAAAACCTCAATTTAAGATTATTACAAACTAACTGGTTTGTTTTGGTATAGTTTGGATGTTCATTCAATTATTTCAAAAACAAAATAAACCTAAAACACTCTCTCATATTATCATTCCCACTATTTAATGTTTTTATGAAATTTAGCTTTATTTTACCATAGTCTTGAAACCTCCTGTCACATACATTCCATCTGTTGAGGAAGACACAGTCAAAATGACCCACTCATTCTTAAAGAATGCAAGAGCGATCAGAATAACTTGAAAATGACGAGTACCAAAGCTTGAAGGGGATTCTGAAAAAATTATAACAACATTACAACTCAACTAAATTAGACTTTTTATGTAGAAATTTATTGTTAACTTTTTTGATTGACAATCAGTAACTAAAAAACATGTTTGTAATGGAAAATGTACATTAATTAGTTTATTTAAAAGTACAATGATAGTTTATACACTACCATCGATAAAAATGTAAATATTCTTATTTTTATTAACTCACTGAACTAAGTTAAAATTCACAGAATATACCATGAAAATTCATTAAAACAATATTTTCTAAAAACAGTCCTAAATTTTAAAGTATGTAATAACAGATATGATTTAAATTTAATCAAACATCCTAAAAACATGGAGGATTCACGTTTGATTCAATGTATTTTTGCAATGAAACCTTTAAATGCATCATGATTTCAGAGTAATTTTTATTTGAAATAGATGTATATTTAAACTTTTCTCGTCATAACTGGTCTACTCACCCATAATTTAGATCATGGAAGGAGAAAAAAACTGTTTCACTGAAATATAAAAGAAAACTACACCTACAATACAAAGTGACATCTGTTAAAATTTCATCTTTTATGTTTCTATTGAACAAATGGTATTTACTATGGTCAAGAGAAAATTGATAAAAAATACAAATAAATTTGGACATTAACCAATCTATTAAGTTTGCTGTAGACAGTTTGTACTGCTTTTACTACAATAAATATAGAAAATTGGATTGATGTTGAATCATATGTCAACGAAGGTCCTCAAAATAGGCCCAGAATTGTTTTCATATATAATAATGAATTATCGATGTAGCCATTACATTTTTTCCATTTGTCAAATATTAAATCAAACTCTACCAAAAACAAAACAAATACATATGTGATATTATTATTAATAATAAAATAATAATACCTTATGGCTATTAGTTGTAAATTTTGGAATGTTAATGTTCAACTAAAACTGTCATTTTTGCTGATTTTTTGGCAGGGTGCTTTTTTAAAATATACTCTGTTAATTTATTTGCGTTAAACCTTGAAAATTGTTGTTTTTAAATTAAATTAGAGATAAATTGTTTCTTAAAATATAAAATCTTTCTAAGAATTCTGTTTTGTTTTTTAAATATATGTATTAATGGCTTATGACAACCATCAGACACTAAAACTGTAATTGTTTGCATTCTTGTTTTTATTTTATTTATCTTATTAATATACTCTATTAATTTATTTACAACAAATCTTTAAAATTGTTATTTTTATATTAATTTAGAGATAATTTCTAAAAATATAGAATTGGTTTAAGAATCCAGTTTTTTAAATTAAATTTTTTAAATTAAATCTTGAAAATGATTGTTTTTAAATTAAATTGGAGATAAGCAGTTTCTTAACGTGTAGAATTTTTCTGAGAATTCTATTTTGTTTGTTTAAATATATTTTTTAATGGCTTATGACAATCATCTCTAAACCTCATTTTTTTGGCGCTGTTTTTTAAATATAATCTGTTCATTTGTTTACATTAAATCACGAAAATTTTACTTTTTAAATAAAACGAGAGATAAGCGATTTCTTATAATTTAGAATTTTTCTAGGAATCTTGTTGTTTTTTAAAAATATATTTTTTTTATGGCTTGAGACAATCATCAGGTGCGTACACTTTGTTTACAACTAACCGAGGAGGTTGTCATCGTGGTTCTGGTTTTTCTTTATTGACCTGATAACTAGATGTAGATAATTAAACCAATAAGTCAAAAATTTCCATCCTGAAATATGAAGCTGTACAAATTAATTGTTCACACAAAAGGATTTTCAGGTGAGTCTCAGTCCCCAGCTTTTGTTCAACGTGACATGTTCCCTTTTTTGTTGTAATCGAAATGTTCTTCACGAAATATAAATTCAATTTCATATTACAGAAATTGTAATTTATATTTATTATAATTGTGGTTATTTCAGTAAACATTTTTTTTTCAAAGTTCAACTGCTATTTTCTTGTTAGTGGGCTGTGAAGTTTTTTGTAAAATATTTACTGTAGGGTATTACTGGCACATTTTGTTATTTTTCTGTTTTTACAATAACATATATGAAATTGCATCAATTCAAAAAATTAAAACTCTGATTTTTCTCATTCTTGATCTGAACCTTGGAAGAAGGATCATCCTGGGTATCCAACATTTGGTCCTAGTACTATAATTTATATGCAGTTGTTGATTGAGGGCTTGTGCTCATGAGAAGGTGTTTGGTACTCAAAAACATTATTCATCTAAGTTCTCTTGCTCCCCTGTTTTAATGGAGGCAGTTGAAATAACTTAAGATGCTATGAGAAATAATTTGTACGCATTTCCTCCAACATTTTAGGTGAGAATCTCATAATAAACCCCAAGGATTTTCCGAACCTGAACAAGGGTGACATTGTAGAGATATACCACCCCGAAGACGAGTTCAGCCGTCTTCTCCTTCAGATAACGCTGTTCAAAGAAGATCTTCAAGGCAGAGGTATGAAAAACTCTGTTTCAAAACAGTGAAAAATGACAAAATTCAGTAATTTTTCTTTTCTTCAGATGTTGTCAGTGTTGAGCAAAGCATTGCAACCACATTTCAACTTAGAACATATGCGGACGTCCACGTGAATGTTGTAGATCCTGACTCTGTCAGTCTTGATTCAGTCGAGATTATTTTTAAAGATCAATACCTCGGGCGCAGTGAAATGTGGAGGCTGAAAAATTCCTTGGTAAGAAAGTAAAGTGTATTTGTCATAATGGATCTTATTAGTTAAATTTGGATTTACCCCAAAAATTGTGATATTAAACAAATCTTTACAAAAAAATGCTTCTTTTTTGCTGCTACAAAAAAAAGCCTAGATTATATATTTAAAAAATAAATAAATAAATAAAATAAAATTAAATCAAATTTTTAGCATGCTTTTTTTTACTGTTTTTCTAATTAATATTAGTTATTAAGTAAGCAATAAAATACAATGTATATAATAATAAATTTTCTCTTGAGCATAATAGTTTACTTGTTTTTTAGATGTTCATATTTCTTTGAGTAATTTTTTATGTTTATTATTGATGTTTAATAATTAAAAAAAGACAAAATTAAAAAAAAAAATTGAAATATTACCTTTTCAGGTTAATACATGTGTCTATTTAACAAAGAAAATTGAATTTTGTGGTGGAAGCATTCGGTGTCAGGTGCACGAGATGTGGTCTTTGGGTGATCGAGTTGCTTGTGGTGTTATTACAGAATCAACCAAAGTAATTATAAATAGTCGATAGCTTTGGTTTTATATTAAAGTTTGGATTATTTCAGGTTGTATTCAGGTCGTCAACCAGCATGGTGTACCTGTTCCTACAAATGAGCTCAGAAATGTGGGATTTCGACATACACGGCGACCTTTATTTTGAAAAAGCGGTGAACGGATTTCTTGCAGATTTGTTCCAGAAATGGAAGGTCTTTCATTATTTCGTTCATTATACAACTTTTTATTATTTGTTTTATTAACTTTAATCATTTTGTAGAAACATGGTAGTAATCACGAAGTGACGATAGTACTCTTTTCAAGAACTTTCTACAAGGCACAAAGCTTGGATGAATTCCCACATTTCATGAGGGAATGTCTTCAACAGGATTATAAAGGAAGATTTTATGAAGACTTTTACAGGTCTGTTTTACTTCATTTTCATGTTGAGCAACTTAAAAAATATGCTCAAAACTATAAATTACTCTTAACAAGTGTTTTAAATGTATGTTTTATTTTTACAATTTAATTACTTTTAAGGGTGGCAATTCAGAATGAGAAGTATGACGACTGGTCGCATGCTTTAGTTGAACTACGAAAGTTGTTTTCCAATTACCGAAAATCAGTCTTGGAGTACAACAATCGTCCCAACACGATAATTCCAAAGGCTGTGAATTCTACTGCCGCACAAGGAAATTTCCTAGAAGTTCTTAACATGTCTCTTAACGGTAAATGAGCATAAATTAAACATAATACAATTGTCATTTAATTTAATTTTTCATTCTTCTATAGTATTTGAAAAACACTATTTGGACAGGAGTTTCGATAGAACAGGGCAGCTCTCAGTTGTCATTACCCCTGGGGTTGGTGTGTTCGAGGTTGACAGGGAATTAACAAATGTCACAAAACAGAGGGTCATTGATAACGGTGTGGGCAGTGATTTAGTCTGCCTTGGTGAACAACCATTACATGCTGTTCCTCTGCTAAAAGTAAAAGTTTCTGCACATCTAAATTGAATATTTGAACTAACTTTAATTATTTTTAGTTCCACAATAAAGATTCCCCAATTGCAACAAATAACTACAGTATGCCACATTGGATTAACTTAAGGTAAAAACGTTTTATTTGAAATAACTTTTTCCAATTTTTTGACAATTTAATAGAGGCTACAGGCTTCCAGTGCACTGTGATGGCCATTAGGGTACTCCATATTCTGTCAGCCAAATAAATAATTAATGCATATAATATTTACAGACTAAATGTGGCAAAACACCCCTATTTCCTTTAAAAATTGTAACAGGCACACAATAACCTACTTTCATACCCAATTTTTCATCAGGTGCCATGCCTACATGCTCTTTAATAATGGATGAGACCTGGCACTCCTCAACCATGATATACTGAGTGACCTTTTTCTCAAACGATCCCTTCTTTTGTATCAGACTCTCTTGGGGTCATGTTGCCAAAGTTCTTTTATTGTATGCTTTACTATTCGTACAGCATCAGTGAGCCAGAAAATGGTTGTTTGGTTTGGAGGGCGAAACATCCCAGCTTTAGCTGCCTCGTATGTACATAAGTTGTCCTCCAGCCCAATGTGTCTGGGTACCCAACTAACTCAGGTCGACTACCACTGTTTTTCTGAGATGCTCCAGCTCAGGGATATCTATCTATCAAGAGCACGATGAGAGGGTTAACCGACAATCTGTCATGGATAGCCAAAACCATGCTCAGGGATTGATTAGGCAAAGCATCCTTTGTCTTGAATCACTGCCAGAATGTAATACAATTCCACCATGTACATGCTGCTGTGCCGTGGGAACAACCATGAAGTGGACAAACCTCCCATATACATGGTGCAGACCACTCCTTTTGCCAGTCCTAGTCCCTTCCGTTAAGACTGTTAAGGCAAAATCCAGCAAACCCTGATCTGATTTCTAGGAGACACTGAGGTGCGCCAGTATACACATCTTATCGTGATTAGTTAAACTTTTTTTTACAATATAATAAAATTTATTATTATAAAGTATTTACTAACATATTTTTTATTATTACAACTTTTATTATTTTTTATCCAAGTTATGTATTCTTAATTATACATATACTCTATTAATTATGTAATTTTTTTAAAAGACAAAATATGTAGACAATTGGATCAAAAATTATTACATTGCCACTCACTTTAGTTTGTGTTTAGTGTGATGGTATAAATTTCAGACCGACCTGGCTCAGATGATTGATATTGAATAAATAACTGAAAAATAAACGTGCAAATGTTCTTAAATTATTTGAAAAATTTATTACATATTGAATTGTTTTCTTTTTTTAGTTTTTATTCATCAAATAAGAGAGTCGCATATTCAAACTTCATACCAAGGATAAAGCTGCCACCGAAAAAGTCAAAACACTCAATAGCAACGAGTACAAATCTTAGAACAAAAGCCCTTTATGAGGAGGAAGAGCCATTTAATTCAGTTGTCAATTATGACGCGTATGATGCTCAAGTTTTCACAGTGCCTTTGGTTCAGACAAAGTAAGTATGAAAAATGCATTTATGATTATGAATTGCATTTTTAAAAAATCTGATTTTTTTTAGAAATGTGAAGGCGGTTAAAAAAACGAGTGTTTCTGGTTTGGAAGGGAGTAACAAATTAATGGTAAAGCGTAAAATGTCAGACCCAGACATCCACTATGTTATCGAACCACCGGCTCCTTCTGGGCCTCCTCTTTCTAAATCCCCAGCAATTTCTATTCCTTATAAACTGGATGACGACTGTCCTAGGCATTCCAGCTCTTCTCTGCTACAATCAGAAAGTAATTAATTAAAATAATAATGTGATAATCTCAAGGTACATTTCTTTTTTTATTAAGGTCTACTGCGAGGGGATAATACGAGCGTGAGTGAAGCGGATTCTTCACCATCTAGACTGTTGATAGGTAGCACTGGGTCTCCTGCTTCTGGCTATCAGCCCCAGCTCCATCCGAGCAGCCTTCCTAGGCCTGGAAGGGCTCTGATTAATCCATTCGATCCTTCACATATCACCATAAAATTGACTTCGAATCGAAGACGGTGGACACACATATTTCCAAAAGGTTCAACAATTTCATATTTTAATGAGGCTTAAGCCTGGACCCCCATGACAGCACCGGGCCCGCACCAACAGTTGGCCAACTTGCGGTGATGGTGACGGAGGATCCCACTTGTGTTGGACAATACTCAGTAGTGTAGTAGCTTTAAAGCTACATTGTTCGAAGCTTACATCGTTTCGTTGAGAAAAAATGTTAAGAAGTTTTAAAACTAGTGAATTAGGGATGATAGCACTTGCTTTAGAGAAGATGTTAATTGGCGAAGAAATCATCACAGAAGGAGAAGAATGTGGGTTCACAATGCAAGGAAAAAATGTGTTAAAAGGGAATTAATTAATTTATTATTTAATTAAATTATTCTGTCTTTATATTACGTATTTCTGTGTTTTTCATTGGACTGGTCATACAACACAGGAAACTTTCTTTTCTGACCTCCTCAATTAGTTTATTTGCGTCCATTTTACAAAATAAAATTGTATTAAGATTATAAAAAGACAATTGGGAATAAATATATAAAGAAAATATTTTAAAAAAACTACACTGCACCTCACACAATCCGTGTCGGTCAAAAATTAAACCAAACTAGTCGAGTACGGTGCGGAGATGTGGGGACTAGCCCGCTCACTTCCAGTGTCCCAATCGCTCTCCGTATGATGGCAGACAGTCGGCCGTCACTTGGTGTGGGCTTGGTGCGGTCATGTGGGGTCCGGCCTTTAAGTCTAAAAGCAAAATAGAAAATAAATCAGTAAATATCATAACTAATAAAGCTACAAATTCCTGTAATACAATAATTTCTGGAGATAAAACATTATTTTTCCTCCAATTTTTAAAATAGACAATTAAAGTATAATAGAATAACAATTTCATTTTCAAACACACCACTGAAGATGGTGAAATACTGAAATACATCTGACAGACCAATCCAGCAGATCATGATACTCACAGACAATTACATGATAACTAACTATATAATAATTTAACTATTATGTAATATTAATAAAATAATATAACTATAACTATTTAATAATTTTTGTTATTTTCTTTCACAAATACAGTCTAGTACAGCTATTGTTTGTAATTAATCCAAAAATATCAGCCATTTTATATTATAATTGTTCAATTTTTAACCAAAATGTTTAGGTCCAACTGGCCAACTGATCCAACAGCATCACTACCAGGCGAAAGCACCAAAAATGCATAAAGTAGAAAAATCTTCTGATGAAAATTCTCCCACAAAAATTGGTAAAATAGTTCAATTTTACTGTAGACTTTTTTTTCTTACAGTATCTTTTAAACCAGTAGTTAGCAAATCGAAGCCCAGGCACAGCATCATGACCTCATCATATCTCCATGGGAGCCACGCTGTGAACAGGAAATGCTTAACGCTGCTGTGGGGTGCGACTGGAGAGCAGGAATGGACACCTGCCCTCACAACAGGTAGAGAACAGCCGAAAAAATAGATCTGTACTAATTTATTTGTTTTTGTTCTTTTATTTTCGAATCTTAAAAAATGTCATACTGATTGAATTGAAATTTGTTTCATGCAATGGTGTCTACTCGTCGCAGCGTCAAAAGTGTTAATAGGTTTGGTTTTTTATTTATGTTTGCACTTTGTAGCTAATCGCACCATATTAACACCAGAGTAGATTAGTGGTGAAGGATAGCAGAACGCTTGTGCCTCTCAGTGTGCGGGGCAACCTCAAACCTCTCTCTTTCCTAAGATTGAGGTGACACTCTTAGCTTTATTTGTTCGAAACTGTTGTATACTCACATGAGAACGATTTTTTTTCTTTTGATACTTAAAGTTAGCTAACGTGTTATTTTTTCTTTTATTATCCATTTTAATTTCCTCTAAACTTTTTATTTATTAAATCAATTAAAACATTCTATTAATTTTAATAACCATTTTTTATTAAATATTAAAAATAAAATTTACGTCACTTTATAAGTTTTGTGATTACCCACATAGAAATGATTTTCTGCATGCCATAGAATTTGTAGGGATTTTACTTTTCTCTGTTATTTATGAGATATTTTACCCTTTCTACATCATAATAATGTGTATAGAATTAGAACAAATTTAAAAAAGTTGTTTACTTTTTTATTTTTATTTTATTGTATTGCATTCATTTCAACAGTTGGACTCATTAAATGGACTATTTACTCATTTGTTAGCTGAAAATTTCTAAAAAGCTCCTTTGATTTTTTTGGAAAATGATTTGGTTTGGTTAATTGTACAGTATTTGTATAAAATTATTTGGCTTTGTTGTACTTATTAGATCAAATTACAACCCATTGTGGAATTTGGAAAAAATATATTTTTTGTAAATTGTAAAAAGTAGATTATGTTTGGGTTTGGAGGTTCTTTGGGTTCTATTCTTATTTCTTTTATGACATTCTAATTTGTTCTATTTAATTATTGTTCAATATTTTAACACTGTATTTCTTTAACATTTTTTCCTTGTAATGTTACTGATAATATGGAAATGTTATGTTCACTTATTTTTGCTTTGTAAATATTTTTTATAATTAGATGTTCAAAGGTAATTTCTATTAGCATTCTCTTCTATTTTTCTTGTAGCACAAGCACTGTGTGGTAAGCTTATGTAAAAGTTCTCAGATTTACACGTGGAATGTTCAACAGGTGTTGACTGGAAGTCGTTGACGATCCCGGCTTGCCTTCCGATCACGACTGACTACTTCCCTGACGAGGTGTGCATACAGACGGACTATCTCTTTTCTGATTACAGCTTGCTGCCAGATGACGTCAACGCCGATTACGCTCAGCAGCGTGTCATCTACAGGAAGCCTCTTCACACGCAAGAAGTGTTTAAGGAATTGGTTTCACAGCGATTGGCCCAGGTAAGCTACTCACAATTCTCATGGACAGTCTCACAGTCTCACAGTCTCACTTGTAGGGATTTCAAATAATTGTTGAAGACAGTGGAGGACACACTCCAGTCATTGTTGGCAGCAGTGTTGTCGGCTGTAGGCCATTTGATTCAAAACCGACTCAAGAGTACAAGCTGAGCATTGGCAGGATATTTCATCGAATTGTGCTCAATGGCTCTGAAATCAGTGTCACAAGATATAGACCTAGGTATCACTTTAGCCTAAAATGTCTATTAACAAACTAATTTTATTTAATATGTTTATTTCAATATAATATTTCATTTGCATGAAAAAATTGTATTTATAAGAATTACAAAAAAAAACAATACAAAACACTTCCTTTTTTTAGGCATCCTTATCCACCATTCAATTTTCATTACTGGTATCGGTTTCAAGCACCAGATCATCCGAATTATGGAGTTTCATGGATATCCTTCACAACAGAAAAACTAGAAAATTTTAACTGGAACTTCCTTGATCATTATATATGTACAAGAGGCGATACAGACTTTGCATTGATTGAGGTAAAAAAATTTCTTTCATAAAGAGCAATTTTGAAGTGTCCATGTTGACATTCGGCATTTTGTTTGTCAGAGCTTGAAATATTGGCGATTCCGAATGTATCTATTGCCTATGTGCCCATCGGTTACTAAGAGGATTCTTGATGGATCGGAACATTGTGACTTGTACAACCCACTTTCGCCAGAAGAACAGCAGAATTTGATGGACAACTTTTTAAAATTCATTGAGTTGTGGGTGAATAAAATTCGCCGGCCTCAAAACCACAAAAAACAAAGGGTAAAATAAATATATGTGCAGTTTTGGTTAGAAAATATCCCATTTAAAAAAAAAAAAAAAAAAAAAAAAAAAAATTGTGCACCTGAAATGATGTGGCCTGATGAAATTTTACTGAATCGTATAATTTTTAAATGTTTTCATCAAATCATAACATTTTCTTGTTTCCTCGCAAAATCCTTTAACTGTCTAATGTGGTTTTTATTTTTATATAAACACATTTTACTTGTTTTTAGTTATTAATTGTTTTTCATGGTTTGCTAAATACTATTAAACCCTTCAAGTTTTTTAAGCATGACAGCAATTGGAAACAATAAAAGAAATTGTAATAATGCAGCCCGTGAAAACCAATACGAGGATGATTAGCTTTAAATAATACTACAATTGAATAATTTTCAAAAGCAAAGTTTAAGCTGCATGACGTTATTTTCAGAGCATGTGCCCTGATATGTTTACAGTTTGCTTCATTCCACCGTCTCTCAGCTTATTCTGTAATAATATATGTAGTTTTAAATTACAATTTTAATAGAGTGTTGTTTAGTGGATTTGTGGTTGTATTATTGTGTAGTTGCTAGTGTTGCATGTTCTTAGCTGGATCTGTCCTGCCTCAACATGCCAAGTCATTTGAGCCGGAGACGTTACAGTACTGGCATCTTATTCCTCAAGGTATTAAACTTTATTTTTGGCTTGAAGATATTCTCTTATGCCATTTTTTAATAATATCTCTAGACTGTCATTCTTGATTTTGTATGTTTTTGTTTTTCAGAGCAGTGTGGCAAGTAATTCTCCGTTCAGGGAACGCCTGGGTAGCAACAGGCTACCTGAAAAGCCACGCCCAAGGTTTGTCCACTTTTACCAGGAGGGAAAGGATTTGGTTGCCAAAATTTGCTCTCGCTTTTCACTGCTTTTGTGGATGCCGCACATAATCTTTTTCTCACATCCCACAATGTTTAGCACCTTTTTTGTTTTTGTTTTAAAACCTGTAGTATATAGTGTTTTTGTTCGATACAGGAAAAATATGAAAATGGATTAAGACCGAGTGAAAAATATGGCTTTAATTGGTGAGTTTTCGTTGACTTTAAACTTAATTAATAAGTAAACATTTGAAATTCAATCAGAATATCAACTCTGCATATATTTTTTAAATTTTATTAACGGAATTACCTTACATTCTAAAAAAATTACTTGTTGTGAATCATCTTTACATTTTGTAACTTTGATTTATTTTTTTCCATATTAGCCAAAGTACAATTCAATAATTGTTTCAAAAGATGTTTTTGTGCGGAATGGTGAGATTTTTATGGTGGGAATGGACCCTTGACCATGAGGTCCCTAACAAGCCGAGAGGATGATTTCCTATCCACTCTTTTTTACTCTCTTTTACATTTATACTCGTAAAATAAAATAAATAATTAAATAATTTGTAATATAAAGTATGTAAGCTTAGATTTCAAATCATCAAATATATTTAAAATATTTGTTAAACTTTTTCTTTTGTTTTTGTTTTGCATGATTTAATCAAACTGTCAAGTTCTACAATTTCACTAACATGTGCCATTACTTGCTTATTGGCTGAAGTAAATATTCAAAGTATGTAATCATATTGCTTTGAACCTACAGATCCTTGCTTAATGCCAATTAAAACTCTTTGCTACTAGATGCTCTTGGTGAAGTTATGTCTCTGCCATTCTTGCTTATTGTTCTTGATTATTGCTTGAAGTCTGGGCACTCATTTTTTTTAAACTTATAAATTATCCATTTTTATCCAAATTTAGGTCGGGATCAAAAGTGCTCGAGAGGGGGAAGGTCTCACCATCCATTGACTCTAGTATCCCGTCATCGCCTGATTATGATCTTGAAAACGACCCAGACTCGTAAGTTGTTTTGAAATACCCTCGAGGGTTGTTGATTGTTTTTGTTTTTGCCTTCTTAGGCCACAGGTAGTCTTACTAAAGGAGGGAGCGTCACACAATGAGATCCTTGAACAAATGAAGAACCCCGCTGTTGGCGTCGGTTTTCTCAGCCTCTTCCCAAGCCTACCCAGATACACCTTTGTCTCAGCTGATGCAGTAAATTGGCTCATCCACCACATGGAAGGTGTGAACACAACTGAAAAGGCACAATCTGTAATGGAAGTATGTTCATTTTTAGCTACCTTGCTGTTTATATATATATATATATATATATATATAAACTTGGGTGGTGAAGTCTGTTGTCATCTTTTTGAATTGTGTCCAAATTGATCCACGTGGTGGTGATTAAAGTCACTGCGATGATCAACATTATGATGATTGCCTGATTGCTGGAACTCATTGCAGTTAAGAAAACGTTGTTTTTACGATCAACGATGACATTGGATGGTGTGTTTTGCAGATTCAATTCCTGAATATGTACTTTGAACTTTGACATCAGAGTGAGATGGAAATTTAAATCAATGTTTGCCAAGATGTTTGGTTGCCCAGAGGATCTAGACTCGTGTTTCAGGTGTTTTCCTCAATATATTATTCGACTGTTTGGATTGATGAGGAAGACTCCTTGTAGTAGTTTATCCTCGGCGATGTCCTGGTCGATGATTTTTAAACGTTGTCCTGTGGGGAAAGTTGCCAGATACTGGTTGATTTGTGGTATCCACTCCAAGTGGCTCTCTTGGCAGAGATGTCTATTGTTGTGTAGCTGCAAAGTTCTGCACTGCCATTTTCTAGCAAGTTCAATTCACATTGAGCGTTTGTGTAAGTTATTAAATCAGGAGAGCAAAAGTGTACATATGCAATTTTTTGTGTACAAGTACTCTTTAGTGTAATTATTGTTTTCTCAAGACCAGATTGTGGTTTGAGTAAATATTTAACATTTGGAAGTATAGTTACAAAGCTTTCTCCACATTTGGCAGCTACGGGGTACATTTCATTTAGTTGGAAGCTTACATCTTGTGCAATAGGTATTTCTAATAAGTATACCATTTCTGTAGCTTTGATAATACAATTGACTTTGATCATTTCCTCATAGTTTATTATGTTTTGTGGGTGAACTTCAGAAGGTAATATATTTCCGTAGTAAGGCGAAATTTTATTTGTTCATAGAATAGTTCGGATGGAGAAATTATGCTGGGGTGTAATGTTTTTAATTTACAAAATGCTATAGAATTTTCTATATCCTGTAATGTGTTTAATATAATCTGTATTTAATTTAAGATATTATGTTGTCTGTTTAAATCCATGTAATGGTCAATGTTCTTGTGTAGTTTCAATATCTTCTTAGCAATCTCATGATTATTCTGGTTTATAGTTTGCAGTTTTGTTGTATTCTTTTATGATTTCTGAGTTTAGTGAGTATTGAGCATTTATTTGTGATTGCATATCTTGTTTTTGTGAATCTAAATGTTTAATAATTTTTTTTAATCTTTCTTTATCGTTGTTATCTAAGTTACTGGTTATAAATTTAATTATTGTTCTGAGACCGTTTATAATCCCTCTCTTAAATCTATCTTTAATAATATTCCCTTATGGGTTGATAAAATCTAATTTATCTCTTATAATTTCTCTAGTGTGGTTAATTATTTTACAGTAGCTAGTTAGAGTGGCCCCATCGGTTAACATACTAGTCCCGCATATTAATTTTCCTCGTTGGTACAACAGTGTCGAGCGATAGTTTTCGTCAAGGACATGTAGTTGATTTAAAAAGTGGTTTAGTTTAAAAAAATGTATTAAAACGTGGTGGGACGTCTGTTCTTTTGCAGTGCCTAGGTCTACAGGGATGAGTCCTGTGCCTGTTGTGATGTCCGTTATTATCGTTCCCGATGTGACTGCCAAGAGCAGTGTCCTGGAACAGATTTGTTAGTTACCCGTTTTCCTAGATCGTTTTATATTTTCTAAATGAATTTTGTCTTTTGTGTTGGGGTGTTGGGTCTTTATTTTTGCGGTTTTTAAATCTTTGTTAACAGTATCTATCTGTTCCGGTTTGTAATGGCCTTTGGTTTTGCTCTGTTGTTGTGCGTTTCCCACGTAAACGTCTTTGGGAATTTCAGGGAGGGTTTCCCTGTTTTCGTTCCGTTTGTTAATAGATTTCTCTTTGTTGATTTGGCTTAATTCTCTAATTCTCTCATATAATAATTTAGTTTGTTCTCTGTGGTTTGCTATGTTTGGTAACGGATATTTGTCTTCGACAGTTTTTTTGTTGAGCTTGCGGTAATCGATGACTAAGCGCCACTTTTTCCGTCCAGAGGCGTCAAGTTTTTTTGGGACGACCCAAACCAGGGCTGAGTATGGGAAAATGACGATGTTATTATATTTTGTTTTAACATTTTTTCAATTTGGTTATTTACTTCATCTTTAAATATTTGCGGGTATCTGTAGGTTTTAGAGTAGACGGGTATTTCGTCTGTGGTTCGGATTTCATGCTAATTTGATATGTGAACGTTAATTTATCTCCGTCTAAGTAAAAAATGTCAGAAAATTCTTTTACTAGGTTTGTTATGGCATTTTTTTCTTCGTCATTTAAGTGTTCTGTTCTAATTTTATTGGGGTCAAATTTTGCTTTGTTTTGGGTCATCAAGTTGAAGTTAAAGTTGGGGTTCAAGTTGAAGAAGTCCGTTTTTGTATAATGAAGTCATTGATGCCTTCAACCGTAATCAGGTGCTCTAACTTTATTTCCATATCCTTTTCTGTATCGTTTTTCACCACACAAAGAACTGTGCTATTTTTTATGTTTACCAAACCCTCAGGGATTTCTAATTCATTTATTTTAATATTTCTCAATAATGCTTGTCCATTACAGACATTTTTTATTTTAATGGGGATGATTTTTTTTTCGGAATTTGCCTCTATTAGCAATCTGGTTTGTGTGATGTTCCAGGTCGAATCGGATTGTTTGTCCCTAGGATCATCTAGCTATTCGGTTTGTGTGATGTTGTTCTAGGTCAAATCGGATTGTTCGTCCCTAGAGTCAGCATCATCCGAAGTTAACACTCGTTTTTAAAAAGATTTATTTATTATATATCATTAAAGTTTACAATTAACTTAACATAAAAATAAATCTTTTAAAATAAAAATTAGGCGAGGTCGTGATTAAAATGCGGTTCAACTCCAAGTCTGAGTCCGAGTAAAGTTTTCAAAAATGGTGGGAGAGGGTCTAATATAGAGTTGCTGAGTCTCAGGATCCATTTTGATGAGAGAAACAGCCATTGCGGATGTAACTTATATATATATATATATATATATAAGTTACATCCGCAATGNGGAGAGAGTGCTGATGACAATTCTAGGAGCAACACCTGCATCCTAGCATTGTCATCACATTATTTATTTAACACAATGTTTATACTCGTATATAACTCCTCCCCCCTTAGAGAGAGCTTCCCTGGAAGCTTGTGAAAGAAAAAAAATGACAATTATAAAAATTTGAACTAACTTTTTCTATGCTAAGATATTATTTTACATTTGTAATGAACCACACCTGTGGTTACTTAAGGCTAACATACTTTTCTTATATCTATACAAAATAATAGTGATTACAGTTAATATGATGGGTAGAATTATATACAGAAGGATAGTCCAAAGGCTGGGATTAACATGTACAGCTGGAGTTTCTTGAATGTTATGGGTGAAGGTTGGTATGTCCATTTCCAATTTTTGTAGATGAACGGTGATGTTCAGGTTCTTCATCTTTTCCATTCCACAAGTCACTCAACCTGTGAGGTCTTCCAGAAGTGCGGGTCTGTAGGTTAACTGCCTTGTTCCTGTACAATAGAGTGCTGTCTTCTGCATCTATGAGGAACAACCCTTTCAATTTATGCGTTTCCAGGCCACTTGAAGTTTCTATTTTAACGGTGTCAGGTTTCGCAAAAATTGCTAGGTATTGGTTAATTTCTGGAATTCGTTGCAGTAAATTGTTGGCTATTTTGATGTCAGCAATCTGGCAATGTTCCATATTTTCATGAAGCAATATGTTCCCGCCGCAAGGTGTTGCTTGATGAACCTCTTCCTCGACGGAGCAAAGGTAAACTCCGTTGATTTCAGGGCACAGTTTTTTCAGTGGTTGGATAATCGAATTGTCCCTTGACTTCCAAAAGTATTTGTACTCTGCCAGCACAGTTATAAATTTGTTTTTGTAATAAGATGGAATGGAAAGTAGACAATACAGGTCATAATCTGTTTGTTGTGTTACAGGTAGCGACAAATAGTACACAATTTCATTATTATAATATTTACATTTAGTTTTTAACCATTGATTCAAGTTTTAGGATATTCTCTAGTTTTAGTTAAAATGGAAATCCACCGGGATAATGTTTTAATAATTTGTTTAATTCATTAAACATATCTCTAGGTTTGATTATACTGGGATGTAGTCTCCCTATATTACAGAATACAATAGAATTTTCTATTTCCCTTAGCATATCAGAGATTAATTCAAACAATATAACAAGTTGGTTAAGCATATTTTCTAATTCTAATACACAAATGCCCTTATTATTATCCCTAATAATATTATTAAGTTCTACAATTTTATTTTTTAATTCTACATTATTAATATTTATTTCCTTAATCAATTCTTTATAATTTTTTATTAACATATTGTTTACAGAGTATTGGTTATTTAATTGATAGTTAAAGTTATTTACATTATTCTTTATGTCTGCTAACATTTTTTCATAATTTTCGCCATCATAGGCGTCTAAGTTACCTGTTATGAATTTTACAATGGATCCTAAACCGTTTATTAATCCTCTTTTTATTCAAATTTTCTCTGTACAATTAACGAATTTAGTTTTTCGCTTATTACACTGCCTTCATAATTAATAATTTTGAAATAATTATTTAATTTCTTCTTTATATCAGTGTCGTTTTTTGCCAGCTCAAAGATTTTCAAATAATTAACGTTTAACTCACTGAATTTGGTATCTAATTCTGTAACATTGTAGTAATGAATAAGAGTGTGGTGTTTGTTGGATTTTCGCTTTTCCTAGCCTTATGGGTAGTATACCAGGGTTTGTTGTGATGTTTTTGATATTCAGTCCGTTTGCGTAACAGCTGAGGATGGACCTGGAACAGCGTCAATTTTTTGAGTGGTTTTCCTAGGTCTTTGAACATCTGACAAGTGGATTTTACTCTGTGTATTATAGTGTTGTGCATTTAGTCTACCTAATTTCAGAGTTCTGTTGATCGATTTTAGCGTTTGTTTTTTATATTTGTTTTTAGTTTTACTTTGTTTTTGTTTATTTCGTATATATACCTCTTCGGGGATATCAGGTAATTCTTCTCTCTCTCGGTTTAGCGTTGCTATAGTTTTTTCTTTGATTTTCGAATTTAGTTCATTAATCTTTTAATATAATAAAAGAGTTTTCTGTTTGTGGGTGTTTATGTAGTCGTTGTATATTTGAGTTTCTAAGTCTAGTGCGAACGGGGAGTCATTTTCGATATGACCGCTGATTATGTTACTTGGTTTTGCGTTCGTGGAGGAATGTATTGTGTTGTTATATGCTAAAATAGCATAGTTCATTTTATCTCTTATTGAATCTTTTTTAAATTTTTCTCTATTGTTTAGTATTCTTAAATGTTCCAGGAGTATTGAGTGTAAACGTTCAACTGGTCCATTTGATTCCGGGAACTTGTAAAATGAATTTGGATTTTGTGAAGTGCTAGAAGTTCTTTTACTAAAGAATTGTTAAATTCTGTTCCGTTATCCATGACAATTTGTTTCGGTACATTATGATGAGAGAAAAACTTTATTAACTTATTTACAACTTCTATAGCCTGATTAGATTTTAGTCTATAAGCCTGTGCGTATTTTGACAATGTGTCTATTAATGTTAAAAATTTTGTTTTTTTCAAAAGTTACTGTATCTATATGAATTATTTCGAACGGTTTAGTAGGGTTAGGTGTTATGTTGAATTTGAGTTTTAGTGGTCTTCTATCGTATTTCGTCACTTTACAGATCTCACATCTGTTGATGAAATTTTGAATTGATTTTCTCATGTTTGGCCAATAATAACAACGTTTGATTCTTTCCGTAGTTTCTTCGATTCCTCTATGGTTTGTTTTTCCAATGTGGTAGTTTTCAATAATTTCAAGTTGTTCTTCCTCCTCAAATACGTCTATTAATTTTGTCGTGTGTTTGAAAAACTTGAGTTCTGAGTGTTTAAAGTGTTTTACCATTACGGAGCTAAATTGTTCATAAATGTCATCTTCGAAGAAAAGGGAGTATTTTGTTTTCGGGACTATATATGTTTTTACGAACTCTATAATGTCTGATTCAAAGTTTGTTTTTGAAATTTGAATTATGAGCCTTGTTTTGTTTTCATTTAACTTTATTATTTTTGGTTTAGTGGGACTATGTTCTACTAGTGATATAATTATTTGGTTCTTTCTGATATTAACCGGTCCTTCGATAATGGGGATGGTTATTATCGTATTTCCTTCCGCGTTGGAGTGAACTGTCTCAATGTCAGTTTCATTGTCAGTTTCTAGTTCGTCTAAATTTACGATAACTGATTGGTTTTCCTGTATTTCATTAGGGTTTTGGAAAACTTCTTCCCCAATATCTGGATTTTCTAGAAAGAATTGCGTAAGGAAGTCATCGACTTCTTTGTCTTCTGTGTCAGCATAGTTCACATTTAGTTCGACACGTGATAACGCATCAGCGACTTTATTATCAGTGCCCTTGCAATGCTTTATTTCGAAATCAAATTTTTCTAGCTTCAACCTCCATCTCATTAATTTCGAGTTTGGCTCTTTTATGGAGAATAACCATTGTAACAGTTTGTGATCGGTATATAATATAAAATGATTTGAAAATAAATATGGTCTAAATTGTTTAGTAGCCCAGACTATTGCTAAAAGCTCTTTTTCGATGGTTGATAAATGAGTTTCGGATTCGTTTAAAGTGCGACTTGCAAAAGCGATGGGCAGGTCTGCATTTTTTATGTTTTGATTGAGAACTGCACCTAAAGCGACGTTACTTGCATCCGTAGTTAAATTAAAAGGTTTTGAAAAATCTGGGTATTGTAAAATGGGGCTGTTACTGAGGATATTTTTGCATTTTTCGAAACAGTTTTTATATTCTTCGTTTTTTAAGAATATGTTAATAATATTACAAATTTAAATTAGATTATTTTAAGTATTTCTTACATAAAAACGAGAGCTCCTACGAACATATTCGCTGGTTCTGAGAGTCTAGAAGTTCGATGCCGTTGTCCGGGAGGAAAGTTCATATGCGTTGAACTCTTCACCGATTGTTGATTGTCCGATTGCCGATTAACCGTTGAAACGGAAAGTTACTCAATTATAACTTTCCACAATGTCCAGTCCGACTGCGCCAGTTAAATAATTTCTTTGGTCGAATGTGTTTTAAAAAAACTTTTATTCAAAGAAATTACAAATAAAGACTGATATACATTCAGAACTTTATGAATCTAAATCAAATCTCGTCGATATGCTTTTGGTAAATCTGGCTTAAGACTAACGTTTGTTAAAATGAAAATCCTTATAAAATTTCTAGAGTGGGAGAGAGTGCTGATGACAATTCTAGGAGCAACACCTGCATCCTAGCATTGTCATCACATTATTTATTTAACACAATGTTTATACTCGTATATAACTTATATATATATAATGGCCTTATGTTTTTACATGTTAACAAGATTAAATGTTCATCAATATTTTCAGTATTTATATTTTTGGGAGAAGGGGAGTATGAAATTAAATTACAGGGGTGATGGTGGGTGATCTTTCATGCTAAACCTACTTCTGCGGTCCCCAATATATAATTTAATTCATTAGATTTAAAAAAAATTAATTTAATTTTAATAACACAATTTTTTAGGAGATACTTAAGGAAAAATTGATTTGCCATGCTTCAGGGGATTTCTCTCAACAGTTTATTATTGGATTTTACCTGTATCATATTGTAAGATCTAAAGAAGAGGCTAAAGGTAGGTTCAAAATAAAATTTAAAAACTTTGCGTATTGAATTTAAACTTTTACAGGAGAAGACACAGATCCGCTTGGAGATCTTCAAGGCTTTTCAAATGAGTGGGTCGAAGTCGAGGCCCGTCAAACTCCTGAACTTTCATCTATTCCAACATTTCTAAGCAAAACTCTGCCTCCTACTTGTTCGCAAGTCAATCAAAAGGGTGTGTAAAAACAAGCCCATGTTTAATAATAATCTCTGCCCACTTTATATTGAAACAATCACATTCAGGTCCTATGTACAAGGAGAGCCATTTAGAAATTGATGTTCAGAACAAAAGCGATCGAGTAGAATGGGGCCATTTGAAATATCAAGCAGCCTACCGCCCAGACATGGCTTATGAAATGGTTGTTCAATGGGCTGCTGCTTCAGGGCCAATCGTTGCTGATCTAGTAAGTGGCTATGTAAATTTATAAAAAGTTATTTATGAAATAAATATGTGCTCAATATTTTGAGACTGTAACATATCTTTCAGGTGTTTGGTTGGGCGAGGAAGGCTCAATCATGTGGATTGCAAATGGTACCAATACCAGCAGATCCATTTGCACTTCCTTACTCAAAAAAATCAGATCCACTCAGAGGACCAATTTTCATCGCTTTGGACACCGAGAGTCTTATGGGAACAAAAAGCTATTTATTTGAAGGTGATTGCTAAATAAAGATTATATTAGGTTAGAGAAGGAGTCTTTCAACCTATGCAATGTGACCACTATTGTTGTCATTTCTTCAATGTTGTCTAGAGCTCCTCATTAAGATGAAGGCTTTTTACTAGATGCTAAAGCTTTTTCAAGGTGTCCCATTCTTCAAACCCAGGCTTTTTCTTTTCCAGGAGTAGGGATTTCAGCCAAAATAAGCCTTCACACCAACAGAGGAGATGTTCCACTGTCTCTTCTTCTTCCTAACAATATTTGCACAGACTTGTTTCTGCCACTCTGAGTTTTTACATATGCCTCCAGAGGTTTGCAGAGTTGATACTCATTGATCTGAGGACTTATTTTTAATTCACTGTCTGATGGATCTACATTTTTGGTAGTTTTTATGCCACAAAATAGTTCAGGACCAATAGGTGTCATTGAACTTTACATGGCCAATTTATCGGCCTCTTTGTTGCCCCTATACCCTGATACCCAGACAAGAGTAATTTTGTTGTTTACTCCAAATGTCTTTCAGGGCCCTAATGGATTCCCAGATGACTGGACTTTACTATGGATGCAATAATTGCTGTCAGTGCCGTCTGGCTGTCCTGAGTAGATTCTTCCATTTATCGTTAACAGGCCTTTTAATCTCCTTAGCACAGGGTTCAATAACCATAGTCTTCGCTTGAATTATATGAAATCTAGTCCTTGGTTTAGTCTATCAATACCAGCTCCTGACCCACGCTCAGTTTTGGAGCCATCTGTATAATAGATATAGTCAACATTGACCGGGAATCCTTTCTCCCAGTCTGCTCTACTAGGCATTTAATTTGAAATTTTTTGTAATATCTGAATATAGGCATCATTTCATTAACAGTATCACTCAATACCCTGCCTTATAATACATAATAAAACTTCGAGTTTTTACGTTTGAAATGATTTATAGAATTTGAAGAAGAGACGTGGACGCAAAGGCTGGTTTTATTCCAAGAGACAATCGCACTTAGTTTTGGTTTTGTGGCGTGTACTGTAGAAAGCTCTCAACACCAGCATAATCAGTACATACATTTGTCAGGTTGGTCTGATTAAAATTTTTTTACAAAAATAAATTCTCAATTAATGAACCAACAACATAACATATGTGTGAAAATTATAGCAAATTTATATTATAATTGCTGTAGGAAATGTATTCCTCTTGATTCCATCAATGCACTGTGAGCACAGCACACAGACAGTTTCCCGTAGCCGGCCAGTGCGGCGCTACAACGTATCAAGTGAAATCAATGCAAGCCCCCACCACGAGTACATAACAAGACACGTTGGTAACCAAACTTGCAATCAAGACACCAGGGTATATTTAATTTTGCTTTGTTTAACTTGCTTAAGATATTTAGTTATTTATGTAATAGGTTGGCTTTCTCTGGTCATGGAACCACATGGTGAGCAGGAAGTGGAAACTTGGGACGACCAATGCTACCTGTGATGAGTCTTTCCAAAATAAATTGCTAAGCGACTTCACAAAATTTTGTTCAAATAGAGATAACAGGTTGAGAAATCTCTGGAACCTATGCTGGGAGCAAGCCAAGGAAAAAAACTTTAAAATATGATATTACATTATATATATATCTTCATTTGTACAAATTTTACATTTTATAAATAATTATTTTGCCCATACAGTCTTTAATTCAAACAAAAGTTTCTGTTTTTGTTAAGAAGACGTTTAAATGTCTACCTGACCCTTGTCAATTTTTATGGGAAGACAAAGTACATTTATTCTTATCATATATACTTTGTGTCAAACATTTGTGATCGAGGTGTGGTGTTAAAAATTATGCAAAAAGTGCATTCTTAACATTTCTCAATTTGGCTAATTTTCAGCACCTAAATTCAGAAAAAGGTACAACTACTTACATAAATGGTCACCAAAACAACTAAGCCAACCAACAGAACTCAAAATACTTTAATATTTACCCCAATGCCTCTAGATTTATCAAATATAATTCTGAAATTCAAAATTTTTAATTTTTTTTTTAAATTTGTACCCTATTCATAGTACATATTACTATCAAATATTACTACTCAACTATCATCACTATACATTTTTACTCACGGTCACAGCACTAACACTAATGCCAGGCTGCACACGGAGGACATATGCCATGAAAAACTAGCCAATGGCTCAATGCTGGCACTCAGTGGGAGGGAGCAAGGAGGTTTCAAGGTCATCATCAATGTGGTAGTTTCTTTGAGAATGTGTAGAGGTCTTCAGTAGAAGGTATATGATGGATCAAGAGGTTGGTACAAAACTTTTGGAATCGAGAATAGATCAGTTTGTTGAAAAAAGGAATGTGAGGTCGTTGTGGATAGCAAATTCATTGATATAGTAAGAGCTTTGATGATTTGTCTGAGAACTTTACGATTAGACGGATTGGATAGCTGGCAAAGTTCAACACAGTATGCCCAAAGTGGTCGCAGTAGCCTTGTGTAACGTTAGTTTAGTGTTGACGGTCAAGATGGATTTTGGTCTAAGAAGTCTGTAGTTGTCCAATTCTTATTTAAGTATTGTCTCTTAAGTCTTATGTGGGGAATCTACACCAGTAAGCTGTCTAGGTACAGTCCGAAGTATTTGATTTCAATGGAAATCGGTACCTCTTAAGGGCAAGACTAGTTTTTTCAATGTGAACTTACACTAAATACATTTTCTTCATTCAGTCTTGTCCTCTACTTTTTGCATATCTTCAATAAAAGCTCAAGGTGTTCTTGGATGTTGGAGGTAGATTGGATTGTATTAGAGTTACAGTACAAAATTAAGGTGGCATGAGGTGATGATAGTATGGCATATATGCAGGTCAGCAGTGTAAATGATATAATGGATTGGACCAGGAATGCTCTCTTATGGGACACTGGCTTTTATCTGTCTGACTTCCGAGAACTTATTGCTGCACCTCATTCTGAGCAGCAGTTGGTTAGGTAGGATTTCAAGATAAGGTAAAAAGGAGTAGGTAGAAATCTTTTAACTTTATAAAGCATGCCCTGGTGCCAGACCCTATCAAAAGTCTATGCTACATCTAGAAGCACCCAAGCAATACTCTTTATTCTCTAGAGCAGAGGAGATAGCGTCGACGACTCTGAAACCTTGTTGGGTCGTGGAATGATGAGGATGGAAGCCAAATTGATGAGAAGGAATGATTTTATAAGTATCTAAGGAGGGTATTAAATGTGTTAAAAGAAGACTTTTGAAGATTCTGGTCAGTCTGTAAAAATTTATTTTACTTGAATTTACTTTTACTAGAATACAGAATATACATGAAATTTATTTAAAATTTTGGTATTTACACACTGTTAAACTGTTTTTAAAAGATTTTTCTTGTAACACTCTAAACTACATAACAACACTTTGGTCTTCGAGCATGAATACTTTTTGGCATTTTGGCACCCTGGCACTCCACACTTTACCACTGCTGGAGGTGGAGGGCTAAACAGAAAACAATTTAAATAGAAAATTAATATTAATAGAAAAGAAATTCAAAAGAAAATTATAAAACAAAATTTTTGCTTTAAACATACGCAATTTGCTTAGGAAGAGGATAGTCCATTCCTAGTGGGAATGACACACTGATGCCACTTTGGTTGTTGCAGTAAGCTATACTGACACCAATTTTTCGGACGCTCTTCTTTGCAGCTTGCTTGTTTGTCTTGTTGTCCTGCTTTCTTAACAACCTCTCCATTGTTCTTTTCTATTAGTTTATTTAAAGTTTTTTAAATTCTTTGTTGAAAATATTTTTTGTTATTTTTATGAACTTTAATAATATTTTTACCATGTCTTTTTCTCGTTTTTCGTCCAACAGTTGTTTCCTTTTCTGCGATTTCAGTGCTGCCTTTTTTATCATCTCTGGAGTCATGACTTTCTCCCTGTAACCTATTATTAGAAAGTTAATTTTTTCATTTCCCATCAATATCACTACTTACCTGAAGGCAGTGAAAGAAGTTGTTCTGCACTCGGATCTGGCATAGCATCACCTTTTCTCTCAAGCATTGCTCTTTGTCGAGCAGTCATCAATTTGGGGTCTTTTGGTTTTATTTTTTTTAACTCATCATCTACCTTACATATTTGACAAAAACGAGAAAGACAATAGAACAAATAATTTATTTCTTGCAGTACATACTTCTGAACATGGAAGTTACCTCTTCTAACTTGCCCGACTGGATGGCGTCAAGCCAGCGCTCTTCGTCACTTGAAGTCCCGCTCTCTTTTCCCATCTTTAACTTTTTCTTCTTGCTACTCTTCGGTGACACTCCGGTCGAGGATGGTTTTTGCTCTTGCCTCAACGGACTACGACAGTAATTTGTAAAAGGGGAAAAGGTTAAAAGAAAATGTTTAAATACCTTCCAGTTGGTGTTCCTGAATTTGGGGTAAGAGTCTTGACTTTAGTCACTTCCATTTGCTCACTCTCACGTTTTTTCTTGTGCTTTTTGTGCTTATGTTTTTTATGCCGCTTTGAAGGAGTAACTGTTTCCACATCTAAAAAATAATATATACTAAACAGCCTAATTTCCTGGACTAAAATATAAGTAAATTCATTTAAGAAACACATTAAAAAAAAAAAAAAATTAAGAAACAAAAAAATTAACACATTAAAAAAAATGAAATAGAAAATTGCTAGTTGATTTTACATAAACCAAAAATAAATTTTTATCTATTATCCATTATTTTAAAATAGTAACCCATTAGTATGTTAAGATAAATAATATGGAAAGCTTTTCGAATCTATCTGTGAATTGAATTGAAACTACTCATGCATATATAATACAGGTAGAAACTGCCAAGAAGCGAGCATCCTTCTGTTGATACATATTCAAAAGCCTTCATATTTTATTTATTTTATACAGCACCATAATTAAAACCCACACTCCATTATAAAGAATTTTTTCTTTTTTTGTCACTTTTTCATTGTGCAAGTATCGTGGAGATTTTCTGTTGAGTAATGTCTGCCAGAGGAAAAGAATCTGTAGTTTCATTTGGATATTGTTTCATTGACGGCTGATTGGCACACAAACAAAAGCAAAGCATAATCAGACCAGGATAATCAGAAATGACCAAACAACAGTTTTTTACAAGATGTTCAACAACGTATTGAACCAATTCAAAATTTTTTTAAAATTTTACAATGGTAATCTAAAATAAAAAACTACAACTGTTGTACTTTATTTAACCAAACCTAGCACAATATGGTGGGCAGTAAAACAATTAGAAAAATAATTATTAAGTTTATAAACACTAGCAATTGACATAAGTTACAAATTAATTCCTGCAAAGTTGAGAGAAAAAATAATAAACTCGAAATTCACCCATCAGAAAAGATAATCCTATTAGCAAAGACCTTTGGGATTTTAAACTTTACATTATAATAAATTTTGCTAACAGAGGATAACTGTTCAAGTATGATTACCAGCATTTGATTACCAGCAAGTATGATACTCAGCATACCTATGGCAACTGCACAGAATAGAAACCTTAATTACAATCCTAAAAGTTTTAGCTTAATTTTCCAAAAAGCCCAGTTTCTTTGTTTTATATTTTATAAGTTATGATGTAAAAATGTTAAAGTTCATGTTGTGGTTTGGTGATGAACCTGCGGCTTGATCATCTCTGATAATCCTTGCCTGCCATTTCTTTTTGAATATGTCCATTTTATTCCTTTATTATGATTATACAACTATGCAACTTAATGACACAAGCTAGATTTGAAAATGGGTGTTTTATCACTAGATAAATTGCACATGAACAAGCTTCTTGGCAGTAGTGCAAATGCACAAGAATAACCATCTCACAATCAAACTAAAACCATTGAATAAGACGTATGAAAAATAAACAACCGGGATAAACCAACATGCAGTCATATCAAAAACCTATAAGCTGTAGCCTTAGTAAATAAGAATGTTTATATATTTAAAAAATTTGCTAAATATTGTGGTTACAAAGCATTAAAATATTAGCAATTATACTGTTAGCTTAGTCATTTTTAATCATTTGTATCGGAATATCTTCGCTGTTTTCATGTTGGACATTTTTTGAATTTCTGTCTTCAACGACAGGTTTGAGAATGACATTATTTCTACCTGAAGAAGTGCTTCATAGAACTTTTTATCAAAGAAAAAAAAAACACGGTATCTGGGACATGTGATGCATGGAGCACGTGATGAATTGCTCATGTTAATAAAGGAGGGCAAAATACTGAGGAAGTGTTCCAATGGAAGTAGGCAGAAGTCTTGGCTGAAGGACAGAGGTGATGGGCTCGTTGACTCATGACTTGACTGCAGGTTTTATTTCATGTAGTTTATCAGTCATTGTAGTCCCGTGGTTCTGCTTTCTAACATTGGTTTTTATAATAATTTTTCACATCCGTTGAACTCACTTCATAGATCATTATGGTTTCATTATTGTTAATCATTATAGTTAAGTCAATAGCACGAGTGGGATTTGAACCCACGATCTTCGGCTAGATACGCCGCTGCTCTACCACTTGAGCTATCGTGACCTCGATCCACTCGGACACTAACTTCCCATCTCAACCCCACCTTTTGAGTTCCCTCCTTTTTGCCATTTTTCAACTAAAATTTTTATCTCAACTAAAAACCTTAATTAATTGAAATATATTAATTGGTCAAGCGGACCACGAAATTAGTGAATTATAGTTAAGTACACTTTTGTAATTTTTATAACTCAGGTACACATAAAACATCCACTGAAGATAGCAAGAAACCAAAAAATCATCGGATAGAATGAAACAGTGAGGATGGGCAAACCGAAATGATGGGATTGACCAAGTTTTCATGAAGAAATCTCAAAACAGAGTAATTATAAGTGAAAAGAGGCCTATCAAAAGATTTCTCATTGGAAATTCACCAGACTCTTAATGGTCAATTGTATGTTGCACAGCTAGTATGGCTTTCATCTATAAGGAAAAATTATTTCTCTATGAGATCATAAGCTTCGTTTCACACAATACTATTGCATAAGGAAATATTTCATACATTCCACTGTTTAATAGTTTTTATTTATTTTTAATAGTATGTAAAGTAGTATTAGTGTGTAAATAGTAAAAGTAGAGTTGTGGTGGTTGTTCGTCTGTCGTTGAATGCACGTTAAATTGATCAACACTACACTTTACTGGATCGATCAACTTTAACTAGTAGTATTGGTTGACCAGCCAGGCCTGGTAAAGCGATCAGAGGTAATCAGTTTAACATATTAAAGAAGAGTTAGTTATCAAAAACTAGAACCTAGACAGTTATCCCTTTTTTCTTATTAGTATAGTTTGCTATAATCAATTATTGTTTCAATTTATAATATTTTGTAATCTAGGGTGAGCCTTGTGCCTTTATTATCTACTGAAGATGTATAGGAAGAAATGGAAAATTAATTTAAAAAAAACTTCTACCAAAGCAAACAAAAGTTGCTCACCCACGACGGTGTTTTCGTCCATAATTCAGAAAGAATTTCTTTCTCAAGGTGGCATCATCAGACTTCTTTCAGGCTAAAAATTCCGTTTATAGAAGATTGCCATAGGCTATTATTATTTTTAAAATAAATAAATGTCTCTGAACCTGAACAAGATCAATTCGACGGTTGAAAACGACTCAAATTTCGTCCATCTGTTTTCAAGCAACAATCCGGTAACAAAGAAGTCAGTTTTGTTTGTAGCTGTAAAACAAAAGGTAGTTCGTTCCCTGTAAAAAAACATTGGACACTGATGAACCTGTGTGAAACATGATGAATTTGTGAAACCTACTGTTATGGCGAACAGAAAGAGGCGCCCCTCCGAAACATTAGAAGAGAACCGGTGGCAACACTGGGACGGTTGGCAACTCGGGGTTCGTGTTGACGTCAGGGAGCAGATGAGAAAACGGCGAAGTACGCAGTGTCTAGTCTAGTGTCTACACAGTTGTGGTTGTTTCACGTTTGGGAGTATTCGTGCCTTTATTATCTACTGAAGATGTATAGGAAGAAATGGAAAATTAATTACTTGTATTCGAGCGACTTCTAATTAAATTACTTTTATATAAAATTGATATTTATTTTTAATAGTCCTTACACTACTTTTAACTAAAAAAAAACTAAAATATCTAGCAAACGGGTAGTCTTCGACAACACGACTTTTACCTCTTTACAAATATAAAGTAACATCCTTTTAATAAATTAAAATGTAAACAGTAATGCTAAATACTTCACTGTTGTGTTCTTCTGAAACGAGTTCAAGTCTTTCATTCAATTTTCTGCGTTGGTTATGTACCAATGATGGAGAAGTAATCATCAAACTGGCTAAAATTGACATGGGGCCTTCTGCTCACCATCTTCAAAATAGTAGAAAGACCTCCTAGATTAGAAAATTTACTGTTTCCTCTTCCCCAAATTGTTGATACGTTTGAATGTAAAGATCATTATTCAGACATCGTGAGATGCGGTCTGGTGTGATGTAGGTTTCAGAAAAACATTTTCTTTATCGTGCCAACGTTTCGATCTTTATTGAGATCATCTTAGGGCCTGGGATTTACAAACATTGTTTACATTTAACAAATACATGTAGGATGTGGAAAAAGTGAATTTATACGATGCAAATATTTTTTTGTATTTTCAATCAAAGTATTTCTACTCACTCAAAGTGTTTATCTTCTGTGTAATTGTGCCATTCTTGCGTGTCGTGTTGAGAGTGCCTGTGAGATTTGCTGTTTTATGTTTATATATGTTGGATTTTGAAGGGGTCACCACATACACGTAAAGATCAGGTTTTTTTTTGGGTCTGTGAAATGATCCACGTTTGGTGCCAATAGTCGCTGGTTGGCAGGCCAGGATGATTAGATATGCTCAAGCTATTTATTTAATAAAACGGGTTGAAAGTTTAGAAACAGAAGATTAATTTATTGCGGACAATTAGGCATCTTTTAGATTAGGTGGTTGGTTGATCAGATGAGTGTCAAGGAGTCATGTAGCGAATGTTTGGGAATTGCTCGAACCCCTTCACACGCAGTTGACTCGTCCGCCCAGGCAATCAGCAGGCACAAGTGCTGCTCATTCTCATTTAACACAAAAGGAACAACTCTTCATTCATCTTTCACGGAAGTCACCTAGTCGATTCAAAGCTTTGTCATTGCAAATTTCAATGTGGTACTACAGTTTATTGATGAAATTCGTATTAGTCCCATGATAAGGAATATTAAGTGTGAAGAATATAACAACTAAATTAAAAGTCAAGCAATGAGCGAAGTGTCACATGTTTCCTGATTTAGTAATAATGTATGAATCTACACCTTTCTTTGACTGTGTTTCCTCCTTTTTTGTTTCTCTTTTTAAAGAACTGCTCGTGCTCCCTCAGGTTTTAATATCATACTATCCTCCTAACTGGTGTTGGGAAGAGTTGTTTCCACAAGTTGCCTGATGTGAAACCAGCCAAGAAAAACTTCACACGGCACTAGGCAACTTAGTTGAATCAACTAAACTGCCTCGCCTGAAACAGCACATCTCTAGTTTACCTATGATCCATGTTATAAAGATCCGCAGGACACTGTACATAAGTACATAGTATTTTTTGTTTTATCTGTAAACCATTTGTGGTTTCACCTAAGAAAATGTATGAAACAGGTCCTTTCATCAAATTTCATCTTTAAGAACTGCCAACTCGTATTAGAAACAATTAAGGAGAAGAAAGAAAATTTAAAAATAAAAGTGATACTATCAAATAAATCCAGTAAAATAAAATAATTTACAAAGCAGTTGTATTTTATTTACAATGAAAACATTTCATACATACAATCATTATCAATAGTGTATAGGCCCACCTGCCCAGAAAGGTTTATATTTCGTACAACTCATAAAACTTTTTGAGGGTCACCTTCTTACTACATAAGCGACCGATCTTGGTGAAATACTAGGGTCAGTTATTCTTAATAGCTCACTATTTTCAAAACCTTTTTCATATAAATACAAAAGTCGGTCCATTAAAACAAAAGATTCTGCAACAGACTGAAAACAAATTTGAAGAATTAACAATCCCTTCATACAATTAAATTTTGAAGTATTTAGAAGCCATATCTCAGTTAATTGTTTTTTAAGCCAATCCTGATCGGTGCACACGGAATCTGCTTCAGATGAGAAGACTTCATGCCTGTCAATCCAATCAGACAAGTACAAATCCCAATCCGTTGAATCACCCTTTCTAACCCACTTTCGTTTCTTCTTCCTTATTTGCAACCCTCCTGAAATATGGGTTTAAATCAGAAACAATCTATTTTCTGAAAACTTATATATGAAACTTACTGTTATGCAAGAAAAGTTCAATGACCGCTCGTGCCAGGTTGTTAAATACATGCTGATCAAATTTAGAACTGCTACAATTGACAAAGTTGGTCCTCGTTCTATCTGACGCCAATCGGAGAAAAGTGGTTGGAAACAAGTCGTTGCAGTCCTTGTAAACTTTTGATAATGGAAAATTTCCATGAGATACTTTGTGATAGCAACAAGTGATAAGGACTGAGTGTTGAATGTCCTTACAAGTTTCCAAAAGCCTGCAATTTGAAAATCTCATTAATTGTAAATACTTAATCATTCTAAAATTGGGTCTTTTTTTAAATTAAGACTTCTATGTAAACATGCACAAGCACTGATAAAAGTTAATTAAGCACAAATGCAATTAAAACTAATACAAATTGTCAATATTTTATACAAATTTATTTATTTAAAAAACATATAGGAGTCAATTTTCATTTTTTATTATAATTTTTATTTTTATTATATATGATTATTTGGAGAGTGAGATGTGGTCTGGTGTAACGTAGGTTTTAGAAGAAAACATTTTCTTTATCGTGCAAGAAAAGTTCGTGAAGATGATCTCAATACAGATCGAAAACATTGGCACGATAAAGAAACTGTTTTTCTAAAACCTACGTCACACCAGACCGCATCTCACTACCTCCAAATAATCATTTACTAACGGTCACTAAACACCACACATTTATTATATATACTCAGTTTATTATATATGATGGTTTGAAATAATTTTTTTTTGTCTCAGGCAGAATTGCAACCTACTACCCACCCATCATTGTAGATGGATGATTGAAGGCAGTAGTTCATTTTGAAAAATATTTAAAAAAATAAATAAATAAAAACTCATACATTAACTTCACTAATTTCGTGATCCGCTTGACCAATTAATACATTACCATAATTATTACATTATTGACCAATACATTATTGACCAATTAATTAAGGTAAAACTCATAAGGTGGGGTTGAGATAGGAAGTTGATGTGCGAGTGGATCGAGGTCACGATAGCTCAAGTGGTAGAGCAGCGGCATATCTAGCCGAAGATCGTGGGTTTGAATCCTGCTCGTGCCATTAACTTTTTTTGATCTCAATACATTAACCTCGAATCACACCTGTGGATGGTACACAGTCCTAGTGGTGTAGGACAATCGTTAATAAAAATGTGGCATGGTTGATTGAAGCTCAACTGGTCGAGCATCAGAGTATTTTTGGATGTATTATACATTGAACACAATTCAACATTCCTTAAGAGTTTATAATTCACACACAGTTAATTCAAAACAAATAGCCAACAAGATAATGCTATGCTCAATGAAATTAATATTGAAATGTTTAAAACAATATTATAATTATTTAGAGATCGTGAGATGCGTTCTGGAGTAATGTAGGTTTAGAAAAACATTTTCTTTATCGTGCCAACATTTTGATCTTTCTTGACATCATCTTCAGGACTTAAAGTTAAGTTTTCTGTGTAGAAGTATCATTGTTATGTGTCGTGTTGAGTGTACATAATATTATAAAGTTACAATATTATAATGTTTACTTATTTTTTTATTTCACCTGAAACAGTTTACAGTCAGGTCCCCACAAGCATGTAGGGAAATAAGGCAGGCCCGGCTGATTTTCTCTGTGTCCAATAAACGTTTCGATAAATCCTGTACATTCCCTGAATCAAGTCTTGTACATATTTGCGTTATTTTCTCATGGGAAACATTTAATTCGGCAGCCTTTGAACATTTTCTTGGATCTGCTTCTACACCTATTAAAGTACACTCAGGGCATTTGGACGAAACTTCTCGATCTATGTAGCCCTGAAGATATATTCATTTATAAAATAAAAATCTGAAAAATTAATTCAAACTATGTGAGTCCTATTTGTGTAATCGAATAATCTTTATGTACTTTCTTCAACCACTAAAATATATTACTATCTTTTTCTTTAAAACTGATACAAATAACCAAGTTTGTGCTTACCAACCCAGAGCCGATATCAATTATTGTTGTAAGATCATGTTTTTTAATGATTTGGGACACAAAGTGGCCCAAACGGCTGACTTCATGTAGCTTCTTTGGATTTAGACGTTTCTCCCGTTGCTTTTCATCTGTTTCACAAGGTAATTCTGAGACGGGGATGTCTAATGTGAATTTATTGCAGGATTTTAGAAATTCAGATAAATCTTTATCAACATCTTCCTGCAAATACAGGAGTTTAAACACAGTTGTTTATTTATTTATTTTTTTGAGATTTTGTAAATTACGACTTACCGTTTCTCCACGAAAAACTCTGTCGAGTTTTTCCAATGGTAAACATCCTACACTGCTTACAAATTTTTCGTTGTTTTGTATTACTTTTTCAATGAGGACATGTGTCAGCCGAGATGTATAAATCCAATCCCAGTTTTTTGCAAAATCGACTACATTGCTTAGATATTTCTGCTTTTCTGCAATACTTTCAGGTATTTTCATATCTGAAACATAATAAAATATGTTTATTAGATCAACTAATATCATTTTAAATTTATTAAATTCACTTTACATTGAATAAGTAATACACCTTTGAAGAGATATTCTTCCTATCAAAGTGAATCACAAAAATAACACATCTTAACAAACATTAGGTATATGTTAAGGCATCATTTAATAACATTTAATTAAAAATTAAAATTTAATTTTTGAAATAAAATAGTAATATAGCAAAAATTCCAGTTTTACATAGTGCTTAGAATGAAAATTGTATTTTGTAACTATATATAAATTTTATGTGCTTATAAAATGCAACAATAAGGATGTTATGTTTGCTAAATCTAATGAGGTATCTGTGGTTTCCATTTTTTTATGGTATGTAAAAAATTTATAAATTTAAGCATTTTTCCCCATAAACTTTGCTGTTTTATAGATTGGCTAAATTTAAACAAGTACTTATAATCATAAAATAAACAAAAGTTTCATTGGAGTCAAGAAAATTTATTCTGTTATCCGTTTAACCCAGTTTTCTTTAGTTCTTCCTAATATGGACGGATTTGATGGGCCGATCAGGGCTCGACCTTGGGTGACCGAATTCAAGTATGAGCCCACTCTGATAACATCATCCTTTTTCAGCCGCATTATTATCTCCCTGTGACGCTGTAGCTCATCATCTGAGATACCAAAGAGGAAATTGCGTACACCCCTGGATCCTGGTGGAATCGGTGCATCTATCGACTGAAACACACCCAATTTGGCTTCCTCAACGTCTTGGTCTGTAAACTCTCCTAACCTCAGCCACTCGAAAGCGGCATTGAACGTATTGAAGGTGTCAAAAGGTTTTGGATCTCTGTAAGAATAAAAGCTGAAAATGCCTGCAGTCGACACATTTGCACCAGCCCCGTAAGCACCCCCTTTTTCTCTGATTTTTACTAAGAGGTATTTGGAAGTCAACAGTCTTGCCATCACTCTGAGTATGGGAAAATCAGGATGTGTGTACTCGACAGTTGGAAGGCAATAAGCAGCATAACTTACAGGGAATGGCAGAATGTGATGAATCGCATAAATGCCCTTTTTAAAGCTTTCCGGTTTAGACAACTCAAAAGGACGTTTGAAATCGCCGGGAATACTTTTTAAAAATCCCTCAGTGCAAGGTAAAATTTTATCCTCTGTTTCTGGGCTAGTATTAAGTGCTAACCGCATTAATTTTTTCTTCAATATTACATCAGCAATACCATTCAACATTTCTAAACAATCAGATAAATTACTCTTTTGTGATAATTCCTTCATTGTTTGAACAAAGGTGAGACCACTAAACTGCTCTTTTTTGAGTGAAGAGGATGAAATCAAAGATGCAGCCATAGAAAGGGCATAGAGGTGGCCACTGTCAGCGATGCCATGGATCACATTAGAGGCTGTTATTTTTACAAGGGTCTCAAATCGTTTTTGGTCCTGCAGATTCACCGAATTGAATATTTCTGACCAGATACCCATCATTGCCTTTATATTCCTGTCAAGGCAGAATGATGAAAATGCGACTCCCTCTTCATAAGAATTTGTGTCATAAATATTTTCTGCGATATGAGGTGAAAACGAGATACCTCCTGTCTTCAACTGTATCTGCTGGTCCATTTGTCGGTAGTCGTAATGCTTGGTACCCATTTTTGTAACAACAGAGCAGAACAATGGAAGGACATTTTTTGCTTCGTCGGATAAAATCTTAACATTGATTATACCTCTAAAATAAGTGAGACCATTAGTAGGATGCAAACATACCTGTGTAGGTACTCTATGAATCGCGTATCCTTTGAGTTTAACTCGATCTACATCACTGTTTAAATTGGATATGGTTAACGTAGGCAGGACACTAACATCTTGTTTCATTTCTTGGTCTTTGGCAAGTTCCAACCCTTGAGTAAATATGTTGTCTTTCTGTAAAGAAGGAATATTTGCGAGTTTCTGCTTAAGCAGTTCATTTTCAGCAGCAATATCTTTTGCCTCATACTCTTCATCAGGGCTCATTGTCAAAATCAGCTGATGAGCATTATCTTTGAGCATTTCTTGAACCAGATCCTGAAAGTACAGAGGGTTATCGGCCAAGCATTTTCTCAATCTCATTGCCTTGTCATTAACTTTTAACATCTTAGTTACATCACCGTCATGATTCCAAATTGGAGTAATAGCAAACAACACACCTAGCCCAAAGTCAGCAGACTGATGTTTTGTATTCAGTTCGATGGTGTGCAATATACTTTTAATGCTGTTTTCATCAAACCCTTCTTCTATGACTCTGTCGATAGTTTTATGATAAATCTCTACTATATTGTCAAAATCATTTGGATCTACACAAGAAAGGCCAACAGAAAATATACTATCTCTGGTCTGTGCATCATAACCAGTGACAGGATTAAAACCACCACCTATGTTGGGCTCGACTAGAGTTTTATAAAAAGCCGAATTGGGACCTTTAACTAACAATTCAGACAAAACTTGCATAACAAAAGTTTCTTGAGGCGATCGGATATCATTGCAGAGCGTAGAAACGGCAATAGTCGATTGTTTTCTCAAGTTGCTTGTAAATGGGTCAGGTCTACAATATATCATTTTTCTTCTTTCTGTTTCCCAACGTGGCTCAGATGGAACTTTTGTCGCTTTTCCATAGTCTTGTAAATCAGGCCAGTCAGCCAGATAATTTTTATTTATGAAATGAAGTGTGTCTTGAAGAGGAAAGCTTCCATAGCTATAAATCCTACAGTTGGATGGATGGTAGTATTTTTTATGGAAGGATTTTAAGTCAGCATAAGTCAGCATAGGTATGACTTTGGGGTCACCACCAGATATCACACCGTATGTATGGGAAGGGAGGATGTTGTTTAAAAGCGCCTCACTAAATATTGATTGGTTCTCTGAAAAAACACCCTTCATTTCATTAAAAACAACACCTTTAAAAATAATAGGACTGCTTCGGTCATTTATGTTCTCGTGCTCAAGCCGCCAACCTTCTTGTTTAAAGTCAAGCTCTCTCAAATTGGGCCTAAAGACTGCATCCAAGTAAACTGACATTAGATTGTTAAAATCAGTGCGATTTTGCGTTGCAAACGGATACATTGTGTAATCCGGTCCAGTAAAAGCGTTCATAAATGTGGCCATGGAACGGTTTAACATCTTGAAGAATGGGTCCCTGCAGGGGTATTTGTGACTCCCACAAAGTGTAGTATGTTCTAGGATGTGCGGCAATCCAGTTGAGGCTGTAGGTGTAGTCCGGAAACTGACAGAGAAAACGTTGTTCTTATCATCACGCGCCAGATGTAAATAATCACATCCAGTCCGCACATGCCTCAGTCGTGTCATGGACATATTGAATTCTGGCACAAAACCCACCTTGTTCACTAGAAAGCCTTCAATTTCCATTCCCTCCTTTAAATCTCGCTCTACAGATCTTTTCATCGCTTCCGCACATCTTGCATGGGATCTTGAAAATTTACGAAAACTATGGGTATACCACATCTGAAAATAAATTGTTTATTAGCAATTAGCACATTTAATGGCGAAGACAACACAGAACGTGTTTAATCCATTAACAAAAAGTTTCTCAAAGCTAAGTAGCACTAGTTTTCAAGAAGCAGTACTAAATCGCAGAAAAAATTCTATTTAGCTAGCTTAACTGCCAAATTTGTTCTTTAAATTTGGCTTTGCAAATTATGCTATAGTTCACCATTTATTACTTAGTCCTTACTAAACCTAAATACTTTAGTCACCAAAATGGACGTTTATGTTGTAGTATGGTTAAGTTAAGTAACAAAAATTATTGTTTATCATAATTTTGAATGAAGACAGAACATCCAATCATTTGTAAATAAATCTCAAGACTATAAAGAGACTTTTTTTATTCCTTCAGATAAGGCAACAGTTACATTATTAATGTTTAAAACAATATGAACTGATACAAGAATTTCGCGTAAAAGTGTATTCTTTTGATAAAGGAATAGGAAACGAAAACGAAAAATAGAACAGTTAGAAATTTTACCTCGAAACCTTGTACGTCTCCTGACTGATATTGAATAAATGGATTGGTCTTGTGTACGAAGAATATAGGTATTGAATAAAATATAATGTAAAATGTAAAATATTATAAGGAAAGCTTATAATATTTAAATATTTTGAACACAAAAATTTTGGAAAGTGTCACCATGTGGCGAAGGCTACACTAAGTAACGAGGGATTTCATTCGTTGTTGTTGCTAAGGTGAAAGTTTCACGTGTTGCGTCACTTTAAGGGAAAATAAGCTAATAAACAAAAGACCCAATTTATAACATTTTTTAACATTATTTTCAGTAAAAGATGGATAATTGTTTGGTTAAGATTCAACAGAAACACATTAGGCTTCAAAAGGAATGAAGCCTTTTCTGGTTATAATCACCACACTCAATTTATCACTTACGGAAAAAACAAATACAATACAAACTAAAACTCCATTTCTTACTAACCAAAATCAATGTAAATTCTTTAATTTTTTCAAATATTATCCATGAAAATGTTTTAGAAACTGTCTTATTACTTTATTTAAGACAGCTGGTTCTGATCTTAAAAAACTTTATGAAACTGAGGAAATATCAAAAGTCTAAAAAAACATTTGGAAAGTATTTTTTTTTTCGATTTATCCAAATTGAAGCCTCGGTTGAGTCGACATTTGCGAGTTAGCGACTTTGGCCTGTTGCTACTTCAAATTGATTCCCTGTATCAATCTTCATAAAATTTGGTCAAAATATCCACAAAAACTTTATGAAACTAAGGAAATATCAAAAGT